CAGTGACATTGAGGGTAATATTAAAGAAATATTCCAGTGCTATTGAGGGAATATTTCACGGTTATATTGAATTTTTTTTAAGTGTTGAAATAATAGAAATATGTTATAAATTGTTATTTGAATAAGCAGGAAGATTAAAAACACATTTAAAAAAAAAAATTAAATGTAACCGTGCGGAATATTCTCTCAATATCACTGGAATATTTCCACAATATCACCTGAATATCCCCTTAATGTCACTGGAATATACCCTGAATGGCACTATGGAATATTCCCATGATGCGGACATTTTGATTTTCCTAGAAGATCATGAGAATATTCTACTGTGGTATTCAACGGATATTCAGGGAATATACCGTGCTGCTTGGGTGATACTAAACTTACACAAGACATAGAGCCTCAATGGGGAAAATCGCATCGACTTTGACCTGTCCTTAAAAAATAATTTCGTGAGTTTTAAATTTTCGAACACTCCCGAAACAAAAGAAATTATACTAAAATGACAAAAAAAATGTTTGATACTCTTAACATTTTTTTTGTTCGCAAATTAAGAACTGCGAGCACACTCAAAGCTTTATAAAATTACAAAATCTACACTTACTTTGACAGCAGAACTAAACAGGTCAATACACGAATTGCAACTAATTGAATTATCTTTGAGATTTTCCAAACACATTTCTATAACCTTCGGCATAAGGTATATAATATACCCGGGAAGTAGAGGACAGTAGTCAGGGTTGGACAGTGGTTAAAGATGAGCCATCGCGTTTATTTTGTTTTATCATACTAGCTCCATCTGTATTTGTATGTAAATACAACGTTCAACAAAAAAAAATTTTCTTGTTTCAAAAAAAGACAATTAAGTGCAGAGAAAATATGTCAAAGACAAAGTAAATTGACTAAAATTGTTCATTAAGATATGTGAAAATAATTTAAAGCGTAATTTGTTGTTTGTATCACGCGTTTATTTTGTGTGTGATATGACGCTAAACGACGCGTGAGTCAGGGTTGAGCCACCCAAAATTTTGCAATTATAAAGCGTTCTTGCAATGTAAATTCATTTGTCGACTTAAAGAGGAGTCAAAAACTTCATTTCTATTGGAAAGAAAGGAAATACAAATTTTTGATAATCATTTTTCACTTTTCAGACCAGCTTTGCGATACAAGCGAAAATCTAATCGCAGAAATGTCGACATTTAATAAGGGCTTTTTATTTCAATTTCGGGGTTCCTTTACTCATTTCCAAGTGTATTTGAGCGCCATTCTATCATTTGAAGATTATTATTAATCATTTATCTGCACATTTCATTGATTTTCTACAGTTATAACTATGTCCAACCCTGACTATTCAATCACATGACTTTAAAAATTGATAATGAATTTAAAGAAATTTTTTAATTATTTATATTGTTATATATGAAAAAAGAAAAAAAGGGAGGAAAAATGTTGTCTATACTTTATGTAGGGCAAAAGGTTTAATGAAGAGGTTTTAGTGCACATAAAGAATATGCGTGAACAGAGATCTGTATCAGTGCAAACAAACGCAAATGCACATGTATGACAATATACATCGCATATGTTCACCGTATCATAGACGAGCAACAAGCGTTTATTCCCCTGGCTTTTCCCGTCTCCGCCCATCATCCATCGACGCCCTTGGGGTTGTGTATCCCTTATTCAATGCGCTTTCCAAGCTTTTAAGATACACCCTCTCTCAAAATCTGCTGCTGCTTTAAACAAAAATCAGGGTCACGTCATGTTTCGTTTTGACGTGAAAAAATTCTTTGAAAATTAAAGAAAAAAAAAAAAAAAGTTAACCAACCCTTATTGTCGCTCATGCATATATCAAAAAGAAAAAGTATATTTCTTTTCAAAGAAAAAATTTATTTATTTCAAATAAATTATTATTTAGTTTAAATAAAAAAAAGTTATTTTCTTCAGAAATAAATGTTTTTGTCCAAAATAAAGAAACAAATGTGACGCTCCACGAGAGAAGGGACCTTATGCCAAAAAAATGTTAGGTTCCCGGACAGCACCGAAACTTCCCTGAACCTTTATTGAACCTCGCTTGACGAGGTTCGGGAACTTGAGTCGCGAGGTCCAAACGAGGTTGAGTTGATGTTTAAATGTCCGCGCATAATAAACGTCAGTCACAGAGGTTGGCTGAATATTGGATTTGAATTTCTGTTAAATATTAAAATTAAAGATTCTTGGCATATTGTGAGGGGATATTTAAGGAAATTAAAAATTCAAGACTTGTTAAATGTAATCGTTAAATATTCTGGAAATTTAGAAGGATCATAAATACGGGAAAATAAAAAGAAAGCAAATGAATTTAAAAAACTATTGAAAATTACATTTTCTATGACAAGGGAAAGTGTAAATAAAACAGAAATTAATAGACAATAATAAATACAGTTATATTTAATAGTAATAAATTATTATTACATTAAATTACAAATAGTGTTTAACTCTTTTGGCAAGAAATATTTTCAAATAGAAATGTTGTCTACAATGTGTGGTGAAACAAAAACTCAAATAAATCAACGATTTACTTAAAAAGAAAATTTTGTTTATTGCAAAATTTGTACTATAGACAAAAAAAAAATGCATTTTCGTAATGATTTACTCAGAAAATTCTTTTGGATGAATTTTTTTCGCTCAATAAAATTATTGTTGAGAATATTTACTAGGATTTCTGCCAAAAAAATTCTGATAACTCGTTTTAATAAAATTTGCATTTAATTTTGATTTTAATTTTTTTTTTTAATTTTAATTTTTTATTAACACATGAAATGTGCCTGAAGACTCTCAAAAAGACCTTTAAAAATTTAATTTTTATGTAACTACTAATAAATATAACTGAGCACCTGGAAATAAGAACTCGCCAAGCGTTCGGCTGCACGCTACGAAGCCAGTCAAACATACAAAAATGATGAAAAAATAGCTACAAAGCCAGTCAAACAAACAAAAATGATGAAAAAATAAAATTCGAAATTTTTGATTTTTGAAAAATGCTATCTTGTAGGAAATGAAAAGGCGCATCTTTTTTTCATCTGGATTTTTCTCGTCAAATGAATAGTTTACTTAATAAATGTAAAAAACTAATAAATTTTTATTTCCAAATTTCATTCAATTTTTAAACATAAATCATCGTATCTTCGACAAATATTAATCAATTCCAATGAGATTTTACATACTTCCGCGTTTGGGTCCATAGATGACGATAGTCTAAAAAAAATTTTGAAATTTTTTCAATTGTTGACCAATTTTTAATTATAAACAAATACCTGTCGGTAATCATACTCAGTTATCTTCGCCGACAAAAAGTCTGTGGGCACATTTCATGTGCTAATAAAAAATTAAAATTAAAAAAAAAAATTAAAATTAAATGCAAATTTTATTAAAACGAGTTATCAGAATTTTTTTGGCAGAAATCCTAGTAAATATTCTCAACAATAATTTTATTGAGCGAAAAAAATTCATCCAAAGAATTTTCTGAGTAAATCATTACGAAAATGCATTTTTTTTTTGTCTATAGTACAAATTTTGCAATAAACAAAATTTTCTTTTTAAGTAAATCGTTGATTTATTTGAGTTTTTGTTTCACCACACATTGTAGACAACATTTCTATTTGAAAATATTTCTTGCCAAAAGAGTTAAACACTATTTGTAATTTAATGTAATAATAATTTATTACTATTAAATATAACTGTATTTATGATTGTCTATTAATTTCTGTTTTATTTACACTTTCCCTTGTCATAGAAAATGCAATTTTCAATAGTTTTTTAAATTCATTTGCTTTCTTTTTATTTTCCCGTATTTATACTCCTTCTAAATTTCCAGAATATTTAACGATTACATTTAACAAGTCTTGAATTTTTAATTTCCTTAAATATCCCCTCACAATATGCCAAGAATCTTTAATTTTAATATTTAACATAAATTCAAATCCAATATTCAGCCAACCTCTGTGACTGACCTTTATTATGCGCGGACATTTAAACATTAACTCAACCTCGTTTGGACCTTGTTCAGTCAAGGTTCAGGGAAGTTTCGGTGCTGTCCGCGTTATGTTTGTCATTTTTGAAATGAAAATATATAATCAAAGAGAATCAATTCCCCAAGTAGCACGGAATATTGCTTAAATGTCAAAGTGATTTCAAGCGAGAATATTCTTGTGACATTCAGGCGATATCATAATGTCCGCTTCATGGGGACATTCCACGGTGATATTCCTGTGACATTCGCGTGATATTCGTATGATACTGAGGGAATATTCCCGTGAAATTCATGTAATATTGAGGGGATATCCCTGTGATATTGAGCGGAATATTCCTGTGATATTGAGGGAATATTCCTCTGATATTGAGAGAATATTACAGTGATATTGATGAGATAATTTATAAAATTCTAAAAAAAAATATTTTTTTCTATTTTTTTCCATTTATTTATTTTTTTATTTAAATATTCAAAACAATCAAAACAAAAAACATTTTAGAATTTTATAAATAACAGGAATTTTCTCTCAATATCACAGGGATATTCCCTCAATATCACAGAAATATTCCGCTTAATATCACAGGGATATCCCCTCAATATTACATGAATTTCACCGGGAATATTCCCTCAGTATCATACGAATATCACGCGAATGTCACAGGAATATCACCGTGGAATGTCCCCATGAAGCGGACATTATGATATCGCCTGAATGTCACAAGAATATTCTCGCTTGAAATCACCGTGACATTTAAGCAATATTCCGTGCTACTTGGGTCTTAATAAAAACTAATTTTAATTTTACCTGATTAAAAAGAAACTTTTTTATTAAGGTAAAACTATCACTAAACATAACCTAAATTTTTTTAACTAAAGGTCCCTTCTCCCGTGTAACGTCACAAATAGTTATTTAAGTTATGAAACAATTATATTTTTGTTTAATTCAAATATATGATACATTATATTTCAAATAAAAAATTTATCTATGCGTATATATTCAATTTACAATTATAGAAAACTTAATTAATGAATTTTTTATATGAATGTATAATGTTCTACAAATTAAGTTCGTAAGGTCATGTCATTGTTGTGACTTCACATGTAAATATTCTCTACAGGTTTTTTCGCAAAATACTTGATAGATTGAGCTAAAATTTTGTGGAGAATTGAAAAATAGTATAAGAATTTGTTTTCATGTACTGGAGTATATTAATTTAATTTAATTTTAATTAATTATTAAAATTTTTTTAAATTTAATAATAAATAATTTAAGTGTAATATTGAAATTAAAGTAGAAAAAAATAGTAAACTACCTACTAGAGTTAGTCAAGTTTATAACAGTTATAATCACTTTGAAACCTTAATTTGTTTCATTTTCTTTCAAGAATATACAAGATCGCGAAATTAACCTCTTTCTTTACTATATCATATACTCAAGTTTTGCCATATATACAAGAAATAACTTCGATTGCGTGCTTATAATGATACGTTATTAAATCATTAGAAGAGTCGGCAAAGTTGATGAAGTATCGACACAATGAATATCCTCTTCCCCTTTCTATAATTAAATTAATCATACACAAAAAAAACAATCCCTTTTTACATACCTATATTTATTTTGAAATTAATAAAAACAAAATGCTCAAAAATAGTCTATTCTTTAAGTTTTTAGAGGAATTTTCATTTTTTATTTAAATAAAATAATTATTGTTTGGGGGGCAGTACAAGCTTATATTGGTTCTTGAAATGACCTTCATTCATTGTTTATTTTCATTGTAGAATCTGATTTCAATTTTTCAAATTTTTCTTTTTCTAAATTTTGAAGTCTCTCTTTTTTCTTTTTTGACAGCTTGTCATGAGTTCTCTTCATTTCCAGGATTTCTTTCATTTCTTGTTTATCCGATTCCTGTAAACAAAAAATTTCCAAAATATTCCATAAAATTTGATTTAAAAAATTTTTTTTTTATTCTTATAAAAATTAAATTAAAAAAATAATCACATTACTTTGAATTTTCAATAAATTTCTTGATTTAAAAAAATTCATTATATAATTATCATTGATGTAAAAATTAATTGAAATTTAATAATTAAAATTTAATTTTAAAACATTAATTTATAATTATACACTAATGTAGACAATTTCAGGAATAATATTTCATGAAGTAAAATATTAAATAAATAATGAGAAAGAAATTGTTAAATAATTAAAAATTTTACCTCATGGAAAATATTGAAAAAAAGTCTTGTAATTTTGACGTTATATCGAGGATACTCACAGACTGATGAAGCCTTAAAACTAAAGCTCTTCGTCCATCGGACATTGGTTCTGAATAATCCATTAATTTTTTTAATCTCTCTGCGGGACTGACTCCTCTCTCGACTACCAACACTATTCTCGCCCACTAGAACGTGAAATGAAAATATTTTCATATTTTTTTTAAAGAATACTTATTCATCACATTCGTTATTTAAATTTACAAACAAAAAAATTGGTTTTTAATCAAATAATATAATTAATATCTATTAAATATGTATCGTATCTAAAAAAATTGAACCAAATAAATTTATTAGAATGAAAAGGAATATTTCATGAATGAATTCAATTAAAGATAACTTTTTTAAAATTCAATATTGAGCAATTCCATGGGATGTGATCACAAGAATTTTTGATGATTGGAGCATTTTTATTGAAACCTTGTGAATATGTTTCTTTATTTGTACAGAATAAAAGCCCACAAACAATTTTTCAAAATTTTTTGAGATATCTCTAATTAAAAATTTATGTCATTTTTTTAAAAAAACCATGTAACTTTTTTTCTTGTTATCCAAATGAGATCAATTTTTTTTTCAAATTTCTCAAAAAAAGATGCTATTTGAAGAAAAAAATAGTTTATGAAAAAAAAATTTTTTTTTGCCCGGAAAAAAGTCAAAAAAAAAAATTTTGAATTCATTTTTTGAAAAAACTACTTCTTCGATTTCAAAAATTTTTTTTCTACTTATTGCTTATGATGTTAAGAATAACTTCTCAAATTTTCATATTGAGACAGCAAGAATTTTGCGAGAAAAAAATTAAAACGTCCCGTGTCCAATTTTGGGCCATACAATGAAAAAAGTCGTTTTCTTAAATAAGACCACTAATTTTCAGTATCACATTCGTAATCCCTATGAAATTCTGCATTCAGATATGTTGTATAAGTGCCCAAAATATTGGTCCCAATGTCTGGGATTGGGCTCAACATTTTTTGACAAATAAATAAATAAATTTTAAAAAATCTTATTTTTGGAGGCCCAATGTGCCCAATTTTAAAATTAGCTTCGAATTTCTAATCTTGTGACCTCAAAAACCCCCAAGATAAGATTTTTTAAAATTTATTTATTTATTTGTCAAAAAATGTTGAGCCCAATCCCAGACATTGGGACCAATATTTTGGGCACTTATACAACATATCTGAATGCAGAATTTCATAGGGATTACGAATGTGATACTGAAAATTAGTGGTCTTATTTAAGAAAACGACTTTTTTCATTGTATGGCCCAAAATTGGACACGGGACGTTTTAATTTTTTTCTCGCAAAATTCTTGCTGTTTCATTATGAAAATTTGAGAAGTTATTCTTAACATCATAAGCAATAAGTAGAAAAAAAATTTTTGAAATCGAAGAAGTAGTTTTTTCAAAAAATGAATTCAAATTTTTTTTTTGACTTTTTTCCGGGCAAAAAAAATTTTTTTTTTCATGAACTATTTTTTTCTTAAAATAGCATCTTTTTTTGAGAAATTTGAAAAAAAATTGATCTCATTTGGATAACAAGAAAAAAAGTTACATGGTTTTTTTAAAAAAATGACATAAATTTTTAATTAGAGATATCTCAAAAAATTTTGAAAAATTGTTTGTGGGCTTTTATTCTGTACAAATAAAGAAACATATTCACAAGGTTTCAATAAAAATTCTCCAATCATCAAAAATTCTTGTGATCACATCCCATGGAATTGCTCTATTAAGATCGTGTGATTATTTAATTTGACATGTAAGTATTCTCCGTAGATTTTCTCGCAAAATACTTGATAGATTGAGCTAAAATTTTGTGGAGAACTCAAAAATAGTATAAGAATTTGTTGTCATGTGCCAGAGTATATTAATATTTTGTCGAAAAAAAATTTTTTTTTTTAATTGCATATTTGAGGAAAATTCAATGTGGCGGTAATACGATTTTAATCATTTCTCCAAATATGCAATATTTTAATAATAAATTTTTCATCATAAATATTAATATAGTCAGGCATAAAATCACAAATCACAACAATCAAATAATTTTAAATAATAAATATCAAATATTTTATTATTAAATTCATTTAAAAAATATTTATTTTACCGTAAAACGGGGTTATTTCATTCATTGCGGGTATAAATTCGCTCACCCACTTTTATGCTTTATTTCTGCTTTAAAATAAAGTTTAATACCTTTATTACCAGGTAAAAATGTTAAATTTGTTAATAGAAATACTAAATTTTAGTTTAAATCAAATTTAAAGCAAAAAAATGTGTGAGCGACTTTACCCGCACTGAACGAAATAACCCCGTTTTACGGTACTTTATTTGATTTGATAAATATTTAATTAATTAAATTATGTATTATTATTTATTTTTTTTATCTAAAAATGTTTTTAAATAATAACAAGGAAGATTTATATCATTCCGAGCTGGAAATATTAAAATACGACCGAATGATAAATTCTGAATGAATAAAAATGTTTTTGTTTAAAACAATATATAATAAAGACTCTCATTGTCTTAAAATCTTAAATTAAATTACTTTAATATTACCTGTCTTTGCCATTCATTTCTGGTTTCTGCGATTTTTTGATAAGTATTTCCCATCATGGCAATCAACATATTAACCAATAATATTGCAACAATCCCCATGTATAAAACAAATAGCATCTACAGTAATTAAATTTTCATTAATTAATTAAGAGTTTTGCATTCAATTAATTAATTTCCAAATTTATCAATAGATTATCATTAATAACAAAAAAAAATGTTATTAAAAATTAATTATCAAAAAAAATAATAATAATAATAGAATATTTTACAAATATTTGAAATAAATTTTTTTGACAAATTAAAAAAAAATAAATAAAATGATTACCTTCGCTTCTAAATCGTGCGCTGTTCTTTCAAAAGCCACATAATAATCACCAAAATTTGTCATACTCATTAAAAACATTGCCATTATACTTTCCATTGGCGATGGCATTGGATTTGAAACAGAATCGTCTACACCTTCTGGTGTATTTGGATTATCAAATGACAAAAATATTATATAATAAGCTGTAAATGAAGAATAAACAATTCATTAATCTCAAAATAATTTCCCAATTATTCACAGAAAGATTAGAATAATAAATTTTACTATAAAGCATTTAGAAACTATTCATTATAATATCGAGAATATTAATTTCAATAAAATGTATAATGGAAATTCTATTAATATAAATTTTAATACTGAATTTATTATTAATCGTTATAATTTAGAAATTAAATTTAACTATGTACATCAAATAAAATGTAAAGTAATTACAATGAAATTTGTACGTATTGAATTAAATTAAGTTTCTTTTTTCTAAGGTAAGATATTTTTTTTTATATACCTTGAGAAAACCCCATGACAAAAACAAGATAAATTGAAACGAATCGTAATAAATCTCCCATAATCATTCTGTAAATCATCACGACAAAAGGTCCAACAGTTTTAAATCCTCGGCAAAAGAATAGAAAATAAGGAGCTGTCGTTAACATGACAACAACCGCAAGCATATCCTCAACTTCGTCTTCACAGGCGATCCTCAAAAATGGAAATGTCAGTAAAATGCAACAAGAAAATAGAAACATCACTCGAGACGGTGCCGTCATCTAAAATATATATATATTTTTTATAAATTAAAATTTTTTATTTTTTTTTTTATCATTTTATTTACAAATAATGATTAATTATGGAACAATTTTTTTTTATGAGTGGCTTACGAGATTTTCGATAAACATATTGAGACCAAGAAATCTGGCTTCTCTTAGTGCAGCGCTAATATAGAGAATTGCTCCAATTTCCATACAAATTTCGGCTGTTAAACGAATTTTTGCCACTGTACTTGTCATTTGCATAAGTCGACATTCCTCAGCAAGATCATCCCACCTGAAATCAATTAAGACAATTTTTATTCACTTTTTTTATAAAAATATTTTTAAAATTAGATATTTCAAGTTTGAATTTGAATCTGGTGCCATCTAGATGAAAATAACTCAAAATTCAGTTTCAAAATCAATAAAACTATTATTTTTTTATTCCTGCAATGGTGAAAAGAAATGAAAAAACAAATTTCTATACTAAATTCTGAAATTTAATCAAATTCAATATTATAACTTAATTCCAATTAATTTAATTTTCTTTCTCCCTTTCCAATTAAATTAGATTAAATTTAATTGTTAATAATTTAATTAGAATTTAATTTAATTTCAATTAATATTAATATTTACCAATCATCATCATTTTGATGACAGCTCTCATCGGAACATAATTCCGTGATATTAAATTCCTCTTCACCTGATGTTGTATCGGAAAAATAATTTGGAGTTGTAAAATTCTTATTGCCATCAATGGGAAAATTGTCACGATTTTTCAAAAATGTCGATATTGTCCCCTCCAATGGATCGTGTCGTCAACTTCGCAAAACATCCATAAGATTGGCAGTAATATCAGATGTAATTTGATGTGTAACTTTTGCCATTGACGTTGGCGTTACATTCAATGAGGAATTTATATTGAATAATAAATGTTCCGCTAAATTTTTCGTTATTATCGATGACAATTGAGATGCGCCCCAAGATTCAATTAAAATCGTTGTGGCAGTATGATCGGTCGCATTGGGATTTGATGTTGGTGTACTTGCATTCTCCGAACCCTGATTATCTTTCGACAATGGTCCAGGACGAAGGGTGAGGCCAATAAGGGAAATAATAAAGTAGAAGAAGAACAGAAAGAATTGTCGATAAAATCTAAAAAATTGACAATTTTTAATTAGAAATCAGATTTTTAAAATTAGAGATAAAAAATTTTATCATTTAAAAAAAAAATTATAATTTTTGTCCAGTAATTTTTATAGAAAAAAATCCGAATGTAAAAAATGTATCTAAAGATAAAAATAGAACTTTGATCTTACCTAGATTTTACAAATGTATTCCATTTTGCATTCAAAAGATCAACCAAAACTCCATCCATCAGTTCGAGATGCTCATCTTTGTCCTAAAAAAAAGGAAATAAAAAGTAGAACAAATTTTAGATAAAAATTGATATACACAATAAATTTTGCAAAAAAATTGTCTTACACCAAAAACAACGAGATTCAAAGCAGAATTTTTACTAATATGCCCCGTAGTTGTATCAATTGTATCAATTTGTGAAAGAGGATAAGCAGCACACGTAATACTGCCAATTTGCCAATAAATTTCCCTTTCGATATTAAGAATATGGAAGAACATTTCGATTCTTGCTAATTTGGCAGCTAATGTTAATGGCGTTAAATGTTGATTATTCCTTACAGATAGTGAAGCTCCCACTTCATATGCCATATCAAAAGTCGTCTATTTAAAAAATATTATTTTTTAAAAAATTAAATTAAACAAATTAAATTAAATTCTATTTTCAAGTGAGCTATACAATTTTTATTTGCGTTTCTTATTTTTTCGATTTTTCATTTTAGTTTTTATTTTACTCCAAAATGCATTTTATCGTTTTGCAGTGAAATTTTATTTAACATTTAATTTTTAATTTAATTTTTATAATAAATTATTTAATTCCTTCAAATGAAAGAATTAACTGAATTATAAATTTTCTTTTTTATTCTGAATTTTGATTTTCAATTGAAATAAATCGGATACCTATTCATAAATGCTAAATAAATATTAATAATTAATCTTCAATTAATTATTATTATTAATTATTACTTTAATTCTTATTATTTAAAATATTATTAGGTCTAAATTATAGTGTTTTTAAATTTTTAAATGTTTATTGTTACCATCTTTTGATAAATAAGAAGCATGTGAAGAACGGTGTTTCCATTTGTATCTTGTTTGTCAGGATCAGCACCTCTGGCTAACATCAATCGATAACATTCCTCTTGGCCCAGACAGGCGGCAAAACTCAGTGGATATTCACCCCAGTAAACGTAGCTAGAAAAAATAAAATATTATTAGAATTCGTCAAATTTTAATTTTAAAAAATTAATAAATTCGACAAAAATTTAATTTTCTTCTTTTAAGGAAATTTTATCAACAATCTTTGTAAAAATTTTAATTAATTATTTTAAAAATTATTATTCAATGTTAATTCTATAAATTTACAAAGAAATGTGAATAAATAAATAATAGAAACATAATAAAAAAATAACTATTTATTCAATGAATTTTTTTTTATTTCAAAAATAACTAAATTTATATTTCTTATATGAATTCAATTTACAGAATTAATTTTATCAGAAACTGCTTTTAATTAATTCAATTTTCTTTAATCTCCTTTTATTTTGACATTTATGATCTCTATTTTTGAATGTAAATGTGATAAATTAAATGAAAAATTGAATCACCCTTCGTAATTGGTTTCTGGTGCAACTGAAACCCATTCATGATCCAGACAATCGTTCCTAGAAGCTTTTTGATCCTCAGGACACATAAAATTTCCAAAACATCGTTCATGAAAATCCGCTCCACTATCGAGAAGAAATTTCACTGTAGCTGGATCTTCATTAACTATTGCCATGTGTAACACATTCTCACCTGTTCAATATACATAATTAATTATTACTAATTTTTTTTTATTAATTCTTTTTTATATTTTAATAAAATATTTATATTGTTTTAATCAAATTAAAAAAATATATTCCAATGAAATTAAATAGTTTTTAATAGTTTAATAATAATAATAAAACGCTAAATGGAAAAAAATGATTAATTACCGTAATATTCATCACTAAGATAAATGTCACATATAAGAGTGGGATAAAAACGTAAAAGACGTTTTCCCAAATCGGCATGAATAGCAGTTGCATGCAGCATACACAAATGTAAAATAGTTTCGCCAACTGCACCTCTTTCACTCAAACTCCAACAAACTAATCTATATTTGCTTTTATCTGCGTAATTATAAACAAAAAAAAAACAATAAGAAATGTTTTTTTTAATTGTATTAATATTATATTTTATTGGTTAATTATTAATCACCTATTGTATTCTCGTCAGGATCCTCGTCGCCCATGTCTTTATCCACATCATAATCAGCCGGATTTTCCATAGCTTTTAAAACCGGAAGCTAAAAAAAAATAAAGAAATGAATATAAAAAAAAAAAAAATTCTTTTTAAATAGTTCCAAAAAAAAATGTTTACATACAATAAATATTAAATAACTTTTTTTTTTTATAAAAATGAAAATTTCCAATTTTTTTTATTTTCTTGTTTTTGATGATTATTATATTTATTTTCATATGAAGGAAAACTAAAATCTCCTTTCATTACGATCGACGTAAAAAAAAAAGTAATAAAACGAAAAAAAAGTAAGATAAATAAATAGTAGGTATGATAAATAGAAAAATTTATACCATTTTGTGTTTAGGACGATCCTTATTTCGAAGCATAACTAATTTATCGACGGGAATCCATTTGCCTTTTCCTTTATTGTACAAAAAAGGTTCCACTTTTGTTCGTAATGTGTGATCTAATTCTGCAAATTGCTTCGTCTGTGATGCTCGTTTCATCATGTCCACCAATAATCCACCACCTAATTCAAAAAATAATGTTTTAATTTTTTTTCACATCACATTTCAAAAAAAGAAATATTAAGAAATTTTTACTAATGATAATAATAATGGCAATAATAATAAAAATAAACATATAACAATAATATTAATATATACATATATATATATATATATATATACATAAATATAATAATTATAATTTGTGATAAAATACCTTTTAAATCGACTAATTTGTAAAGCACAATAGATGATGTATCTGTTTGCTTTTTCACAGCACTTGCAACATTACTCTCGGTATTTCCCATTTTCTTGAAAAATAATCAGTGAATTTTTTCCAAATTAATTGAAGTTCTATAAAAAAGAAAATTTGTTATCTCAAATTAAAAACAATTGCAGTAGACTGCAAAATAAAATTGTAATTGTCAAACAAGTTTAGATACATTGTTATATGTCTATATAGATATTGCGTTAATCGTTACTATGGTATTGTTTACACTACCGTCACATTTTTATCAGTGGACCCACTCCTTTTTTTTCAAACCCTAAAAAAAGAAAAAGTATTGGCTTTCAAAAATTATTTTTCACACTTCATAATTTATAAATATTACGTTTGTCTTTATAAATCTCACCTTATTATAGAGAAAAACAATCAATTAAAAATAAAATGTAATTAATAAATAATAATTAAACGAAAAATATTAATTACATATCTATTAATATTAATAAGTATAATATGAAAATTACATTACTGTAAAATAAACGAAATTATATTCATTTTTTGTTTGTTTAATAACATTCGTTATAACCATTTTTTCTTTAATGAACATTGTTAATTAAATTATTAATAATTATTATTAAAATTAATAATTAGGTGTTAATTATTATATTTAATTTTAAAAATAATTAACAATGCTGTTTCAATACTCATTAAAATCAATAAAATTATAATCTATAAATTATTTAATAATTAAATTAAAATCTTATGAAGACAAGGAAATTGTCTATATAAGTTTTCTGTGAAAAACTTTCGTCAATAATATAATTCTTATAATCTCAAATAATGTGTAAAATAATGTTTGCCATTAATGATTTCAAATAAAAATTGGATAAGAAAATATAATAACAAAATAAAAACAGGATATCCTCGATATAATCTAATTGAAAAGATATATATTACAATTTTGAAAAAATTCTATCAATGACAGATTTATGGCTTTATAAAATAGATTCTAGATCAAATCCATTGATCCTTTTCACAATTAATCATAATTTCACGATAGTGTCAACAAGGGATTTAGATTTGATCTACTACATACTATTAAACGTGAAATAAAAACAGATTATAGCATAGTCACACTTTACTGTTTTTACAAAACGTTTCAATATTGGTGAACAAAAAGAAAAATTGTTCTCACACGATCTTAAATTGAGGAAACTTTGAAATAAATATTTAATAGTTTATATTTTGTTGAGGTTTAATTCCTTAAATGAAAAAATAAACACGAATTTGGTAATTATTATTATGTGTAATTTAACTAATTAATTAAATATATTAAATTATAATTTAACAAATTAATTAATCCTTGCTATCAGCAACAAATTAAATTAACTTTATTTTTTTTTTTTAATTTTTAATTAATTTTGAATAATAATTTTTTTAACTTTACATTGTGTAAATATTTTAAAAAAAAATTTTTTTCAGTTACAAGATGAAACTAAAAATACTATTCTTGTTATGTCTAGTACATTGTGTATTTGCCTTTGATAATAAATTAGATTCACCGGCAAAAAGATTTTTATCTTCTCTGTCAACATCTGGTAAGTTTGAAATATATAATTAAAAAAGATTTCTTTTCCCTACAAATACTGCAAAATAAAAAAAAATTGATTTATTTTACATTCGAGTACAATAATTTTTAGATAAAGAAGATTATTTGATATTTGCTCTTGCAAAAGGATACTCTACATTTAATTCCAATAATCACAATAAAACCGTCAAGAATTTGATTTCTCGAAGCATAAATAATTATCCAGAAACCATTAACAAATTCGAGGTATATTTTTAAATTAATTTAACTGATTAAGTTTCTTTTCCACAAAGTAAAATAATCCTGCAAAAAAATATTGAATTTTAATTTTTAATTATATTAATTGCAATAATAAATTACATAATATAATGAAATAATTTACCTAATAATTTTATAATATTATGTAATAATAGTGTTTTAACGTAAACAATTTATTATTTTTTTAAAATAAATACTTGAATTCTAATGAAATAAATTTTGCTTGTAGAGTCTGCAGGTGCCTGAGAATTTTGACAATAATTTCTACTTTTACGCGAAAGACAATTTTTCTCTTTCTCGACAAAATATAAAAACGCTCATTCAATCTCGTAAAATTTGCTTCAATCGCAGAAAATGTATAAGTATAGATGATATAGGAAATATGTGTTGTCCATTCTGACAAACAATATGATAAATTTAAAATAATTATTTTAAGATAATTAATAATAATAATATTAAAATATATCTTTTGTATAAAAAAAAAGTACGAGAAATGAAAAGTATTTTGAATGTTAAAAATCTGCGTCAAAATAAAGCTGTGATTACCATCTTTAAAAAAATAAAATGTAAATTAAAACTCATAAATAAAAAGTGTGACCTTATTTTATTTACATTTACACAAAAATTATAACTGAAGGACTATATTATATATTATTTAACTAGAAAACTATTATTCATTTTCCATTTCATTATTCTTTATTATAACATGGTATGAAATGATTTGCTTTTACAGAGTATGGCATAGATAATGTTTTTGTTTTTTTAAATTTTCAGATGAAAACAATATTTTTACCATACTGAGGCAGCTTGTACACAATTAAAGACTACTTTTTTTCTGTATATATAACATTTTAAACGAAAGCCTTTTATATCTTCAAATTTGTTAATTTTCAATTTTTTTTTTCAAACACTGTATTATTATTTTTTTATACAATTGGGAATTTTCCCAATCTTCCTTTTTTCAATTCTGTAGTTATTTTTATGTATTTGTTTTTTTTTTTTTTATTTTTCTGTAATAAAATTGTGAATTTAAAAAAATTTACATTATACCAAAAAAAAAGAAGATTTTTTAATTCGAAAAAATAATCGAAAGATTTTTTTCCAGAAAAATCCTTACTAAATAAATTAATTTGAGCGATAATTCCTCGTGATTTTTTTTTCTTTTTTAATGTAATTAATCATCATTCTTGAAGTTATAAAAGACTTAGTGAACATTTACTGCATCAAACGGAGTGCCACAACCATTTTTTATTGTTGTTGACATACATTATACAAAGTACAGCCTTTCTATAGTAACACTATTTTTTTTATGTGATTAAAAAAGCTGGACGCAACCGTCAGAATTAGGTATGTTTATTTTTGGTATCATTTTCTGTAAAATCAGTCGCATAAATTAACAACTATTTACAAATTGAGACAAAGCTTAGTGAAAGTTCTGCCAACTGTTTTTTCGCGCTTATTAAAGAATAAATAAAACAAGCAGAAATAAAAAAAAACTGTTTGTTTCTAATCAGTCAGCAGACTTATTTAAACGCACAAAGTAGCTATCAAGAAGTTTTTTTTATGAAATTTTAATTCCTATTATTTTTTACAAAATAACTGTATGATTAAACAAAAAAAAAATGTTTTTTTTTGTTCTCAACGCCCTTAGAATTCAACTACCTTGTGTGTCTAAATGTGCTCAGTCTTTTTTTGGTCATGAGAAATTTTTCAAATTTTCACTTTATCTCTTATACAAAATTGCATCAGTAAGCAAACACAATGCAATTACAATATATATATATATATATATATATATATTAAATCGATTAATTTGATTAATTAATCGTAATAAACTTATTGATTGTAATAATCAGTTTACAATTAATTTAATGACGTATCTAAATAATCACACTTAATTTAATTCTTAATCAGATTTTTCACAGATAATTGACGCGTAAAATTTTAGAAAAAACTTTTTTAAAGTAGTTCACCTGTGATATTTTTGAAGCTGGTTTTTATTTATTATTAATTTTTTTTGTAATAATTCATTAATAATTAATAATGTAATTAATTTGTAATAATTAATGCCAACGATTTTGCGAGGTCAATATTATTTACGTTATTTTCAAAAATAATTGAATAAATTTTAATTTGAAACGAATATAGGGATAACAAAAATTATTGTAAATTAATATTTTTTTTATAAGTTTTGAAATTTATTAACTATCACAGGTAAAGCTTTCTTTAATCAAGTCAATACAATAATTAAACGCAAAATATTTGTTTTTTGAGCTCAAAAATAAAAATAAAATGTTACATTCGTCAATTTAGTTCGAAATATATATTATATATTATTAAATATTAATTTAGACTTATGATCGCTTAAAAAGTGTTTGTATATATAGTTAACGACTATTATCATTAAAATTAGTTAACTATATTTGCGAGCAAGTTTAGTCTTGTAGGCGAAGAATTTTTCGCTATTCCCCTCGGCTTATATGTTATTAAATGCAAAAAAGAAAAAAATAATTGTGATAATATTACAGTGAATATAATAATTCAAACGTGCACCCATGATACAAGTATATATATATGTGTATACATATATATGAGTATATCACATTCTGACGAATGCTTAGTCTTATTCGCGTGAAGCTGATATGATTGGTTTTTCAAGACTTTTTGTCTTTTTAAATTCTCTCGAATTTTGAAACATTCTAAATTAAAATTTTTTTTTAAATCTAAAGACATGAAAATTTTAAGCACAAAAAAGTGATCGTATTTACAAAAAAAAATCGTTTACTCGAACGTTGAGAATTTTTTTATTCTAATCGTCAATGGAATTTTCTATCTCAAATTAAATTTTTTAATTCCTTTGTAGATTAATTTTTAAATTATAATATTAAAATTGAATAAAAAATTTATAATTAAAATCAATTAATTGAATATTCTAAAATATGATTGTCATCAATTTAGTCATTAATTAATTTTTACCGACTTTCACTATTATCCGGAATTAAAAAAAAAAAAGACGATTTAAAAATCTTATAAAAAAAAAAACAAAAATTCCATTCACAAATTAAAAATAACTTTTTTTCTACTATAAGAATTGAAGTGACCATTTTTTTGTCTCCACTTCCATGTCAAATTATTATTGAAAAACTTAACCGCAATAAACAAATTTAATTTACCACAAATCAGTCAATTTTTAAAAACAAAACATTGAGATTAAAAATACTCACAAATAATAATTGATCAATTATATTATTTTACAATTTAAGAAAATAAATTTCGAACAATTTTTAAATAAATATCATCTCGTAGATATAAGAATGCAATAGGAGATCTTTAAGATCGCAACAAATAATTTCTAAATTTCAAGAATCATATTGTAACTATTGAATATGATCCAGATGATGAGTGAGTATTTTCGCCTTTGTTTTTAAACAAAGTTAATGAAAAATTTCATCTCTTTGGATTAAATTTTCATTCACAAATATCTATATTATAAATATAATTAACTTGTTATGCGAAAATAAAAAAACATAAGTAGTAACCAAAAATTTTGTTACAAAAAAAGATTCAATTCATACAAAAATATAAATATTTGAACGAAATTAACTAATTCAAAAATTAATTAATTTTTGACAAAAATTTAAATAAAAATAAGTTATTAGCATAGAATTGTAATTTTATAAAACCATGCATACTTCTTTATTTATTTTTTTTTTTTTTATCATTATATTACGAATTCTTTAGGCAAGAGTCAGTTTGTGGCACCATTTTGAAAATTACGTACAAACTTAAACATATTTCGATATTTTTTAAATTGTCAGCAATATCTAAAAAAAAAAATTTCTATATATTCTAACTTTGAAAAAAAAAATTAAGCGTTAGTGCTAGGCTTCTTTTTTTCTATACAATTTAATATTATTTCACTCTGAACATCTATCGCAATTCTATAACATGATAAGCAATTATTTCTTTAATTATCATTGGAAAAATAACATTAACTAATTAATATTCAATAACTTAAAATTTCAAATTTTAATACTTTTTTCTTTAATATTTGTATTTAGAAAAAAGAGAAATTTAATTACTAATTTAAAAAAAAAAACTTAACTTTCAAAAACTGAAACTTAAAAAAATACTAATTAAATGTTGACATAAATAAATTGTACCAAAAATTACATTTATTATTATCTAATGATTGAGAATTGATTAGAATCTGACAAAAAATATCTGACAAAAAAACTATTTAACTTTCAAAAATGTATAGATATATGTATAATATTGCATTTTGTAAAATGGTAATTCCTAGAAGTAGAAAAATTTGTCGAATATGAAAATTCTATAGAGAGCCATTTAAATTCTAAGTTTAAGATTATTGCCTTAAGATTCGAAGGATGAGTTTCGCAAAAGTGAAAAAAAAAGAATGAAAAGATAAATTTGCCAGTATATCAATATTTATATAATCTTTGATATGCATCATTCTTCGTTTAAGACGCATTTCAAATGCGTTCAGGAATTTAGATTTGAAGTTGATACGTGGAAGACAGAAGTATACAGTGACATGAATCATTATGAGTAATTCACTTGCAAATGATACCCTATAATGAAATTTATTTATTTATTTCGTCAAACTTACTCGAACGACATGAGATTCACTGGTATTGGCTTTTTTTCTGTCGCACCGCGAACAGTAGCCCGCAATTCCTTCAGCCATTGATCCGCGAGCTCCCTCGATGAAGCCCGAAATTTATAAACATTTCCTGTCAATTTACAAAATTTTATTAAGATTTAATTCTATTTAAATTTTAAATAAATAATAAAAGCCAATAAAAGTGTGAAATTAAAAAATAATTTTAAACAAAAGGAAATTACTATAACTTTATATGATTTACCTTTCAAAGGATCTGTCAACAAAAATGTATCGGGATGAATACAACTATTTGACGGTTCCACAATCCATCCAAAAATCGAAACCATTTTATAGGGTTCTCTCTTGAAGTCACATCTGTCATTTCTAACATTAAAAAAATATATTTATTTCAAAATTTGCTTTTTTTTTAATTTACGAATTCAGAATTTTAAGAGAAATATTATTATAGATATTTAAAATGACTTTAACAGTATAAATATTAAAAGACTCATTGACTATTTAAAAGTAAAATTAAGAAATTTAAAAATTAATTTTCTATATACCCCTTAAAACATTTGGAGGAAAAGTAAACGATCGTAGATGCCCACAATTGCACCCAATATCTTTGCCACGTTGAAACTGCTGGCTTTCTACCGTCTCGTAAAATAACTTTTCTCCTTAATAGACCTTGCATTGAACAACAAGGTTCCGCAGATCCATCTAATTCGCACGGTAATACTGTAAGTGTGCTATAAATAAAATTAAAAAATGTTTATTTACTTATTTATTCAATTTTTACTATATAAAAAAAAAAATATATATTAAGAAAATCAAAATTCCGATAGGCCAAAAAATTATAATATTGCCGTACCTATCTACTTTTTCAAAATAGGACAGGAAAATAATATTATTTGAATTTTTAATTTGAAAGCGTAAAAAAAATTGAACACAATAAAAAATGCAGTGTTAAAAATTGAACTCATGAAAATTTGAAAACAGTGAAAAAAACTTGATTTTAAAAATTTGAAAGTTATAGATTTGCACAAAAAAGAAAAAAATTGAAATAAGAATTAAATAAGAATAAGAATTCTCACTATACATCCAAGGATATTGATTTTGATGATTAAAAAAAAAACCGAATGATTTTTTATTACTCGGTTTTCTTTTCTTTTTTTTTTTTTACTCTAAAACAAATTATTTTCTATAATTTAATAATAAAATTTTATTCATACCTAGTTCTCGAGAGTAAGCTGCAATCTTCATTTACAGCATCTGTGGGAGATCCAGGGGAATTTTGATCCAAATCAAGAATTTGCGATAATAAATGTGGTTCCTCCAAAACGGAATCATCTAGAAGATGTCGAACTGTCAATTGACTTGGATCCAAGGGTAGAGCAGTTGGTTTTCCAAAAATACTAAAATCATTGCAATAGAAAATTGTCATAAATTTTGAAAATAAAATGAACAAATTGTAATTTTATCCTCCATGCGCTATGCTTCCTGACGGAATATATTTTTTTTTTGTTCTTGCAAGGATTAAGGGAATGCTAAATAACTAAAACCTCGAGAAACATTTACTATTAGAAATTAGATGATAATTATGTTTAGTCCTAATTGAAAATTTTTATAATAATTTGTTAACATAACATTAACTTTTTCTTTCAGTTTCGAGATTGATATAATAATTGTCATTTTAACAATACAGCCAAGCTTTTGTTTCAATGTAGAGAGAAAGCACTAAAACATTGAGTATAGAAAGTGTATAAGAAAATGTACTTATTATAAATTTAAGAACAATCTTTTTTCTTTTTTTTAAAAAAAAAAAGGTTAATATTTTTAAAAAATATATTAGAACGAGATTTAAAAAGAATGTATTAAAAATAGCCTATTAATTGTTTATTAAATCTGTATAAGAAAATATATTTTAAATAAATTTCTTTACTATTGCTTCTTCATAAATAAAGTATTTTATCTTTCCAAAAAGGTAAAAACTATTTTAAATATATGAAACAATCAATTTTCATAAGTTTCTAAAAATAATTGAAAACATGCGATGTTTTTAAATACAATATTTAAAAAAGTCTACAATGTACATCGATAACTATTTTTATTATCTAATAAAATGATTGAAACATAAACATTATAAATAATTAAATTAATAAACATATCGTTTAATTATTAATTAATAATTATTTAATAAACATATCAAGTCTACTAACGAAATGAAATTTAACGAATACAAAATAAAAAAGGAAAAATAAATACAATTGTCTTTGTTTCTGATCATGCGACAATAAAATTATTTCACGGCTCCCAAGTGTGTATGTTTATGTATGTAAATGAATAATCGACTGAAAAAGAAAAATTAAATTAATTACATGCAAACGATTCTACGTTCACATGATGCTATTCTTCAAGCATCTATTTTTTTTTTTTATTTAATTTCACATAAGAGTCCTATTCTCGAATCTGGGACTCACCCAGAAGATGTCATGTTTGATCCATATTTCCCTCCTTGTTTATGGAAGTTGCGAGGTAGACTCGTACTACGAAATCTAACAAGTTCACAAACAATAGTTCATGATCATGGAAAATTAATTTTCTTTAGGAAAAATTTTCATTGTTTATTTTCTTTTGGAAAAGACTATACGATATCATTTTTTTAAGATAATAATTTCCTTTTTAAGTAGATCGTATTTTAGTGATACAACTTAAAAATTCTAAATATAAAATTATTTTTCAAATGTTATGATATATTTTATTGACGCACAATAGGGAAAAAAGAGAAAACGAAGTTTAACGGTTTGTAGTAATTTTTTTCTAAAAACCCTCTTTCTTAAATTTGGAAGAAGTTTTATCTATTTAAATATCTATTTAAAAGACTAATTTATTCTAATTAACCGAGAAAAAAAATAAAAAATAAGTCTCTACAGATCTTTTCTAAATTTAATACAAAGTATTTTAAAATTACTTAAATCCATTAAAATTTTAAGGCTGTAAATTATTTTTAATCTCGTTTCCTTAATTTCCTCCACTGTGGTGATATTTTAAATATTTATCAATATGAGCAAAAAGAAAACAACTTTTCGCAAAGCTAAATTTTGCTTGATAAAAAAAACAAAATGTCTATTTATCGATAAATTTGAAACGTAAAACATGTTATATTGAGAAAAGATATAAAGTATTGAACTTACTTTGTGCCAAGACTCCTACATTTTCGATGACCAGGTACAAATTTTGTTGCAGCAGAAGCTGCATGTAATCGAAGAGATCCAGCGCATCCTCTTGCTGGTGATAAGGAAAGAGCTGCAACTCCTGTTACATCACCCACAGATTCCTTACTGCTACTTGATGATGGAACTGGAGAATTTGGTTCCAGCTTCATTGATAATCTGCAAAAAAAAGTGAATAAATTAAATATTATAAATATAATTTTAAACATTTTCTTTGAAATTAAATTTATGTTTATAAATTTTTTAAAAAAATACATTAACTTATTTTTAAATAAATTAATATTTATTTTTACAATAAATAATTTTTATTTATAATTAATTTCTAAATAAATTAATTAACTTACTTAAAATGGTCATCTTCTAAAAATTTTTGTAATTCCTCAATATAACGAACACTATTCACATATTGTTGAACATCAGGAAGGGGAATTATTCCTGGATATTCACTAGCTTGAAATATAGCGACTCGCGTTAAAACTGCATCGAACTTTAATATTCTTTGACAATTATCTCCATTCTGAAAAAAAAGAAGATTAAATACATACAAACACTATTCTTCACAATAAACTTGTTTCTAAATTGCAAAAAATTTCAAAGATCATAAAATTAAATTTGATTTTTTTTTAAATTAACTACTTTTATAATCTAGTAATGAAAAGTAAAAATAAAAATTCTTTGTTAAAATATGTTTGCATGTAAAAAATAAACCTTAAAAACATTTGTGTTGCATCTTAAAAAAAAACATATAAAAATATAAAAATTTGTATTATTAACGAAATACTAGACATTGTTGTTTTTTTTCAAATAATTTCATATTACGCAAAGAAATACATACCCTTGAAGTAGGATGAGCCATGTCAATATAAACGAGATCCGTGAGAAATAAACCCAAATAAGGAATACAGGGTAATTTAATTGAATCCATATGAACACGTAAATTCATCCAGTTATTTTTGTCACTAAATACTTCGGCTAATTTATCAAAAGTCACTTTATCTTTCTTTGAAATACACGCCCAAGTTTTGTTTAATCTATAATTATAAAAAAATTAATCTTTATTTGAGCAAAAAATCTACTTTTTAAACAAAAGATAAAAAAAATTCCTCCAATATTGATTTATAAATACCTGTATATTGAAGCACTTTGTAAAGCAGATGTTATTGCAAATAAGGAATGCAGATTATTTAACTCATAAAGCCGTTTCGCAACTCGTATAAAGTGAGCTAAGATTTCTCCTCTTTGCTTTGGCGTTGGAGCATTTAGTATTTCTTGAACAGTCCAGAAACTCACCTAAAATTATTAATTTCATTAATTGAAAATAATTAAGTTATAAGAGAATATTGTTAAAATAAAAAAAAAAAATAATAAAAACTACCAATACATGAATTCAAATAATTTAAGAATTAACTAAAATAATTATTAAAAATGAATTCAAGTTTAATTAAAAAATTAAGTAATACAGAAAATTAATTAAAATAATAGACAATTAAGTTATTTAATTAATTAATTAATTGAAAATAATTGATAGAAAATTGTCTTATTTAATTGAATTAAAATAAAAATAAGTGGCAAATTATTTTCTTTAAATTATATATGACATACTGACATGATTAAATCTTCTTGTAAATGAGACGACATTTGGAGCGACAATTAGTTTGTTCTTTTTATTCCAAGAGCAACTCGACAATTCTTCTGGCCTAATGGATTTAAAAATACTTAGATCTAATAGAGTTAATTGAGAGGCCAAGTCTTCTGGTTGAACATTTAGGGCGACTAAATTTTTAATCGAGGCTGAATTGCTGTTACATCTTCCTGGTAATGAATTTGACTTGCAACTCACCGAATTGCTAAATAAAATATAAATACATATGAAATTATTTCAATAGTCGTATAGTATGTATAAATATATAAAATTAAATTATATTTTTGTACCCAAAATTATCGTAGCCATTTTGAGCAGAGAGAGGCGTTAACTCTGAATATTTTCTGTAAGCCTTGAATTTGTCGCGATGATCTTTACGCTCTTTAAAAACTTTGTCGATATTATTTACATTATTTGGTAACAATGGGCCATTTAGAGAATGTGTATCATGAGTAAAATATTTATCCGGATAATTCAAGTTTCCATACTGCAGAACAAAAAAAAATATAATTATATACTCATTATAATATTATTAAAAATTGTAATTTAAAACATTTAATTATTTTTTTTTAAATTCAAACCAAAAATTATATTAACACTAATAAAAATCGTATATGATTAATATTATGCAATTAAACGATTTAAAATAATCTATATTCTTTTTTACAATTATAACATGTGTGACATAAAGTAGAGTATCAAAATAAAAATAAAGAGATATAGATGTTCGAAAATTAACTTCATGATGAAAGATGATGATTAGTGTTAATTAAGGTTTCTTGAACTATATCTATAACATGCTCTTAATTATTCTAAATATAGTTGAAATTACTGAAATTTAAAAATTAGAAATAAATTAATTATACTCACTTGGGCGATTCGTACAGTGGAAACCGAATCATTTGAAAGATCACGAGACATAGATGTGTAACGCATTTCAGCCATTAAGTCACTCGTCGCAGTAAAAACAATTCATCTTTCTCCGATCAAAGAAGCGTAATTCTCAATATTATAAGATTTAATTCCATCTAATGGTGAAATAAAATTTAAAACTATTAATTCTTCATGACTAATTTTAACTGTAAAGAAATAATTAACTATTAAAAAAAACCACTTAATATAGATGATACAGTTAGATAATGAAAAGAAAGTACATATGATTAAAAAAAATGAAATAATATTTTTAAAAAATACATACTTAATAACGTTAGTGTAATAATCATTAAATTATTAAAATGAATGAGAAACATTTTTAATACAAATGATTAAAAAAAATTCCACTGAATGTAAAAATAATCAAAAGTGAATTATTTAATATGAATGATTAAAATAACAAAAATATGTATACATTTTTTATATTCAAAACACATTTGCATTGGCTGTGAATTATAGGTTAGAGTTTCTCTTTGACGTTTAAACTTCAATAAATCAATAAAACACAATAGAAATGGAGCAAATAACGAGAAAATGAGTATTAAAAAAATATCAGCAAAATCAATCTAATAATTAAAATTTCAAAAACTATTTAATAAATTTAGAATAAAAGCACTGTCAGTATACTACCATTTAGTGCATGATTCTGCCACTTATGATAACCCTGCAATTATTTCGCAAGGTCAATGACGTATTGCAATAAACATCTGCGAAATTGTTTCTTTTGGCGCCTCTTGCAACTAATCTACAATAATCAAAAATAGTTTAAAATAAATACTAAACACCAAATCATTATAATCACCAACACGGGAAAAAGAGAAACGTTGGATTAATACCGAATTCCGATTGGCTGAACAGGTTTTCGGTGTTGATTCAATAGACGCGACCTCTGTAGTACAAAGCATGTTGTTTTAATGCCAACTAGTAAGTAGAATTGATTCCAAAAGTTGCCGTTATACTATTAAAGCTTTCGAATATTCCCTTTAAAAGAAATTGTCTTTTATTTTTGTACGATTATTTTAAAATTTGACAGGTATTATTGGATTACCTCGATAAAACTGTAAGAAATGTTAATAGTCCAGATGAAATATTATTTCGTAATTATGTAAAAGATTCTATTCCATTGGCTGTTTCAGTATATACACTTTATAATATAGTTGCAGTTGGATTTACTCATATGCAATTATACAATCCAACTCTTATTCTTCCAAAAGAATTATGGTATCCACTTCCACTTGAGCCATTCAAGAGGAAGATACTTGAACTTACACAACAATTTATCTATATTTTTCATTCTGGTGTATTACATGTTGCAGAAGGTTTAATTTTTATGTCAATGCATATTGCCAGAGCAAAATTAAATGTTCTTACTAATGAATTTCCACATGTTAGTAATGAATTGCAGTTGAGAAGATGTATCCAACTTCATCAAGAAGTAATATGGTTAATATAGAATAATGCAAATTTTATAATTGTAGGGTCAACCGGGGTAAATCCGAACGCTTTTAGTAAGTTTCAACAATAACATAAGTTTTTTCTTTAAAAAAAAAAAAAATACTTCCGGTATTCTGGTGCATGAAGTTGTTACTTTACTTCCATAGAACAATTTTATGGGGTAGCAAAAATTTTTGATAAATTACAATCGCAGGAAACTTAGCCTTCGTACTTACCTCGATACTTTGCAACTTTCCTAAAATACCGGGGTAAATACGAACGCCACTGTATTTCAGAAAAATCTTAGGGAAAATGAATTTAAAGTATTGCAATTGTTAAACTTATATAAAAACTCAAAAAAATACGATAATAAACCTATTATGTAATAATGCATCATATATAAATACAAAAATCAAACAGGTTAAAAATTAAAATGCATTACATAATTAAAACCTTCAATAACTATATCAAATCATAACGGATTTTTGCAAAACTTGGTACAGAAAGTATTTTGGAGTGATTGAATGTAAATACAAAAATAAAAGTCAAATGTTTTAAATTCAAAATGGCGGACTTTCCTAAAACTTATTTTTAAAAATGATCAAATTTGCTAACTCCAAATTCGTAATCAGCGACCCTGAAACCCCCCGAGTAACAATTTTCGAGCGAATCCAATGAATTTTTTAATTCTCGTCCGCCATTTTGAATTTTGAAAAACTGACTTCAAATTGGTAATTAGCGACCCCAAAAACCGTAGAATACCAAATTTTATTAAGATCCTAAAAAACTTTTTTCAACAAACCATTTGGCAAAAAAATTGAAACACTCCTTCGAGAGAACAGAGATTAAGTTTCTGCTTATTAATTACTAACGAGGATACGTATAGAAAGAAAAACTTTTTTCTATGTACTTTTATAATGTTAAAATAATAGTGTAATGAAATAAAAACAATTTTGTGTGGCTCTGATGTAAAAAAAAATTATTGAAAATACCGTTCGGATTTACCCCGGTTTTCCAATTTTCCTGGGTAAATACGAACGGTCTGATATTATTAATAAAATTTTACAGAAGGCAAAAATGAAAAATAGTTTCTGTTCTAGTATTCATAACAAACAATTATAAATAATAAAATAAATTTTTAGCTTCTTTTTCTTCAAATACGAGACAAAATACTGAAAGAGTGTCATCTTTGATTTTCAATCTTTTTTGCAATACTCGTTATCTTTGTTTATGCTGTTGCTAATTAACAAACGAAAAATGGGATAATACTTAGAATCTCTTGAAGAGGATCTGAGGTAAAAATTCTCATATCGAACTTATTTTTAAAAATTTTAATTAAGCTGAAATAATTAGCGTTCGGATTTACCCCGGCTGACCCTAATAGATATTATAAAAAACTAACTAATTTTTTTTTTAACTTAAGAGCATTTGAACCTTCGTGACGTCACAAATCATGGCGCATGACACGCAAACTTCTCAGGTATGTGAAAAGCCCAATTTTGAATATTTTTTAAAAAAACCTTTTGGAAAATGTTCAGAATAACATAGACTCTGTCTGTTATGTGCTGAAAATTCAAAATTTTGCGTTTAAAACGTTTTTTAAACAATGTTAAGGTCACAAATCATGGCGCATGACACGCAAACTTCTCAGGTATGTGAAAAACACAATTTTGAATATTTTTTAAAAAAACCTTTTGGAAAATGTTTAGAATAACATAGACTCTGTCTGTTATGTGCGGAAAATTCAAAATTTTGCGTATAAAACGTTTTTTAAACAATGTTTAAGTTGGTTGTCACAAGTAAGGAAAAATACACGAATTGCTTATATGTAGCCATTGTTTAAAAAACGTTTTAAACGCAAAATTTTGAATTTTTCGCACATAACAGACATAGTCTATGTTTCTCTGAACATTTTCCAAAAGGTTTTTTTAAAAAATATTCAAAATTGTGCTTTTCACATACCTGAGAAGTTTGCGTGTCATGCGCCATGATTTGTGACGTCACGAAGGTTCAAATGCTCTTAACACAATTAACTAATCAATAAATTAATTTAGCACAAATGACTCTTTAAAATCTACTGGAAATTTTTATAGGATCCCATATAGGATTCCATAGAGATTTGGTATAGGAATAATTGGGGACGCATGATTATGTTCTAAAAATCATTAGTTAGAATTTTCATTGTATGGAATTTCATTTGTCATAATTATATTTTTGAGCTGAATTTTTTATTTGTTCGAATTAGTATTTTATAGAATTTTCATCAAAATGATTTTCTATATTACAGAATTTTTATATAACCGAAAATTTACTTCACAGAATTTTTATTTGTTCGAATTTTCATTTAACATAATAGGCTCTACCCAATAAAAGTTCTTTAAAATGCCTATTATGTTAAATGAAAATTCGAGCAAATAAAAATTCTGTGAAGTAAATTTTCGGTTATATAAAAATTCTGTAATATAGAAAATCATTTTAATTAAAATTCTTGCAAAATACTAATTCGAATAAATAAAAATTCGGCTCAAAAATAATTATATGACAAATGAAAATTCTAACTAATAATTTTTAGAACATAATCATGCTTCCCAATATTTGTAATTAAGAATTTATGATTTTAAATAAATTTCCATATAGATTTCTATATGAAATATGGAATTTAGTATTTATTTTTATAAAGAAATACAATCTATATGGAATTCTATTTTCAGTAGAGAAATGGCTTTCATAATCATTTATTTTTCTTCTAATTATTTCCTTTAAAAAATTATCATATGAACCGTTTTTAGGTTTGTCAATTTATTGAATAGTACTTCACGTTACCTTATTCTTAAACAAACTCTGGCAGTTTTTTTATATTTGACATTGGGATTTTTTCAACTTCTTCACGTAAGTGAAATTATTAATATTTTTTTTCCACTCATTGTTTAATCAATTTAATAAATTATATTTACGGATATAAAAATGCGAAATAATAAATAAAACTTGGTTTCGTTAATATGCTATAGTAAAATATATTATGAGGAATTATTTATTATTTTTTTTAGCAAAAAGATGTTGTGAATCCTTTTTTAATTCATCAATTTTTATTGGTGATAATAGTTGTAAACTATAGAGTTTATTTTGGAACACAATGTGCGGATGCTGTAACTTTAGTGGTAAGTATTATAAAATACGTGAGGAACATTTCATTACTATACCAATATGTGAAATTGGCTTGATAATAATAATTAATAAAACCATAAACAATATTTAAAAAAAAAATTTTTTTTTTTAAGTAAATATTTTTCATTCAAGGGAGAAAACTTACGATTCTCGATACCATGGGCAGGACAGTCTTTAAGATCATCAAAATCAATGTGCATAGTCATTCAAAGATGTCAAAAACCACTGATTATATCAGTATCTGGTATTATTGCCCAATATTCCTGTTGGTACTATGGCAGCGTAAGCGAAATTTTAATTACTATATTATCCGGATTAATAAAATTTAAATTTATTTCTCCATCGCATATAAAAATTTACAATATATGAAGTTTCTAATAGGCGTATAATTCTTTTAATATTATGTTTTCTAACTTTTTTATCTTTTAAAAAATAATAAATATATACAAATAAGATAAAAATATATTTACTATATATTTTATTACTGCAATAATATTTTTAAATATTTTTTTAATAATTCTTAAATTTTTTTTTCAGTTTCTGTACAGGACATTTTCATACTTTCTAACTTTAAAAGCTGTATTAGGACTTTAAAAATGAACTTTTGAATTATAACTATTGAAATTGTAATAAATTGTTATTTATCAAAATATAGTTCTACGTACAAAAATAAGAAATAAATAACAGAAAAAAATTATAGCTATACATATATTTTTATATAGTAAATGTAAAATATTTCCATTCTTAAATCAAATTGTACAAAGAAAAGGAAAAAGAAAATCTTGTTATTTTAATAAATTATTGTGATTTATAATTTGCCACTTTTTTTATCATTATATTAAACATTTTTCTATAAAAGTAAATTAATTGTACGAATAAACGCTACTAAAAATTAGAAAAAAAGTTAAATTTTTTTTTTATAGAATATATAACGAAACTGTTTTGCGAACGTCTTGGGAAAATTATTATTATTAATGATACTAAAGAGCTTTTCGCTTTTGATATATCTAATTTTAATTATACGATTCTACATATATGAGAAATAAGCGCAGATATCTGAAAATTCATTAATTATTAAATTCTAATTATCGTGGACTTTAGTTCGTCAAAATCGAATTTACTCTATATTATTTCCATTCTCTAGAATCGTAGCCACATTAAGAAATCATTTTTATTCTGTTAATTAAACTGAAACTCCTTATAATTTAAATATAAAGTTTCAAAAATAATATTAAAAAATATAATGGAAATAGTAAATAAATAAAATTAATAAATAAAAATGAAAGTAAACAAAAAAACTAATGTTTTGTTTCGATTTTTAAATATTTATGGAAGATTAAGTTCAACTTGGCCACCGTCTCTTAACGATAGGAGACAACAAAAAATAATCTATGAATTTTGTTGGTGGTTCACTTTAATTAATGTAATTAGTCTATTGATACCATTAATAATGGGAGTTTTTCATTTTCGAAACAATTTCGATATATTGGCTCAAGCCGCTTCTGAATTAACAGCACTTATGGAAGTTTTCTTCAACATGTTAATATGCAAATTACAAGGCAAACGTTTACAAGTAATTATAATAAAGCTATAAATTTTTTGTACTTGAAAAAATTCGCCCTAACATGATTTTAAGGATGATTGAAAAAATTTTAATTTTTTATAGAAAATTCTTCATAATATCCATATCTTCAAAAAAGAAGCAAATGAATTGGAAAAAAATATTATTGACAAATATACAGAAAGATATTTTAATTTTCATATATTTCTTGGCACATCTTTCTTTTTAACTGGTATCGCTTTTTCCTGTTGTCCAATTGTAACATCTGCATTATTGCCAGCCGATGCTTGGTATCCATTTTCATTAGAATATTTATTAATAAGAATAATTCTTTATGCAACACAAGTGCTTGCAATAGCACAAACTGCTCTATGTGTTTGTGTAGATTTTACAGTTGCAATGATTTTTTGGTACTTATCAGTCCGTTTAGAACTTCTTCAACGGGAATTCAAAAGTACTTCCACTAATCTCGACTACAAACATTGTATCATTAGGCATCAAGAATTAATAGCGTGAGTATTTATATTTTCTTTTTGTCTCCTCATTTCTTCATCAGGAATTAATTATGAATTTTAAAAAATTGTTTGCACTCTAATTTTGTCACAAGCATAAATTTCCTATACTAATTTTGACAGAAATAACATTTTTAGATTTTTCGACGAAGCTTCTAAACTTATCCGATTGTTAATAATTAAAAGTACTTTTACAATGACTCTAACTATAATTTTTTCTGCCTTTGAATTACTTGGTGTAAGTAAACATGAGTAACCATAATTTTTATATGGGCAAATATCAAGAAACTTTTATATCATTTTGTATATTAAAGGATATGAATGCTAAAAATTCCAAAAATTTGCTCATTATAAATTAACTAATTTAAAAATATTTTTCTTAAAAATAAATAATAATTGTACATTTTGTATTAACTAAATAGCATATATCTCTGACTGTAATATCAAAATCTATAATGATGGTGGTTGGTGCAAGTTTAAGACTCTTCCTAACTTCATGGGCTGCTGATGATTTAAAGGATCAAGTAAGTTTTTATAGATTCTTCAATAATTGATAAGATAATTATTATTAATATTATTTAGAATTGAAAATTAATTATTAAAGAGTGAAAAAATAGCTGACTCTATATATGAATCGTCCTGGATTAATAAATCTTCTGAAATACGAAAGTACCTGTCTATTGTAATTATTCGAAGTCAAAAACCATTTGTAATATCTGCTACAGGAATAATTGACACATTTTCTTTGGAATACTATTCATTTGTATGTTCAATCAATTTAATAATTATTATTTTTAAATAATTGATTAAATCATAAATTATATTAATAATTGAGACTTTGGATCTTAAAAGGGCCAACACTAGAATTTGCATCACAATTTTTTTTTGCAATCAAAATTTTAATACTATAGAGGCCAAAATTTGTAATGTAAATTCGAACATTGGCTCTTTTAAGATCCAGAGGCTTTATTCCAATTAAAAAAAGTTAATCATATATTTATAATTTATTTGTTTTCTTGTTTCAGTTCCTCGCAACATCAGCTAATTATTTTTTTAGAGCAAGAGCTGTTATGTCTTAAAATAATAATTATATGCCCTAAAATTTATTTCGTATTAAATTTAATTACAAGAGAATAATTAAAACTCAAATGTTATTAAACATTGATTTCTCATAACCTAATGTACTTTTGATAATACTTTATGATCTTTATATAATATAAAGAAGTAATATTATTTTTTATCTTATCTTTTATTTCTTTTTCAATTCGTTTTTCTGTTCGGATTCTAAAGCTTATTTGTTTGTTAAAAGATCGTTGTTAAAATATATTCCTATTTTTTTTTTAATTATAAAATAAAATGTCTTCCCGTCCACCTTGTCCTGAGATGAATCATTCTCCAACAGGAATATAAGAAATATTTAAATATTAACTTTTTGTTTTCATTTTTATATTTTAATTTGAGTTATAAAATTTTTACTTTTTTCTATTAGAAAATTATCTTCTTTCTGTATATATATACATTTAATATCTGTTTTGTTTTTTAAATAGATTAAAAATCTTATTTGTTACTTTATACAGTACTATTCTTGAAAAAATGTATGATTCTTGTATTCACACATTTTTGGTTCATCGAGCTTCTTTTTGGCGATTTCAATATCGTTTTGTATTTCACTTATTAAGTCATCTGTAAAAAAAAAGGTCGAATAATTAATATGTAATATAATTTAATTCTAAAAAATTCGAAAATTGATACTTTTCGATGGCATTACAAAATTATTAATATTAATAAGTAATAAATTTAAGAAGTATAATATCCTTTAATTAACTGTATATAAGGATTTAATAATAGTTAATAATATAGTCAGAATGAACCTGAAGAAAAATAAATTTATTTTCTTACCAACAGATGAGAAATCTTTCTCGGGTCTTATATAACCCGTGATAATAATTTTAAGACTCTTGTCATAAAAATCACTTGGAAAATCATGAATCAAATGGACTTCCTAGAAAAAATAAATTCTTTCAATGTTTAGAAAAAATGTAGAAAAATGCTTAATAATAATAATTAAAAAAAAAAATTGAAATCATTAAATTTATATTGACCAAAATAGTTGCCGAATATGTAATTTCAAAAAATTATGATATTTTGCAAAAAATATTCTGTATTTTTTTAGAATACATAACAAAAGATTTTTATTAAAGTTCATATTTATTTCATGTAAAATATAAATTTTAAGTAGTAAAAATATGGAAAATTGTCCATTTTTTATTCAGTAAAAAAAGAGAATTTGTCTTGAAAGTATAAAAAACATATCTTATCTTATTATTTTATATCTTTAAAAATTCTAAAATCAATTAAAAATAATAAATTTACTGATTTTGAAATCAATATCTAATTTAAGTTTCAACTTTTAAAAAAATAATTCTATGTTTTTTAAAAAAGTTTTCCACTGTCAAAGAGTATAAATTATAAATTCTAATTATAAGTTCAAATCTTACAATCAGACAAAATTTACAATTTCCAAAAATAATTCGAAAATTTATGTTTTGAAATATACAATTTTTTTAAGACAATATAAATAAATCCTACCATGGATTTTTTTTCATTTTTGTAAAATGGATTCCAGCCAATGCTCATAACCATTTTGTAAATCGATTTTTCTAATAATGCCCATCCATAGTAAATTCCAGTTCCAAATTCTTTGGGTAATGCATCAACAACATCCTCTGGAAGATTTGCTAAAATATAAAGGAAAAAAAAAATCCATAAATAACTCGTTAAGAAATAATTTAGTTTATTTAATTTTAATAAGTAAAAAAAAAATATGTTTAAATAAAATAAATATTTTCACTATAATATAACAAAAGCTAAATAATTATTGATAAAAACTATTATTTTAAGTGAAAATTTAGATGAGAAATTTTTAAATAATGTGAAATTAAATTTGAAAAAACTGGTAAATTACCTGTTGGAATTCCTAGAGATTTGGATCCTCTTCCAAAACCTTTAATAACTATTCCCGTTGTACAATAAGGTAAAAATTTACTAAACATTGTTCTTATTTTATATATCTGAAGGTTTTTTTTTAAAAAAAATAGAATGCGTTAAATACTGATAAATTCCAATAATTTAGAACAATAATGATAAGAGATCATTTGGACTGTTCATTATTGTATATATAGATAATCTATTTCAATAATCTTTGGTATGCTCAGCATCACGTCATTAAAATTATATATATAATTTTTTAATGACGTTTAACATGATATAATAAAAACTTTTACAGCTCTGCCTCTGCATTTTAATTTTTAGGTTATATTATCGGTAAATGTATAGGTTGACTTTATCATAATGAAGATTTCAAATTTCGACTTTGAAATCACATTTCTACTGACAAAATACCGATATTTAAAAAATTTGTTAAAAAAAATTACTTTTAATTATGTTTATTGTTAAATTTTCATTATTTTAGTGATCTAAAAAATTTAAAAATATGAAATTGTACTTTTGTTTGTGTTTATTTATAATATCCATAAAAGTCTATATGAAAAATAGTAAGTTTCTTCAAAAAAAAAAAAAAAGAAAAAAGTATAAAATACCTCTGATAATATTATTATTAATTATTAAATCTACTACATTTCGTATATTTAAAAATCTCGAAATTGTTCGATATGATTAAAAAAATATAAACGATATTTCTAATTGAAGTCACAAATTTCTTATTTTTTCTTGTTTAAAGACAGGTATTTAGCGAGGGCACATAACGTGTCTTCCACCATCTACTGGCAAATTTTCACCAGTGATAAAACTAGCATCGTCACTAGCTAAAAATGCAATTGATTTTGCCACCTCGGACACGTCTCCAGGACGACCTAAAGCATGGGTGGCTTTAGCTTTTTCAAAGAAATTTTTCAATTCTTCATCGGACATACCACTTCTTTTGTGTAATTGTGTTATTGTCACTCCAGGATTTACAGAATTCACACGTACCTAAGACGAGAAAAAATTAAATGAATGAATAAAGTAATACTGAAAGGTAATTTTTTTTATACTGATTTGTTTTAAAAAAAATTTTTTTTTTTGAATTATTATCACCTGTTTTGATGCAAGTTCCAGAGCCACACATCTTGTTAATTGATCAACAGCCGATTTACTCATACAATATGATAAAACACCTGGAAATGATCTTATACCATTAACACTCGAAACGTTAACAATGTTTCCCTTGGTTTTTATTAAATAAGGAACAGCTAACATTGTCAGTTGATATATTGAACGGACATTCGTGTTGAAAACTCTGAAAGTCATTTTTAAAAATTATCATTTACAATAATAATAATTTATTTAATTAATAATAAAGTAGTATGTTATTACATTTAATTAAATAAAATTAAATTAAAAAAAATGAATTCTATTTAAACATAATTAAAAATTTTTAATACCTATCATATTGTTCCAAACTCGTGTTTTCAATGCTACCGCTTTCCAATGTTCCGGCATTGTTAATTAAAACATCTAATTTGCCATAATGTTTGATTGTAGAATCTAAGATATTTTTAACATCATTTTCATTTGTTATCTCACCAGTGATAATGAATGGCTTTGGTTCTTTACATTTATTTGCGACATCTTGCAAATTGTTAAGATTACGTCCTGTTAATGCCAATGATGCTCCTAATTCTGACAAATAAATTGCTGTTGCTGACCCAATTCCAGAACTGGCACCAGTTATTAAAACAACTTTTCCCAAAAATTTCATCTTTAAAATTTTTGTCTAAAATATTAATAAATAGGAGGTAATATATAAATTCTTAAACAAAACGAAATTATTGTATTTTCAAAAGTGGCAAACGACCTTGAATATTTATACTTTCTATTAAAGCAACAGATTTTTAGGTTTAAGCAAAAAATCAACCAAAAATCATATTTAAAAAGAAATGTAATAACTTTTTATATAGCTTATATTTATAGCGTTTTATTTATTAAAAAATATTTTATGTACTTACTATTTTTGCCTTGTATTATTTCCTACGATATTGGAATGTATTCTGAATATTGTTACTTAACAAAATTGATGGATAATCTTTGAAATACTTAACAATTTCCTGTCTTCCAGGAAAATAAAACAAAAATAAAAAAAAAGTACAAAAAAATGTAAACCACGTGAAGTTATCATCGATCTCATTCAATCAGGTTGCAATACATAACCTTCCTAACTTTGTAAAAATACTAAAAATCTTAAAAATACATTTTTATTTATTACCATATTAAATAATTACATTTTAATAATTGGCATTCAATTAATTAATATTATTTCTATAAAACTTAAAATTAAATTTTATTATAAAAAAACACCACTAAATTTTTTCCTTTAATAAATATTTTGATTTCAAAAAATGACGCGCAATTGAATTGCCAATCAGACGAGGTTTTATGAGCGTGCGCAGTTAAAACACCCCTCCCGTCAAAACAATTACTGAAAAGTTGCACACAGTTGCACATTCACGGGAAAAAGAGAAACGTTGGTTTAACGTTCTGGGTCTACGTCACTGCGTTGGCATTGAATTAACATCGGCTCTCCTGTTAAATCAACATACTACGATCCAGCTGCATTAGCAGAAATATTTCGGCTTGCGCAGGCGCAGTGTATTCATGAGCACATGTTTAATTTCAATGTCGATCTCGTTTATCGGTCGCGATTCCCAATATATACCCTAAGAATTTAATATATATTTTGGTTAATATATTAGAAGTAGAATAAAATTTATGAAAAAAGGCGAGTACATTTTTAATTTTCGGGTCAAATAAACGACCAAAATGAGTTTGCAGTTACAGAAAAGTGCAGGTAATTTTTTGTAGGTTATGTTTCCCAGATTTGTCATTGTATTCATCGTCGTAATAATTTACGAATTTTCGAAAAACGATATTCGTTTTGCGGATTTTTTTTTTTGACATAGATAATAGTTCGCAATCAATTGAAAATACTGATTTTACAAGAAGTCGAAGTGATTCTACATCGAATTCAATAAGTCGAGAAGAGTTGCTAAGTAAGATTTTTTATCTGAGTTTTTCCCTGTCAAATTTTTTCATAATTTACTCGCAATTTATCTTTTATTATTGTGTTAAAATAGAATCCGAGTTTTGGAAAAAAGTGTTTCATCGTCTACCTGGAAGAAAGGCGTTAATTTTACAGGAAACAAATCAACCTCAATGGCGTGATTATCTTGTTGACGCTATCATACAAGTCGAATTGGAAGCAAATGCAAATTACACGTATGTATATAGTCACATGTTTTTCTTATAAATGAATATAAAAAAATATTTAAAGTTTTAAAAATTAGACCAAATTTCTATTTCCTATACCACGAATTATTATTTTTTAGTATTTCGAGACAACGATTCGAGCATATAAAAAGCGACGTTTTATTGATAATTCCGACTGAGTCTACTGTTGAAGGACGCGAAAATGGATGTGACGGTGGACTTTGGTATACTCCATCCAATGGGTTAATAAAAACTCGCGGAAAACTATATAATAAATATATAAATGAAAGAAGAGATTTAATTAACTGTGGACTCATTAATGTGAATAAAAATACCAGTGTGGACGAACAAAACATTGATAATGGTATGTTTACGAGTTTTAAATACTAAAATTACATTTAAACATGTTGCTTTCTAATTAAACATTTATAAATTTTGTTTTTATTGTATTTTGAAATTTATAATTGAATATCTTTAATATAACTTTAAACTAAAATAAAATTAAAAATTTTAACTCGATTGATTTAAAATGTAATAAATGAATTCCCTAATATTTTAACATAAAAATAATGAATTTCCGAGTAAGGTTCGATTTTAATAATTATAATTTATACAATATATTTCAGACGGAATCGAAAAATTGGAATTTTTTAAGCACACGGTTGAGCCGTTTGACACTGTGCTGGTAAAATGGAACGCGACATATGAAATTAGAAAACGTGTTGCGAAAAATTGGACCATTCCTGAGAAGTTTTTGAATTTCAAGGCCCTTTCTCAGCCTAGAGGTTATTTGCTGGTATGTCTTCCTGTAAAACATTGGTGGCAATTGTAAAATTAATTTATTTCTTTTAGCTTGAACAAGATTTCTTCCTAAAACATCCTATTGACAATGACATTCTTTACTCCAAGTGGCCAACGATATCTTCGAAAATAATCGCTCTTTCAACTTGCAGAAAGAAAGAAGCAAAAGTTAAGAAATTCCTAAAAGAAAATGAAAATCTGTTGAAAGCAGGTATGTATTAATAATAAATATTTATATTAGTTTCTTTTAGTTATTATGATAATAGCTTTAATTATTGCTTTATTTAATTCAGATTGTCGAGAAATTGCTGCACTGCTTCTGTTGCCAATTTTAATTGGACCCAGTACGGCAAAAGTAAAATTTAACGGAAAGCATTGGAAACCAAAATTAGAGGATTCAAAAGATACGTTTCTTAAAGTCGTAAAGGTAATTTTTTTCGTTTTATTATTAGTATTATTATTTTTAAAAATTGTTACTAACATAAACAAAATCTCTGATTATTAAAAATGTTAAATTTCAGTCCGAAGAGGAGGTGCAAAATTTTTTGACTGAAAAAAGAGAATTTTATAAACAGTGCAACTCAAATTTAGGACCCCTCGCTTTCATTGTCGGATCTCTTCCTGAAATCTCACATTGTTACGTTGCCGTAGATAAAACGCTTTATCATTGTAGTACGCCTCTTAATGCTATCGACGTTTGCTTTAAAATATCTGCAGCTCTCGGATGTGAGTATCCTTTAGAAGGTCGTTATCCTTGGATTTTTTTGGAAAAAGCTGTATATGGACTGTCTACAACAGTAATTTCTCCCAATGCGGTCACAGCTTTAATTACCGATTTAAGTAGTGCAACTTCAGAACAATAAAATAATTGCGCAATATGGCTTCGTTGATCGAAAATGAATTTACCAAAGAAAAAGCAAATTTTGCGCACTCTTTGTATGGGCAAACTGATATTCCACGAAATGCTATACAAAAAATTGTTACCATGTTTGCTCTATTTATTACAAATGTCTTTATTTCTTATTTAAAAGATCAGTTCAAAATTGTATGTGACACCAGTGCTACGAAGAGTTTGCAGTTTGATGAAATTTGTAAAGTTTTAGATGATAATTCAAACCCTCTTCAAGATATTATATCAGAATACAGAAGATTCAAACTTTTTTCGAAATTTAAATTGTCTATCAATCCTATTGAGTTCATTTTGGGAAAAAAATTTGAAACTACTGAAAAAGAAGGTTCTACAGTTACTTCGTTTGTATCAGCCAAAGCTCATTGGATTCCTTTAAAAGAAACCCTTGTGAGAGTTTTCAGCAACTTTGAATTTTTACAATTAGTAAAAGGTTACGTAAAACAATTATTAGAAGATACCACCGTTTTAAGCAACTTTATTCAAGGACAATATTGGCGTGAGAAATTAAAACATTACAATGATAAATTTGTTTTGCCATTAATTCTATATCATGATGATTTTGAATCTGGAAATGCTCTCGGCTCGCATCATGGAACAAATTCAATTGGAGTTCTTTATGCCTTTATTCCTTGTCTACCTCCTCAATTTGCTGCTCTTCTTGATCATATTTACACTGTTTTGGTGTTTCGATCTCACGATAGGAAAACATTTGGCAATTATAATACTTTTCGACATGCGATTGATGAAATAAACGAAATAACTGCGAATGGGATAGAAGTGGAACACGAAGGGAAAAAAGAAAAAATCTACTTTGAATTAGGATTGATTACTGGCGACAACTTAGGACTAAATAGCATATTCGAATTCGTTGAAAGTTTTTCGGCAAACTTTTGTTGTAGACTGTGTAAAATGGCGAAAAGTTCTTTAAATGTTAGTTGGAAAGAAGATGAATCATTGCTCAGATCAAAGGAGAATTATGAAGCAGATCTTAAGGCCGACAATTATTCTGAAACTGGGATTCATGATAGTTGTGTTTTTAATGCAATCAACGGTTTTCATATTTGTGTAAATACGGTCGTGGATGCTCTTCATGATATTGCAGAAGGTGTTTGTTTTTATACTATGCAAGGGATTATTGATAAATGTATTTCAGAAAGTTGGTTGACATTACAAGAAATTAATCGAAGGCTAACTACATTCGATTTTTCTGCTTGCGGAGAATCTAACAAACCACCTCCATTAAAAAATGGAAAGATCAAAATGTCCGCCGCTGAAATGATTTGTTTTTGCCGTTATTTTGGTGTTTTGTTTGGTGATTTAATACCTGATAATGATGAGCATTGGTCTCTATATTTAAAACTCCGCGAAATTGTAGAGATTGTTACCTCGCACAGAATTTTACATGGACATGTTAGTTACCTAAAAAACCTTATTGAAGAGCATAATTATCTTTTTTTGAAAAAAATTGGTCCATTGAAGCCGAAGATGCATTTTATATTGCATTACCATCGAATCATTCGTAATTTTGGACCACTGACACAATATTGGACCATGCGTTACGAATCTAAGCATCGCCATTTGAAGCGTACAACTAATAATCTAGCTGGATCAGTCAATATTACAAAATCTATAGCTATTTCACAATGCTTCAAAATCAGTCAACATGCTTCTAGTATTGATGTATCAAGTGAAAAATTAGGTTCTAAAGCTCATCGTTCATTACAATTATTAATACCACAACAATACGTTCTTCAGGATACCGAATACTTTAATTGGGTTATTATAAAAGGTACGAAATACGCATTGGGAAAAGTTGTTTTACTTGAAATGATTGAGGATGAGTTGCCAAAGTTTGGAAAAATTAAAGTAATTTTCAAATTTAACGGTGTAATAATGTTTGCTTTTCAACCTTTGATCACTAAATGTTTCTATGAGAAGTATAATGCCTACGAGGTCGTCGAAGATAACTGTTCGAATGAGAATCACATTGTATCTTCCGAAAATTTCAATTGTTCAGAAATATTTCCATTCTTTTACCAAAATGGACAACAGTATGTTTTGTATCGTCACGTATGAATTTATATCGTCTTTTGAGATTCAGTTAAACTAATTTGAAAAATGTGACTTAATAAAAAAATCATTCTTTTGTACCTCTTTAATTCATTTTAAACCCTCATCTCCAATAAAATTCAATATTTAAGAAATTAACATCAGAACCAATAAATTATTAAATAATTTATTTAAATTCTAAAGAATATTAATTTTAAATTTAATTACTTTATATACCACTTTATTTTGTTATTTTTAATTTGTCATTTTATCTATTATTTTAATTTTATTTTGAAAAATGCTTAAAATTTTTAAAAATGTGAAGAAATAACGTCAATTAATTTAAACATGACTTATAAACTTTTGTTATTTAAGTACTCCGTGTTATATGTTTTTTTAATGTTTAAAAAATATTGTAATTAAATTAATTATTTTATTAATTCAACTTTTAGATTTTTTAAATTATTATTTATTATTTTATTTATATTTATTTACTTTTTTTTATTTATTGTTTTTAATATTTTTTTACTATATTATTTCATAATTTTAGTTTTATAATTAAAGCAAGAAAAAGAATTCTATTATAATATATTTATAATTATAAATATATTGTAAAAGAATTTGTTTTTTATTATTATTTTATTAATAGAATTATGCCCGAATATATTCGAGCATATAGTTTTCTTAAATAAAGCAGTAACTTTTCGCTATACAAATATAAATTTTTCCGACGCGTGTAATTCAACTAACCATGGTATGTTGATTCAACGGCGTTTGGTAAGTTGAATCAACATACTGTAGCCTAACGGCAACTTTTGGAATCAATTCTACTTACTAGTTGGCATTAAAACAACATGCTTTGTACTACAGAGGTCGCGTCTATTGAATCAACACCGAAAACCTGTTCAGCCAATCGGAATTCGGTATTAATCCAACGTTTCTCTTTTTCCCGTGTAGTATGTTGATTTAACAGGAGAGCCGATGTTAATTCAATGCCAACGCAGTGACGTAGACCCAGAACGTTAAACCAACGTTTCTCTTTTTCCCGTGTTCTTATTGAAAATAAAAATTTTTTAATTATCATCTACTAGTTTCTGGAAATGATTAATTTTATTATTTAATAATATAATTAGTACTACAATATAATAAGAAACAATTATAACTCACTAAATTCATTTAGATTTTTAGTTTTTTATCATAAAATTTGTAATTTATTAATAACAATTTATAAAGTAATATTTACAGATTAACTAAATTTATTGTTAATAATTTATTTATGAAATGTACAGCAGGTGCAAGTAGAAAGGAACGAATTGAATATTTTTTTGTAATTTTTCACCATGGTATGTTTTTCTTTTTGAAAAAGTATTAAGCAAATTTTAAAATATTGGCCTTTTCTTATTAAGGTCAAATTCACCCCGTTGTATACGGAAGTTGATATTTTTCTTATATATAAAAACAATATTTAATATTGCGGAAGTAAGAAACGGAAATATTCAATATATCTACGAATAAATGGAGAAATAATAAATAAATAATAAATTGTAGAGAATATTAAATGTTTAAATTAAAGTCGACGATGAAATAAACTTTAATATTTTATATAAATTCTTAACATATTGTATTTCTCATCACATGATAGTGGATAATTATCTTAAAATGTAAAAAACATTTCTATTTTAAACGCGCGATCTTTACTGTATACTCAGTAATTTTTAATGCGATCAATTATTTTCCCAAGGAAATTAAATTTCTGCTTTCTCTTATAATTTTTTTTTTTTTTTTATTTAATGAGGGTGAACTTAGAAATATATATTAATGAAATTTTATATAGAAATTAAATTAAATTAATATTCCTAAAATATAATTTTCCTAGGTTCAGCTAAAATTGTGCCTTTTTTCAGTTTCCTAATTATTATCATTTAGTTGCATTCCTCTAGATTTTTCATTTTTTTTTTTTTTTTTTTTGATAATGGAAAAAATGGTTTATGTTAAACTGCAATATTAATTTCCATCTTTAAAAATGAGGTTCATCGTTCTCTATTTCTCTTCTCTCCCACTCCTAGTTTCTCTTGAAAGAAATAAGAAAGTTTCTTCTTACCTTGATTCACAGAAGTCTATAGTATCATTCGGTATGGATTTTGGTGTAGGCTGATTTTTAAGTTAAAAAAGTTCCAAAAAAGAAATTTTATTTCTATAAAAAATAAAAAAAAAATGCTGTGATATTTCTGGTCCAATAAAAATTTACAATATGTATTTTATATTGATATTAACAATATGTGGTAAGTGAAAGTAAAATTAAAATACTAAAAAAATTCGTGGACACACATCTGTCATATTTAATAAATTTCCAAATTTATTAATATTTTCATTTATAATTAGGTAAAGTGCGAAAAAAAAAATAATTTACCGAAAGATTCTTACAGAAAATTGGTTTAAATAATTTTTTCTGCTATTTTGTTTTTATTGGAAATCATATTTTCATATTGTTTTTAATTATTTAGAATTTTCTATATAATTTCTACTGTTTATTTCTTTTCAAGAATGAATTTCTTTTCAAAATAAATTTTCAATAAATAAATTTATATTACAATAAATTAGATTTGAAAAATTTACTTAAAACATTTTTTATAGCCGCAACCGGAGATGCATTACGGTTAGCGGCATACATTTCTTCAGGGGGTCTTCATGGGGAAATTCATTTTCAACCGGGAAATGTTGAAAATGTGAAAATTCGTTTTTCTCTTAAAACAACACTTCAATATCCAGATCAGTTGTGGGAATGGTATATCACTGAATTTCCGGTCGATTATACCGGTACCAATGATCGTTGTGGTGAACAAAATCTAGGAAAAAGGTATTTATATTTACATTATAAATAATAATAATTAACAATTATAAATATGTTTTAATTTTAGTGTAATAGACTTAACTGAATTATTGGGTCCATTACAAATGCCTGGTAATGAAACAAATTCAATTGAAGTACCTGGACTTAGTTTCACTGGAGAAAAAGGACTTTGGGGTAAAGGTTTAATTCTAAAAGAAGCCTATAGTCCTCGAATTATTTGCGCTTCTATAACGGTATAAAAATTTTAATCAATTAAATATATAAATGAGAATTTAATTTTTGCCTAGCAAAAATAATTCAATTTTTAATTGAATAGGTAATGAATAAAAATTCAGAAAAAGTTGCTGAGGCACGTTTTCATGGACCCATTGCTGGATCTATATGGTTTCGTTGGTTGGGTGGACAGACTGGTGAAAATTTAACTGAAACAATAATTAATACAAATTTACATCGCGTTGATCAATTAACATCAACTGCACTCGATTTTACGGAACATCATTGGAAAATTTATGTCACAGATATTTTTGAACCTGGCAGTAAAGGTAGGATATTACAAGAGAATCAATATATTAAATATTATTTTAATATTTTTTTTTTTAATTACAGATAAAAGTAATTGCAATATTCTTCAAACAATTTTTGATCCAGACAACATAGGAGTGAATAAATCAATTGGCGATATTGATGTACGATTGGGAAAAATTAAAATTGCTAAAGATATTTTTAAACGAAAGAAAACTTTTTACAGAGATTCAAAACTCGATCTGCTACCAAATTATTTTATAGGATCACATCGATTATTATATTTGGTCATTTTTCAATCGACACACAGTGATTCTTTTTTAGCTTGTGCCAAAATTCAATATCGCAAACCAATTGTGGCCAAGTATGTAAAATACAGAAAAATATTTCTTCTTTTTTATAGTAAACAAAAAATTATTATCATTTAAATGAAATGAATATTAATGTATTTATTTTTAATTACATTAAAGGGCAATTATCAACTCACAAGGTATTAAAGGAGAGGTTACATTCAAGCAAGATTCTCCATTTGTACCAACTTGGTTGAATATCTCATTGAATCCAATAAATGATTTGGAAACAAGATTGAGATACGAGACGAAAATTGCAGCTTATAAAATTCATGAATTACCTGAAGAACCTGCAAAATTTTTAGAACAAGTTGGTGAATCTTGTACAACCACTAAGAAAATGTATGATCCAATGAATATTGACAAAAACGCTGTTCCACCACCTGGTAAAATTATCTTTAGACCTTTATTAAAATAATTTTTTTTTTCTATATAGTTCGGTTAAAGTACGTTTTATGTTTAGCTACTTTGAATTAATTTAATTACATTAAATTTATTCAAGTTTAATGATAATAAAGTAACACTCGAATGTACACTAAGAAAAATATGCTCTTGAATCAACAGCATTTCTGACAAAGGCATAAAAATTATTGATTCAAAAGCATATATATGCTATAGAATTTGTAAAATATTATACAGATTCTATAGCATATGCTTCAGAATTAATGAGTTTTATGCCTTTAGCCGAAATGATGTTGATTCAATAGCATATTTTTCTCAGTGTAGACGATTATTTAATGCTTCTGATACTGATTTTTAAATAACGATCAGGTTTTGGGACTCAAGATCAATACTGCATTGGTGATTTATCAGGCAAACTTCAAGGTAGAAAAGAAGGATCAATGCATTTTGACATTCTTGAGGGAAGTGCCAAATTAAGCGGACTTTATTGGGATACTAATCTTCCTCTTTCTGGATCACATAGTGTTATACATCGATCACTTGTTCTTCATAAGTACGTCTATTTTATTATAACTTTCAGTTGATAATTTCATTAATCTTTCTCATCTATTCTTTAAACAAATTCCCTGTTTTCTACTTCTTTAATTCTCAACCTTCTATATCCTTTATCAACAATCTTAATACCTAATTCCTATATATAATTTATTCAGATACAATGAGACTGACAATAAAAGTATAATTCCTTGGATCTGTTCGACTATTCTTCTTCAATCATTGAAAAATTCTGGTCCACTCTCATTGACAACAGCTCAAGTGATATTTCGATATCCCTTAGTTGGGAGAATCATTTTTCGTCAACCAACTGATGAACCCGAAATGGATACTACAATTTTGATAGAAAATCTAGTTCACGCTGATGGTACATCTTTGAATAATTCCGCTGATCACAGGTATTTTATTAAAAAAAAAAATAATATTTCTACAGAAATTGTTTTTTCAATTGTAAATTAATTTAATCTTTTAAAATTATTTAGATGGATGATTCATGATTTACCACCAGGTAAAGATTATTACAATTGGACAGGTAGATGTCTTAGTGTTGGTGCACCCTTCAATCCACATAAGGTTGTTGAAATTATTTAATTTTATCACAATTTGATCAAAATCAATTTGAAATTATTATATATGGACAGGTCCACGCCATTTCAATATATCATAGAGTTTGAACTCTTCGATTTTTTTCAAAAAAAACTACTTCCTTTTACAAAAATTTTAAACCTAGTCCGATCGTGAGGAAACAATTTTTTCAATATTTTCAACAAAATTTTAAATTATGGAAATTTTGAATTTTTTGAAAATATCTCCTGTTTTGTTTTATACTACGTACTTTTATGTATTTTGATACGCTGATTACGAAAATCATTGTGACAATAGACAAAAATTTAATTTCCATGTTGAAAACCATAAATTTTAGGACTTTTTTATGGTTTTTACCATAAAAAGCAAATTTTTGGCTATTGTCACAATGATTTTCGTAATCAGCGCATCAAAATACATAAAAGTACGTAGTATAAAACAAAATCGGAGATATTTTCAAAAAATTCAAAATTTCGAAAATTAAAAAAAATTTTGAAAACATTGAAAAATTTGTTTCCCCACGATCGGACTAGGCTTAAAATTTTTTTAAAAGGAAGTAGTTTATTTTGAAAATTTTTTGAAAAAAATCAAAGTATACAAATATTTTTAAAAACAAGATTTTAACCTAAATTTTAATTTTATAATTTTTTGCATGAAATTTTTGAAAAGTTGAGTTAAAAAAACACATTTTGGAAAAAAAAACTTTTACAATTGATGCATTTTTATCGATGCTGAAGTACGCAATGTCAACGATTAGAAATAAATTTTTATTTAACACGGAAAATTATAAAATTCTTTAAATAAAAAATTAGTTTTTTTATAATTTATTGATTAATAAAAACAACAAGAAATATTTTTTTAGGCAAAAAGTTATAGAATTGTTCATTTTAAAAAATTATTTTTTTAAAACGTTTATCATAAAAACGTTGCATACTTCAGCTTCGTCATTTTTAAGGAAATTCTGAGAATTCAAAAAAAAAAAAAAAAAATGATTAAAATTCTCTAATTTTGAAAAATTCATATCTCGTAAGGCGTCTTGATGAAAGAAATTTGAAAAAAATCATGAATCTCTTTTTTGGAGGGTACAAAATGGTAAAAAAAATTTGAGCCAAATCAAAGAGGTCAAAATCGACGATATATTGGTTTGGCATGGACCTTCCCATATATACTGACAACTGTTAAATCAGCAGTGAAATTTTAATTTAATAATTTTTCAAAACTGATTCTACAATAAATTTAAAGAAGTAAAAATATTAATACTTAAAACTTTTTAAAATAATTATTATAAATTTAGTAAATTATAATTGATAATTTTAGATAGAATGGGGTTTGAATCAACCAAATCAATGTTCCGCTAGTGAGATAACTCTTTGTAAATTAGGAGATTTAACAAGACACGGAAACTTGGACATTGCAGGAAGAAAGAGTGTCGCATCTCAATTAACAAGAAAATTATTTACTGATAGTGCTATTTATTTATCAGGACCAAATAGTATTATAGGAAAAAGTTTAGTTATTTATGATGATCATGGACCAAAGGCAAGAGGAGAAAGACTTGCTTGTTCGATGTAAATAGAAAGCAAAACATAATTTTTCTTTTTTTAATTAAAATTTTTAAAAATCGTATAATACACTTTAAAGACAGAAATTAAATACAATTTTTCATTTTTACAGAATCAGTAGAGTATATAGAAGAAAAGCTGTGGTTAAAAATTGGTTTAGTAATAGTGAGCCTAAGACTGCAGGAGGAAAATTAGAATTTATACAACAAAATGAATATGATTTAACGGACGTTGAAGTAAATTTAGAAGGTTTATCAAAAATAATGAGTGGATATCATATTCATATGGTGGGTAACGAGTTTTTTAATTTTTGTTTTTTTACGCATTTTATGGGTTTAGCAGATTTTACACTTCTTTCGTAAAACAATAACTAATAATAATATTAATAATAATAATAATTGATACTTCGAATTTTTAAACTCTATAAATTTTTTTAGACGCCTATTGAAATGGATTTGGAATTTCCCTGTGAAGAGTCATCCCTTTACGGTCACTGGAATCCTTTAAAAGTCGATCCTAAAAATATACCTCTCTCGGAAACTGGTACAACTGATCATTATGAAATGGGAGATTTAAGTGGAAAATTCGGCACTTTAGATAATAGAAATAAATACATTACTACTTATAATGATACAATGTTACCATTATTTGGTCCAAGAAATATTTTAGGTCGGAGTGTAGTAATTCACAAAAAGGAGAAAAATTTGAGGTATTTATTTTTATATGAATATTAAAGCAAGCAAAATCATTTATTTTATAATTTTCTTGTATCAGATGGTCTTGTGCTACAATTGAAAGAGGATATGCTCCTTCGGAAGCACGAGAATTGAGAGCTATTGCATCTTTTCATCATCCACAAGGTTTCGCATATGGTTATATAAGAATGGTAAAAATTAAATTTTTTTAGTTATTTCACTTATTTAAGAAGTTATTTAACTCTTTTAGTTTTATTTAGACTCAACTTATATACAGAGATAATAGTCAAAGTGAAACGACTATTGAAGTTAAATTAAGACATCCTGGTGAGAATGATCGAAATATTGTGAGTAAATTCTGCTAAAAATTTATTTAATAAATATTAATTTTATGCTTTTTTTTTAAATTTTAATATGTTTCATATGTTAATTAAATTTAAATATTTATTTATAATTTATATTTCTAGACAAGAAATCATAATTGGGCAATTTATGTGAATCCCGTTGGAGTTGATGCATCTGTGAAAATAAAAGACACTAGATGTGTGGCCGCTGGTTACATATGGAATCCATATTTTACTCAACTAGCAGATCCATTAAATGTAAGAACTGATTTTTTAATTTATATTGTAAAAATAATCTAATTTTGAAATTAAAATTTCGATACTGAAATATCTATACAAATTCACCTAGAAATGACGTTAGCCATTCTCCTTTTCAGGAAGATTTATATAGACAAGAATGCGGTGCCGATCTACCATTGAGATGTTATGTAGGAGATATTTCCGCTCGTTTGGGACCAATTGATATAGGACTTGAAAGGCGTGTTTTCACTGATTCAAACTTTCCTTTAGAAGGCACTGTTTCAGCTATGGGAAAGTCGATTGTTATTATGGAAAAAGATTTTGGAAGCACTCGTTTTGCATGTGCAAATATTGAACCAGATCATGACATTGTCAAATATATTAATATAAAGAGACCACCACGTTTTGTTGTGTAAGTTATCTAATCATCTTCGTTCATTAAGGGCAAGTCCAACATGTGAAATGTAAACAAACATGAAATGTAAACAAACCATGCACATTTTTTCGCACTTCTCATTTGTGTAGAAAATAAAAATTTGTCGTTTTCTTTATGAAAATGGTAAATCAATGTATTAAACTAGGTAACTATACTTCTTTTAACAACTTTTCTGAACAAATAAGTATAATTATAATAAAATGAAAAGTACACTGAATTAGCAATTTTTTCAAGGTTTCGAAAAAAACCATTTGAGTATATCTGAGGCACGGACGTTGAGCACCTAGGTGGGAGACAGAGTGGAGCCATTGGATGGACACATCTTGGAAAGGGTAAAATTATGAAATTTTACCCCTTCTCTCACTTTCTCCCACCTAGGTCCTCAACGTCCGTGCTTTAGATATACTCGAATGCTTCAATTTTTCGTAACCTTGAAAAAATTGATATTTCAGTGTACTTTTCATTTCATTATAATTATACTTATTTGTTCATATAATTAGTTAAATTAAGTATAGTTACCTAGTATAATATATCAATTTACCATTTTCACAAAGAAATTAACAAATTTTTATTTTCTATTCAAATGAAAAATGCCAAAAAATGGGCATGATTTGTTTAGATTTTGAACAGTTTTTTCGCACTTCTAATTTCAATAGAAAATAAAAATTTGTTATTTTCTTTGTGAAAATGGTGAATTAATATATTATACTAGGTAACTATACTTCTTTTAACAACTTTTCTGAACAAATAAGTATAATTATAATAAAATGAAAAGTACACTGAATTAGTAATTTTCTCATATTTTTTCGCAGTTCTCATTTGAATAAAAAGTAAAAATTTGTCGTTTTCTTTGTAAAAATGGTAAATTTATATATTAGACTAGGTAACTATACTTAATTTAACTAATTATATGAACAAATAAGTATAATTATAATGAAATGAAAAGTACACTGAAATATCAATTTTTTCAAGGTTACGAAAAATTGAAGCATTCGAGTATATCTGAAGCACGGACGTTGAGGACCTAGGTGGGAGAAAGTGAGAGAAGGGGTAAAATTTCATAATTTTACCCTTTCCAAGATGTGTCCGTCCAATGGCTCCACTCTGTCTCCCACCTAGGTGCTCAACGTCCGTGCCTCAGATATACTCAAATGGTTTTTTTTTTCGAAACCTTGAAAAAATTGCTAATTCAGTGTACTTTTCATTTCATTATAATTGTACTTATTTTTTCATATAATTAGTTAAATAAAGTATAGTTACCAAGTTTAATACATTAATTTACCATTTTCATAAAAAAACGCCAAATTTTTATTTTTTACACAAATGAGAAATGCGAAAAAATGAGCATGGTTTGTTTACATTTCACATGTTGGACATACCCTTAAAATGTTTAAAATTGATATCTACATTTTTTCAAGTAATGAAAATATAATTTTTTTTTTTAAATTATTTTAATTTTCAATTAGAGCTCAATTTTTGGAAACTGTGAGAGAAGTGATGGGAGTTCCTGACTGGATGCTTTCTGTCGATAGTAGAAAAACAAAAATACTCCACAATGGAGGATGTATACAATTTTTATTACACTTTAGAGGTGATTATTATTTATAATGTATTTAACATTGTTTATTATCTTTTTAGTGGATACACTATTTACTTAATTTAAATAATTATTCTTTTAATTTCGTATTTTATTTTCCTAGGCCCTATTGCAAATAAATTAGATCAAGACTTTGGTAAATTAATATCAACTGGCAAATTGGAAACTGCTAGTTTGTACATTCCAGGATATGTGCCGAAAAAGAGAAAGGGTTCTTTTGGTTATAAACAGTGTGGATTTCGTGATCCTAATGAAAAAAAAAGTATTTCACTAAACTTTTACTTTATTATATATGAATATAATATTAGATAATAAATAAAAAAAAACTTTTAATATTTTTTTTATTTTTCAGATACCAATTATTTCTTCCAAAGTGATGCTTCTACGGTACGATCGCGCTTAGTTATAATTTTTATTAGTTCGTTACTAACGTGCGTACAGTTTAAAACAATTATCTTATAACAGTTTCATATTTTTATAAATATACATTTTTACATTACTAATGCCTTTCTTATTATTTAATCATTTTCTTTGTTTTTCTATTTTTAAAATTAACTGAAAATTTAAAACTTTTAAGTTCAATTAAATTTTTTATAAATTCTTGAATATATTTTTTGCTTTTCACTTTTTTGAAAAATATAAAAAAGTAGTACATGCATATATCTACCTATATTACAAAAAGATATCGCCGCCAACGCCGCCGCTGTTCCAAGACTCTGAATATAGCTTCGCGCGCCAACCTCTACCCCCCTCCTCTCTTCCCCTCCTTTTCCCCTCCCCCACCCTAAATTTAAAGGTTAAGATCGTTTCAAGACTTTGAATATAGCCGCAAGTCCCCCCTCCCTTCTCTTCAACCCCCCTTCTCTGGACTTGCGACTATATTCAGAGTCTTGGAACAGCGGCGGCGGCGTTGGCGGCGATATCTTTTTGTAATATAGGTAGATATATACAGGTTGTTCCAAAAGTATGGAAACTTGCAAATATTTCGAAAAGTACGAATTTTTGTAAAAAATGTTCAAGACAAAAGTTGTTCCAAACAAAAAGATGTACATTTCTGAAACCAAAAAATTGGGCCCGGAGCCCAATGTTGGGACCTACAATGAAAAAAGTGGTTTTCTTAAATCGGACCACTAATTTTCAGTATCAAATTCGTAATCCCCATGAAATTCTACGTTCAGACATGTGGTATAAGTGCCCAAAATATTGGTCCCAATTCAAGATATTGGGTCCAAAATTTATCAACAGATAAATAAATTTTAAAAAATCGTATCTTGGAGGGATTTTGAGATCACAGGATTAGAAATTGGAAACTAATTTTCAAATTGGGCATAGAGCCCAATGTAAGAAACCGCCGCCCAATGTGATGCCCACAGTAAAAAAAATTAGTTGTCTTAAATAAAACCCATTAATTTTCAGTATCCAATTCGTAATCGTTATGAAATTCTGGGTTTAGACTTGTAGTACAAAAGCCAAAAAATATTGGGCCCTCACATTGGGCTGCAGAATCTTACATTGGGCTCTATGCTCAATTTCTAATCCTGTGATCTCAAAATCCCTCCAAGATACGATTTTTTAAAATTTATTTATCTGTTGATAAATTTTGGACCCAATATCTTGAATTGGGACCAATATTTTGGGCACTTATACCACATGTCTGAACGTAGAATTTCATGGGGATTACGAATTTGATACTGAAAATTAGTGGTCCGATTTAAGAAAACCACTTTTTTCATTGTAGGTCCCAACATTGGGCTCCGGGCCCAATTTTTTGGTTTCAAAAATGTACATCTTTTTGTTTGGAACAACTTTTGTCTTGAACATTTTTTACAAAAATTCGTACTTTTCGAGATATTTGCAAGTTTCCATACTTTTGGAACACCCTGTATACATATAAAATATAAAAATAAATAAAAAGTTTGAATAAAATCGGAAAAACCTGTCCATAAAATATCAATAGATTTAGTAATTTTTACCTATGAATTATAGGAACGTGACACAAAATTATTATTGAAAAAAATGTATGATAAATATGATAGGACTCAATGAAGCGCATTTTTTGATAATAGAAATACAGAAGAAAGAGAATACGCAAGAATGGGAGATAGTGAAAAGGAGGGAGAATTTGAATAGCGGGAGAATAGCATTAGTCCACGCATTAGTCCCATTAGTTCGCGCTCCACATGCCATGTGGCAACATAATTTTTTATAACGTTTTACGTCAAAAACTCGACTAAATTGCTGTGATTGAAGGAGGAAGTGTGCGTAAAAGTACGATTTTCCCTCCTTTTCAGCACTAGTGCTTAAAAGAGTGCAATTTAGTTGAGTTTTTAACCTAAGGTGTTATATAAAAAATCTTTTTCTCATTTCGCAACTTGTTTTCATTATAAAAAGTTCAGAAAAACTAAAAAAAACTAAAAAAACCATTTATTACTGATTATTCTAATATAATAGAGTGATTCGACAAAAATGATTTTACGTGTTCAATCTGGTGTGTTAAAAACAATTGTTCGGAGCAATGTTCGTTCATTATCTCAGTTTTACAGCATCAATGATAATGCATTTGGATTTAATGAACAACAAAAGGAGGTCTATTTTTTAAAATCAAAAACTATTTTTTTATTATAATTAAAAATGAAATAAAGATCTTTCATTAAAATATGTAAAATTTAATTTACAATTTTTAACCTGATGTTAATTTAATTTAAAACATAATTAAATTTTTTTTTAATAAAATTTATTTTATTCAAGTATGTAATCGAAATTATTGGTTTAAATACATAGTTTATTTAATTCAAATAAAAATTATTTGGTGCAAGTAAATATTTATTTGATAATAGTCAAGCAATCGATTATTTAAATTCAATAAATTTTATTTTCAGTGATTTTTAATAAAATTAATTATAACTGATTTATTGGAAGTCGATAAAACAGTTAAATGACGTGATAATTCACTGATTCAAAAAAATAATTTTTATAAATTCTAAAAATTTTTTCTAAAAATTTTTAAAAGAAAAACTTTTATTTTTATTAATTAAATAAGTCAAACAAACTTTCAGTTTTTTTAACTTGGTAAAAGTCTCACATTTTTTCACTTAAAAAAATTTACGGAATATAGAATTCTGAAAAATTTGTTAAATAGTTTTACTTTAAGAAATGAGTTTAAAATCTTATATCCAATTTTGTTTTATTAAATTTTTAGTTGCGAAACTTGACTTTCAACTTTGCACAGAAGGAACTCACTCCAAAAGCCGCGGAAATGGACAAAACAAATAATTTTGATGATATGAGGGTATGTACATGAAGTAATAAATTTTTTTAGTATAAATTAAAAAAAAAAATTTAAACGGTCGTATACATAGTTAAAATTTATTGAATAATCCCTGGCAGACCGCGCAAATCGAATATGCTAACTGAATTCGGTTTAATATTCAGTTTGACGTCAAAAGTAACATAAAGATCAGTAAAAAGTGGTAAAAACAATGACTGTAAATATTTTACCTTGTCAGATAAAGAATAGTAAAAGTTAAGGAAAAAAATTGTTTCTTTTATGGAAAATTTTATTTTTCCAAAAAAATATAAATGGATATCTTCCTATTTGTTAAAAATTGTAAAACGCAAGGACAAGTTCAACTTTTTATCAAAAGTTTTTGTTATTCTAAAAAAAAACTCCAAGTAACTATCTATCATATTTATTATATTTTTTTCGTTATCTACACGTGAAAATTTATTTATTTTAAAATACTTAAACTTGTCGTATTTTACCTTGTCAGATAAAGAATTATGTAAAAATGAAGGAAAAAATAGTTTTTCTATGAAAAATTTTATTTTGCGAAAAAATGTATGAAACTCGATTTTTATTTCGACTCGCAATATAATTTTTCTTGCATTTTATTCGTAAAAATACACCTGAATACTGTCTAGATAGCACGTAAGCTTGCAGCAACCTTGCGACAAGCTTCAAATGTCCCACCTGACCGAACCTTACACTGCAATCTTTCGGTAAGCTTACCATGCAAGCGTGGGTCAGGTGGGACATTTGAAACTTGCATTAGGCTTGCCGCAGGGTTGCTGCAAGCTTTCGTGCCATCTGGGTGAATTTTATCTTCCTAGGTTAAAAATTGTAAAACTCAAGGCGAAGTTCTACTTTTTTTTGAAAAAGTTTTCGTTATTCTAAAAAAAACTCAAATAAAGTAACTACCTCACGGTGCGCCAGAAAGAGGTTTAAATAAAAATTATTATGATTCTTAGATGAATAAAAAACATTTATCAATAGGTTTTAAAATCAGTTTACGTGTCCAATTTTAAAAAAAATTGAGTCTTAATATAAAAATAGTATTTTATGGGGAACCAAGATTTATTTAATGTATATATTTGTATAGATAATATAGATGTTTTAGATTTGTGTTCATATAATTTTATTAACATTGAAGATATTTTCTTGTTTCGTTTTTATATTTATGCATTAAGAGTGTCGAACGGTATCTGAAATTCTTTTGCAAGAAGAGAGTTTTAATTATATCACTCTGAAGGTGAAATAATATTGATTTTAAAATACTTTTTTCTCGAAACACGGACACTTTTTACAAAATCATACAAAATACTTATCTTATAAGTTTCCTAAATCCAAAAGACTGTACGAATCCATAGAAAAACGCAATTGCAAAACGAAAAGTAGGAAAGTAATCTAATTAAAGCTGCGACTTTGTGCTCCCTGCATGCTTCTGCCATCTGACGGCGGCAGGAGGTAATGTACCTGTCATTATAATATTTTCTTACTTTTTGTTTTGCAATCGCATTTTTGTATGGATTCGTGCAATCTTTCGGATTTAGGAAATTTATAAGAAAAGAATCTTTGGCTACTTTTGTAAAAAGTGCCCGTCTTTCGAGAAAAAAGTATTTTAAAATTAATGTTTATTAATAAATTTTGATTCCCCATGAAACACTGTTTTTTTATAAAAACGCAATTTTTCTTAAATCGGGCACGTAAACTGATTTTAAAACCTATTGAGAAATGTTTTTTATTCATATAAGAATCATAATTAAAAATAATTTTTAAGGGACAACTCATTTTTATTTAAACCTCCTTCCGGCGCGCCATGACCTATCATATTTGTTATTATATTTTTTCTGTAAACTATATTATTATTAAACGCTAATTAAAGTCACCCCTATTAAAAATCTCAGTACGAGATTTTGTACAAGAAAATGTTCAAGAACTTGTTCCTATTTATATCTATTTATTACTAAACAATAATTGGTTTTACCATTTTTTACTGATTTTTTGAGATTTTTGCCCTACAAACCGAATGTCAACCGAATTCGGTCAGCATCCGGTTTCGGTGATCCGCCAGGGAAGTTATATAATAAAATAAATAAATAAATGCGAATAAATATATATATATATATATATATTTTTTTTTTTTATTTAAAGCCATTTTGGAAGGAAATGGGTAAACTGGGTTTTCATGGAATAACTGCGAAACCGGAATATGGCGGAACTGGAGGAACTTATTTAGATCACGTGATTGTTACAGAAGAAATTGCTAGGGCCTGCGCGGGTGTGGGTCTTAGCTATGGAGCTCATTCAAATTTATGTTTGAATCAAATTCATAGACACGGTACTGAAGAACAGAAACACAAATATTTACCAAAGGTAATTGAGTCCCGTACAGAAAAAAAGGTTGTTATGTTTGTTAGTGTTTTAAATATTTTACTATCTTCTAAAGCTCTGTAGTGGTGAACATGTGGGAGCTTTGGCAATGTCAGAAGCGGGTTCAGGCTCAGATGTGGTTTCAATGAAATTAAAGGCTGAGAAAAAGGGTGATTACTACATTTTAAATGGAAACAAATTTTGGATTACAAATGGACCAGACGCTGACACTCTAGTTGTTTATGCAAAAACTGACATGAATTGTGCAAAACCACAGCATGGAATTACGACTTTTATTGTGGAAAAAGGAACTCCTGGTTTTAGCACTGGACAAAAACTCGATAAATTAGGAATGAGGGGTCCAAAAACCTCGGAATTAATTTTTGAGGATTGTAAAATTCCTGGTGAGTTAATGCATTTTTTTCTCTTTTAATAAAATAAAAGATTCAAAATTATTCAAACGAAATTGAATTAAATTGAAATTGAAATTATTTCAAATTATTTGTTATACATATTCTAAAAACGTTTATGTTTGCTCAAATAACGTGCTGAAAATATTTCCCTCAAGAATAGTGATTTAAGGGGGGGGGGGGGGGGTAAGGTTAATTCCATGAAAAAAATGCATATTTTTACGAATTTTTTTTGGCTATACAGAAAGAGTTAATATATTTATTAAATTTTTATATAATAGTACAACATTTGAACAGTATTTCACCAAAGTTTCATTGCAAAATATTGAGAATTGATCGAGTGACAGTACATTTCCTCTGGCTCCCAAAAAAAAGTTATTTTGCGATGTTCACTGTAACTCGCAATAGAATCATCTAAAACAAAAGAATCAAAATGGATTTGTTAAAGGAGATATTTTTCTAGGGATACCTGGGAAGGTTTTTTTTTTTATTTTTGAATATTTTGTATCACTTTGAAGCCAAAACCCGGCTGATTTTTTATAGAGAAAATCGGGTTTTTGGCTTCAAAGTGCTACAAAAAATTCAAAAATAAAAAAAAAAAACCCTCCCAGGGATCCCTAGAAAAACATCTCCTTTAACAAATCCATTTTGATTCTTTTGTTTTAGATGATTCTATTGCGAGTTACAGTGAACACCGCAAAATAACTTTTTTTTTGGGAGCCAGAGGAAATGTACTGTCACTCGATCAATTCTCAATATTTTGCAATATGAAACTTTGGTGAAATACTGTTCAAATGTTGTACTATTATATAAAAATTTAATAAATATATTAACTCTTTCTGTATAGCCAAAAAAAATTCGTAAAAATATGCATTTTTTTCATGAAAATACCTTACCCCCCCCCCCTTAAGAATTCGAAAAAAATAAAAATATAATCAATTTATTGAAATTGTCAAAAGATTTTGTTTGTAAAATTATTTTTTTAGCTAGTAATATTTTGGGTCAATTAAATAAAGGAGTTTATGTTTTGATGAGTGGATTGGACTTGGAACGACTTATTTTATCAGCTATTTCTATCGGGTAAGATGATAAATTATTTTTAATTTAGTTGAAAACAAATTTAATGAAGCTTCTTTGTTCTAGAATTATGCAAGCATGTTGTGATGTTGCGTTTAATTATGCACACGAGCGAAAACAATTTGGTAAACCAATTGCAGAATTTCAAATGATTCAGGTACATAATTTGCAAATATATAAAATCATATTTACAAGAATAAAAGATGGATCGCAATCTATGAATGTGTGACGAATTCGTTGCACATTCGTTACACATTCGTATTTTATGGAAATAATTTGAAAAATTAATGAAAATTGGTGAAAAAAATTACTAATTTAATAATTGTACAACTTAATTTAACCCAAAAAGTGCAAAAACCAATCATTTAATAGTTCATTTATTATATTCAATACCATTTATCATCAATTTTCATTAATTTTTAACATTATTTCCACAAACTACGAATGTTCTACAAATGTGCAACAAGTTCGTCGCATATTTATAGTTTGCGACCCGGCAGGAATCCTGAATATATGAAATTCAAACAAATGAACTTAAAAAAATTACTATTTTCAGGAAAAACTTGCAAATATGCATATGGCTTTGTCCACCAGTAGAAGTTATACATATACTGTTGCAAGGGCATGTGATGCAGGTTATGTTGATCGAAAAGATTGTGCTGCAGTTATCACATATGGGTCCGAATATTCAACAAAAGTAGCTCTTGATGCTATACAAATTTTAGGTTATTAATTATTATATCAAATAAATTTATATTGAATATTATACTTTGAACAGGAGAAATTATAAATAGAATATAATCTTTTTTTTTCCATACTGGAAAAATTTTGGTTCAGTAGCTGTCCTAAACGAAAAATTTCTACATTCAATAAGCTATTTATACTTACAATATTTACCAATGGTAAATACTCATGATGAGTTTTATATAAGTGAAGTTAACTGAATATACAAATTTTCGACAAGGATTGCTGCTGCACCAAAATTTTTTCAGTGGCTTAAAAAAATAATTTTAAATATTTTCAGGTGGAAATGGATATATTAATGATTTCCCAACAGGAAGATATTTAAGAGATGCAAAATTATTAGAAATTGGTGCGGGTACATCGGAAATCCGAAGAATGGTTATCAGCCGTGCAATAGCTGAAAATTATATGTAATTAATTGTTATTTAGGTACTAAATTTATATTTTTGGATTTTTGGATAGGTTCAAACGTATTTTGAGCGGTATTGCTTAGAATTCGCTTAACTTCGTTTAGAGTGAAAATTGATCGATAAATTGTTAAAAAAAAATTTTTTACTGTATTTTTTTTATCAAAAGCAAAACTCTTATTTGTTAAACGAAAATATTGGTCAAAAAATGCTTTCCCAGTTAAAATAAATGAAACAAAATTTTATCAATATTTATTACTATATAATAACTTGAAGAGCTACAATATTCAGTTTACATATAATAGAAATATATGCCGATACAAAAAAGCTAAATAATCAATTGACAAATTCTATAAAGAACATTTTTTACAAATAATTTCTTTAAGATGTGAGAATTCTTAAAATTCTTTATACTATATATCAGTCTTATGTGAATCTATCCAAAGACTAGGTATTATCCCTGAAAATTTATTGCATGGATTTAAAATCGGGTTTCTCATTCATATTCACTAAAATTTTGACGGCAACAAGATAAGATGCTACATTAGAAAGATACTGCAATAATCGAAAAATAATTTATTTTTATTTAATTTAAATTAGGTAAGGTAAATGCACTAGTAATCGTCATCTTAAGCCGCATTGACAACTTTAATTGTGTATTAAACAATGTTAAACGATATTTCCAAACTAATAATTAATATTTAAGAATAAATTAAAGTCTAAAGAAGCATAATTAACTCTTGTTTTTTTAAAATAGTATTATTGTTAATAATTATTTATAAATAAAGTTCGTAACATGCAAATGTTACGGCAAGGATGAAAATTAATTGCCTTAGTGATCGTCAAGTAAAAGCATTAGTAATCGGCAGTAATATTAAGATATAAAAACAAACTTTTTAAATTGATTTTCTTATATATTATAGTATAATTATAGCAATTCACAGTTAGAAAAATCTGTATTAAAATTAATATATTGTATATATGAAGCAAATATGCAATACTAGAAATGAAATTTAATATACATTTACATTCAATTTAAGGTTATGTGACTGTTAGGTATGTAATGTTAATTTTCAGTAACTTTTCTGCGATTTTTATGCCTTTTATTATATTTATTTAACAATATATCAATATTTTCGTACTTCATAACCATTCTTTATCATATTTTAATTTCCTCCACAAAATTTCATCTTAGTCCATTCAGCATTTTACGAGATAAGTTACGGACAAATTAAAATTACAGACCTAACAGTCACATGACCTTAATATACTATACTTTTCTATAATAAATAAATAAGTATAAAATTTTTAAAAAATAAATAAAATAAATAATTTGAAAAAAAGAAAAAAATTATAAAAAATATGAAATTATAAACAAATTTTTAATATAATAAAACATATTTAACATTAACAAAAATATTTTTCTTAATTTAATTTTTAATTAAATTTAATAATACTTCTTTTTAAATTAATTAACTAAGAAATACTACACAAAACCTACATGTTTTAGTTTTCGACAGCTTCCTGCTTTAGTTATCGTCATAAAAGAAAATATAAAATAACTTTCATTTCATCCAATTTTCAGTTGACGATAACTAAAATCTATTAATATTATAATATACAAAATTTATTTTTACATTGAAAACAAAGGTTTTTAACATCACTCAATAAAAAAGTCAGTTGTTTATGTACTTAAAAATTTTTAGTTATCGTCATCTCTGACGATTACTGACACACGATGAATTTAGAGTTTTAGTTATCGTTTTCCTTAATAATAAAATAAAAATTTAAATATTAATTTATTTTTTTCAATCCATCAATAGTAGTTTCATTACTTTATGATAAAAACATAAGCTTAACTTTCAATTCACTTTACACTACTAAGTTAAGCAGAAGCTGCCTAAGCAGAACTTTAAGAAATGCCGAAGATCTATTCAGTACGTGGCCTTGTCACGAAAAAATATATTTTTTTAATTAAAAATTTACTATTTACAGGACGAATTTGTATCCTTTCGATAACAAAAGGTTTTATTTTATTAAAACACAATTAATAACACAAGAAAGTTACACCGATCTTATTTTTTACAATATAATGTACTAGCTGCCGATAACTAATGCACTGACGATTACTGGTGCATTTACCTTACTTATTTTTTTAATCATTTCAAAAATAATTATTTAGATTGGGTTTGTGGGAATTTTTGGGACAAAGAAAATTTGAAGAAAATCAGTTACATTTAGTTACTTTTTCCACTCTTCCAATAATTTGAAAAAAAAATAATCTACATATTACAATAATGGAAGAGAAAAGTATCTATCATCATTTGTTTTGATACATAAAAATAATAGTTAATATTGTTTTCTGCAATGACTCATAATTATTTGCAACTAACTAAATTTCTAATAATAATACTACTAATTATACATTCAAAATGATAAAAATATTTACGTTCGCATAATAGGATAAAGACAAAGTTGGCATAATTCCTCCTATTTTCATTGTTACTGGCTTCTGTGATCTTCTAATAACAATCATTCTTAATTTTACTGATTTTGGCGAAAGTCCAATCCATGATGAATTATAAATTTCCATTCCAATGTTGCATGACTAATAATAAAAGAATCATAAATGTCAACTATTAATTTGAAATTTTTTTTGGATTTATGATAAATGTCTAAATATATTTATAAATTAATTAATTTGAAGAATATTAGATGATTATTTCTTAAGCATATTTTTTATTACCATAAAGATTACATATTCAGCTGACCAGGACGATACGAATAATAATCCACATCCAGCACAAACAATAACTACAGATTGTATTTTTATGATTATTGCTTCTGGCTAGCGTAAACGTAATATATTAATTCTTTACATATTAAAAAAATTAAATCATACTCTCTGTATACTTACTGTAAAAATATGTATACCACCAAAAATCATTCCGGCCGTTGCAACCGATATGGTTGTAAAAATGAGAAAACAAACAGTTTTCATAATTTCATCTGCAAAACTCAATAATTTTTGGTGCTTTTTAATACATAAACAAAATTCTTTTTCATCTTTGGCAAATCTAAAATCTTGAGATAACAAATCAAATCTTGCTGCAACGAACCATAAAAGATATCCCACTAAACATTCAATGCTCATAGCAGCTGAAACTTGAAAGCCACATAATGTTTGATGTGCATAAATAATATATTTAATTGATTTTGAATCTAATGAAAAAGGATATTTGGCATCGGTTGGAAAACGTGATGACATGTATAAGGGGCCTAGTATAACTACCAAGGATCCCATATAATTGGAAATTGTGAAAAAGGTATGTAACATTCCATACTTATTTGTATAATTTTGCATTGTTTCTCTTTCTCTTTTATTTGTTTGACTTAAAAAATGTGATATTTCCTTTAAAATATACTGGAAAAATGAAAATATTTATAAATAATTCTTTGTTTTATAAAGGATAACATTTTTTATTAGTGACACCATACCACTTCTCAGATTATAATATATAAAATACACTGAAAAAAAAATTTATTTTATTCAAATACTCGATTACTTGAGTATTATCAAATAAATATTTACTTGAACCAAATAATTTTTATTTGAATCAATAATTTCTGTATTTGAAACAAATACCATATTTAACTGATTCAAATAATAATTATTTGATATACAAATAAATATTTATTTGATAATAGTCAAGTAGTCGAGTATTTGAATCAAATAAATTTTTTTTTCAATGTACAATATAATTAATTAAGCAACCTGCAAACGATAGCGATGAATTCTGCAGATGACGATTTTACTTGCAAGAAGAGAAACTCCACAAGAAATAAACATGGAATTTAACATTACAAGTGAATTTCCACGATCTTGATAAACTGAACATAAAAGTGGAATTAGTAGGCAAAATGCAGAAATAAATGCCAATAATGATAGGACATCACGAATAAAAATTTCTAATTTGCTCGCATTTAATAATGGTGGCCAACAACAAGTTAGCAGAATACTAAATTTTGAGAATAACAAAGAAGTTTCTGGCGACATTTAGAATTTCATTATAAATAATTAATTTTTTAAAAGTAATTATACAATCACAATAATGGACAAATATTAAAGCACAATTATCATAATCATTGTATATTATAAAATATTTTCCTATCCTTTTTTTTTCTTTTGAAAGAAAAAGTATTCTACAATTTTAATTAATGGAACAATAATAATAAAATAAATATATATATTTAAAAATGTTTTATGTAAGAAAATACAAGTTGAAAAGATAAAACTAAACTGAATGGGAAGATCAATAATAATGAAAGGGTAAATGTGTTTCTATCATTGTGTAACAATTTATCAGTGAAATATAATTTCTAGAAAATGGTGAATATAAAATTCACTAAATATAAAACATTCGTTTCCTGTTTTCTTGAAAGATAATTATACCTTGTATGATGCGTGCGATCTCCCCTTGTTCGTTATTGAATAATAAATAATGAAAGCTAGTTAAGCCTTCTAAAGAAATTTTTTTTTTTACAAAACTCGTGTTAAAATATAATGTTTAAGAAATTACTGAAAAATGATAGATTGTTATTTGTATTTTTTACTATCTTAAATTCATTTTGGTCAACAAATTTAAAAAAAGGTTTCGATATAGGATTCGAATGGCAAAGAAGCAAAGTTAGAATAGTAATATAACTTTATTTTGATTCTGATGTTTTTTGTGAGTAAGAAATTTGGATAAAAATTTAAATACGGAAATATTTATTTAAAACGAGAGGCAAATAACTTGTGAATTAAGGTTTACACTTGTGTTGAATATCTTGAATTACATGAATTAACTGAAGTATTGTGAATTATCATTTTGAATTACTTTGAATTATCTTTAACTAAATTACGTATATAAATTATTTGAAGTATCGTGAATTATTTTGAACTTTGAAGTAGGTGTACACCAAATTTTTTAGTTATACTTGTTTTGCGGATTCCAATCCGCTAGAATATAATGGTTTGCAAATGCTGCAAAATGCGGTTTTACCTTGATTTTCTCAATGGGCAAATATTCTTGAATAAATCTTTACCAGAGGAATCGTCGGACTACCTAATTTTTTAGTTATATTTACCCATCGATTTAAAAATGTTAATTAATAATGCCCCTTTAAAATAAACCTGATTTATATTTAGATAGTTTGCTGTTTATAAAATAGTTGCACTTTTACTATAAATATCTTTAAAAATAATTTTTATTCAAAAATAAATTTGTAATTAATAATATTAATTTTTACATGTATGCTACTGAAAACTTTAATTTTTTAAGTTTTTAAAACAGTTATTCACTCCATCAAGTTAGGAGTAGCTTATAGTAATTTAGAGTCTTTATCTGCAGTAAAAAGATAGTGTGGGGTCGCTCTTTTTAAGAAAAGAAAATCATATTTTTCAGAATCTATTAATTACACAAACAATTTTTTAGAAAATTTTATTTAAGATTAAAAATAATAATTATGATCACAGAAAATTAAAAGGCATTAAAATAAATTGCAATGCTTATTATTTTAATCCAATTTTGCTTATTTTAATACCAAAATGGATTATTTTAAGCAAAATTGGATTAAAATAATAAGCGTTGCAGCTTGTTTTAATGCCTTTTAATTTTCTTTGATATTGCAACTTTTTGGAAGGTATATTTTAATTTAAAATTTCAGTAATTTTAACCTGTAAAACACAGATATTTTTCTACACTCGTAGGTATTACATTTACACGAATGGAATTACTAAAATTAATTAATATTTTTAATTTACATTATGTCATTGCTTTCATTATTACAATTCTTAGTGTTGCGAGGTATGAAAAAACTTTGGAAACAAACTGTAAAAAAATAGTTTGTAAAATTAAAAGTATAGAAACTATTAAGATTTAATGAAAATGAGCTTTACATACACGAATTTTGAAATAATAGTGAGATTTAAGTTAATGAAATGATCATGAATTGTAAAAATGATCCCATGTTCCTTCTCAAGAATCCAGTAATTATGAGAATACGCAAATATGGTATTAAAAAAATCTAAATGTCGAAAATAAGCAATTAATGCGAAATAAATATTTGTCTGCTCTAATGCATATTTTTAATTAAATGCTTATGTAATTCTTGAACGGTTCTAAAATGATATTTAGAATAATATATTTTTGTACTTACTTGAAAAAAATAAGGTAGAGATAAAGTTGGAAGTATACCTGCAATATTTACTGTAATTGGTTTTTGTGACATTTTAAAAATAAGAATCCAACATTTCAAAAGCTTTGGTGGTAAACCAATCCAAGAAGAATCAAAAGCAGCAGTTCCTATTTCAGAAGTCTAAAAAAGCATAAATTAACGTAAGTTTTATAACTTACAAGTTTTTTTTTATATAAATACGAATACAAATTTTTTAAGGAGCAAAAGAAAATGTTTTAATTAGTACCCAATCTTAATTAAACTAATAGGATTATGTAAATAATATATATAATACTGTTAATATCAGATGTTCGGCAGGCCAAGCGGTTAAAAAAACAAGGACTCCAGCGGAACATACAAGAAATGCAAATTGAGCTTTAATCATCAGAGATTCCGGCTGGAAATATATTAAGGTAATTTCAAGTGAAAATGATTTGTATGATGAATTACGCGCGGAATTTGTTCAAATTTTTCACAAAATTTCGATTGAAATTTCCGTTGCGTTTTGAAATGTTTTTTCGTACGAGTTGAGTGCGAATTTTCAAATGGAAATATCCTTTTCAAAAACCTGGAAAATAATGAATGATGGTTTTTTTTGAGGTCTCAAAATTCGAATTTAATGTTTATTATTGAATATCTATTATGGTTAAAAAGATGAAAAAATGTTCATACGGATTTCCGCATGAAAAATCCAGCCGATTTTGGTGCAAAAATAAGAAAAGTTTCATTTAAGATTCGTAATTCGTATAAAATTTCGTACGAAAAAACGTTTCAAAACGCTATATGAATTCCAATCAAAATTTCGCCGGAAATCTGTATGAATTTCGCATGAAAATCCGAAAGTCATACGAATCATATATTTCCGTCTAAGATGTAGCATTTATTATTATATAAAAGTTGCACATTTCTAAATTATTATTTATGTATCTTTTCTATTAAGATATAGCAAAACTTACGGTAAAAAATAGAACACTAGCAAACACAATACCAATTGTTGCTGTAAACACTGTTGAAAATACTACGCCTCGTATTGCTATTCTTAGAGTTTTTGCATAGCTATACAATATATATGTAACGTAAATTATACAAATTTAAATAACTATAAATTTTAGAATGTTAAAAAAGTATTTACATGAGCAGATGTTGATGTTGACGTATTCGTAAATAAACATCGCTTTCACTTTGAATATTTTGAAAATTTTTGGCTAAAATTCTAAATCTTGCTGCAGTAAACCAAAGTAGGGAAGCACACAAACAATCGATTGCCATTCCTGATACAACTTGAAAGGTAACACTACTTTGATGAATATAAATAATGAACCTTCTGAACCTTGAATTTATTAAAAAAGGATATTTGGCATCAGTTGGTAGAGGCGTTGACAATAAGAAAGGGCCAATGACAAAAATTAACGCGGTCAAGAAACCAGAAAAGGACAATGACAAATGTAAAACAGCATGCTTTTTTAAATAGTAATCAATAACTTTTCTCTCCGCTCTATTGGCTTCTTTTAAAAATTTTAACAATTCTTGAAGCAGAATCTAAAATAAAAGTAATCTAATACTACTTTTTTGTAATACATATTCTAAAGTAATAATTGCAGTAGTATTAAGATAATACTGAAGCAATATTTTAACTTACAGTAAGATATTTATTGAAAAACAGAAAAGGTGAATTTGACAAAAAGAGTTAAACCTTAAAACGATGGCGTTGAAATCTGCAAACGAAAATCTTCATGGCGACTTGTAACACGGGACAGGCAAGACAAATTGATTTTGTCATAATTAATCGATTACTCCAATCTTGATATACAGAGGAACATAATGGAAACAGTAAAAAGAGACTCGATAAAAAAGAAAGACAACACAAAGTATCGTACAACAATAATTTTAATTTTGAAACTTGATTCAAAGGTGGCCAACATAATGTCAAGCATGTACCAATTTTTGTAAATTGTAAAAGAAATTCAGGTGAAATTTTCATTTTAAATAATACTATTTTGTTTATGAAAGAAAAATTCTTTATAAGATTTAACAACAGAAATTGGATATTTTAAATATACTATTACAATGATTATAATTTTTAAATGTTGGATAAATAAATTATTATATAGTGGAATCTAAACGAGGAAATAAACAGACTGTTCGACTTATTATAAATTATCTAGAATATTGTGAATTGCAGAGAATAAAAAATAATTTCCCCAGGAAGTATTGAAAATAATTGAACGAGGAAGTAGTTAATCTCGTTAGTAATAAATTTATAATAAATTGTTACGTTCCACTCCATCTAAAGATAATTATGCCTTAGGTAACAGAGAAATTCACCCTTACTTTATAAGCTCTTAAATAAATTAAGATGCACTTGCACAATTCCCTGCCGCTGGAATCCTCTTAATTTTTTTTTCAAATTAAAATAAGAATAATTTTAAAGTTAGCCTGTTAACGAAATAAAAACTTGGTTCAGTATTTCCGCGAATAAACTATGAATGTATAAATAGATTTCAAAAAAATTCCCTATACAAAAAATGTATGTACTCGTATAGAATAATTTTTTATAACATTAAGAAAAGTTAATATCATCCTTGAATATTTCTACTCGAAATTATTTATTAAAATTTCTAATAATTAAAACAATTTTGATAATTTTAATTTAATTTTTATGTTTGGATATACACTGAAAAAAAAATTCTGGTTAGCCTATATTTAACATTACTTTCTAGTTATGTTAACCAGAATTCTAGTTGAATTAACTAGAATTCTCGTTAAAATAACCACAATTCTGGTTAACCTAACCAGAATCAAAATGTTAAATATACCCTAACCAGAATTCTGGTTATTCTAACTAGAATTTTTTTTCAGTGTTATTATAACAATAAAAAATAGTATAGTATGCTGTTATAACGAGGATATAATCATGTACTTTTCCACATAGGGTCAAAATTCGCTGGCAATAGATTGTCGCTTTGAGGAGCGCCAAAAATTCAAAAACTCCTGATGGAATAGGATTATTATTGTTACAACATTATGATGTTTTATATTTATAATTTTATTTTTTAAACAAAATTCAGTAGGGGAGACCGTGGTTACTTGGCGCACTTTTCACTCTTTGTTATGTGTAACTCACTCATTTTTGCTTTCTTTAAAAAGTAATTGTACAGAAAACTTTTTGTAATATCTCAGATTTAATTTAAAAAAAAAGAAAGTTGCAATATATTTAATACTTTTCTTTTTATACCACTTTATTTAAAGCAAATTATCAACAAATATTTATAAAAGACCCTGCGAATATTTAAAAACTCTCTCTTAATTTGAATCAGTAAAATTTCACTGGTGAAATAGCTAGAAGTCGGTTACTGAATCATTTAGTGAAATTTTCACTGAAAATCAGTCATATATCACTGATTTCCAGTGAAAATTTTACTAAATGAATCAGTCAATCTGTTTTACCCATTACCGATAATACAGATTGACTGATTCATTTAGTGAAATTTTCACTGGAAATCAGTGATATATGACTGATTTTCAGTGAAAATTTCACTAAATGATTCAGTAACCGACTTCTAGCTATTTCACCAGTGAAATTTCACTAATTCAAATTAAGAGAGCTCATTATACGGTAAAATTTTTTGAAAAGGTTTGTAATTGGTGCTTATTAATGTACTTATTATTTTGTATAAACTTACAGTTCATCAAGTACTTTAACTTGAATGATAAGAAAAATTAATTTAACGTAATACTTTTGAATAAACTCAAGTGCGCCAAGCAACCCCCGCACCAAACATTAATAGCTCTTTCAAATGATATATCCCAGATAACATGTAAACAACCTTGCAGCAACCTTGCGGCAATATTGCCAACCTTGCATGGCAAACTTGCCGCAAGCTTACTGCAAGGTTCAAATGTCCTACCTAACCCAAGCTTGCAGGGTAAGCTTACCGAAAGATTGCAGTGTAAGGTTGCTGCAAAATTACAGTGTAAGGTTACTGCAAGATTGCACAATAAGATTATCGTAAGATTGCTCAGTAAGCTTGCACGGTAAGCTTGTAGCAAAGTTGGTATGCAAAGTTGCCAAATAACCTTGCTTTAAACCTAAACATTTTTTAAAAATGTTTTGTCTAATTTATATAATTATGTAAATTTTATCATATAAATTAGACGAAACATTAAAAAAAAAATTTAGGTTTAAAGCAAGATTATTTGGCAACATTTCACCAACCTTGCTACAAGCTTATCGTGCAAGCTTACTGAGCAATCTTGCGATAATCATATTGTGCAATCTTGCAGTAATCTTACACTGCAATCTTTCAGTAAGCTTACCATGCAAGCTTGAGTCTGGTGGGAGATTTGTAGTGCTTGCGATAAGCATCGCAATTTTTGCATGCGCATAATTTGTATGGTGAGGTTTTGAACATAACTCATCATGGTAAAAGAATTAACTAGATCAACTCTAGGTATTCATTTTTAAAGAAACGTGTAGGTATGTTGTACATTTTATACACATTTAATTACATTAGTCAAGTTATATAACATTTTTAATATACTTTACACAATTTCTTTCATTATTATAATTCTTAGTGTTGCGAGATATGAAAAAACTTTGGAAACAAACTGAAAGAAAAATAATTTACAAAGTCAAGGAAAAATTTATCTAGTTGCAATTACTATACTAATGAAAAATTACATTATACATACCTGAAAAAAATAAGGCAGAGATAAAGTTGGAAGTATACCTGCAATATTTATTGTAATTGGTTTTTGTGACATTTTAAGAATGAGAATCCAGCATTTCAAAAGTTTTGGTGGTAAACCAATCCAAGAAGAATTGAATGCAGCTGTTCCTATTTTGGAAGTCTAAAAAAATATAATTTAAAAATTTTTATAACATACATCATTTTTGTGTATAAGTTCAAATGCAATAAACATGTTTACGATTATAGACTCCTAATCTATTTTTAAAGACATTGCTTTTATTTAAAATTGTAATCAAGCAACAACAAATTATCGTTTCAGCAGTTTAGAGAAGGACTTCAAGTTTGAGCGTGAAAATATAGTTATTAGGCATTTCAAGTTAGATTTTAAAAAATTATTTCAAGATAATGATACAACCTTAGCTTGAACTACCTAATTATGTATTAGAATTTTCAAAAAGGTAAAACAAATTTTTTAAACAATAAGTAAATACATCAAGAAAATTATTTTTGCAATTGTAATTAAATTATAATTATTTAAACAATATACAATACTGTTATTATGAGATGGTCAGCAGGCCAAGCAGTTAAGAAAACAAGCGTTCCAGCAGAACATACAATAAATGCAAATTGAGCTTTAATCATCAATGATGCTGGCTGGTAATATGTAAAAATGTAACGTTGCATTTATTATTTGAGAATAACAAGATTTAAAATTATTTTTTTATAAATATTATCGGCAGAAATATGTCAAAACTTACGGTAAAAAAAGGAACACTGGCAAAAACTATAGCAGTTGTTGCTGTAAGTAGTGTAGAAAATACCAGACCTCGTATTGCTATCCTCAGAGTTTTTGCATAGCTATGCAATATTTATAGTAATTTGTAAATACATGAATGTGTTTATTAATTTTGTTGAAATTTTTTTTAAATCCTACTTCAAAAATTAAGTAATGATTTTAGAATTGAACGAACACTCCGAGTCAAAGTCAAAAAAAACCTGGACTCATTTTATTTGAGTATATATAATTAAGAATTCAATATCAAAATGAATTAATGAAAAGTTGTGAATTTCGTTTTTATCCATTATCCTTAACTTCGGAATAAATGAATGAATTGAAAATTGTTAATTTCACATTGTTCAAATTAATTCTAACGTGGTTAATTTTTAGTTATATTTGCACAAAGCCTTCCAGAGTCTGCTTCCATTTCGGAAATAGTAGAAATAGTCAACCGGGGTAAATCCGAACGCTTTTAGTAAGTTTCAACAATAACATAAGTTTTTTCTTTAAAAAAAAAATACTTCCGGTATTCTGGTACATGAAGTTGTTACTTTACTTCCATAGAACAATTTTATGGGGTAGCAAAAATTTTTGATAAATTACAATCGCAGGAAACTTAGCGTTCGTACTTACCTCGATACTTTGCAACTTTCCTAAAATACCGGGGTAAATACGAACGCCACTGTATTTCAGAAAAATCTTAGGGAAAATAAATTTAAAGTATTGCAATTGTTAAACTTATATAAAAACTCAAAAAAATACGATAATAAACCTATTATGTAATAATGCATCATATATAAATACAAAAATCAAACAGGTTAAAAATTAAAATGCATTACACAATTAAACCCTTCAATAACTTTATCAAATCATAACGGATTTTTGCAAAACTTGGTACAGAAAGTATTTTGGAGTGATTGAATGTAAATACAAAAATAAAAGTCAAATTTTTTAAATTCAAAATGGCGGACTTTCCTAAAACTTATTTTTAAAAATGATCAAAAATTCGTAATCAGCGACCCTGAAACCCCCCGAGTAACAATTTTCGAGCGAATCCAATGAATTTTTTAATTCTCGTCCGCCATTTTGAATTTTGAAAAACTGACTTCAAATTGGTAATTAGCGACCCCAAAAACCGTAGAATACCAAATTTTATTAAGATCCTGAAAAACTTTTTTCAACAAACCATTTGGCAAAAAAATTGAAACACTCCTTCGAGAGAACAGAGATTAAGTTTCTGCTTATTAATTACTAACGAGGATACGTATAGAAAGAAAAACTTTTTTCTATGTGCTTTTATAATGTTAAAATAATAGTGTAATGAAATAAAAACAATTTTGTGTGGCTCTGATGTAAAAAAAACATTATTGAAAATACCGTTCGGATTTACCCCGGTTTTCCAATTTTCCTGGGTAAATACGAACGGTCTGATATTATTAATAAAATTTTACAGAAGGCAAAAATGAAAAATAGTTTCTGTTCTAGTATTCATAACCAACAATTATAAATAATAAAATAAATTTTTAGCTTCTTTTTCTTCAAATACGAGATAAAATACTGAAAGAGTGTCATCTTTGATTTTCAATCTTTTTTGCAATACTCGTTATCTTTGTTTATGCTGTTGCTAATTAACAAACGAAAAATGGGATAATACTTAGAATCTCTTCAAGAGGATCTGAGGTAAAAATTCTCATATCGAACTTATTTTTAAAAATTTTAATTAAGCTGAAATAATTAGCGTTCGGATTTACCCCGGCTGACTCTACCTATATTTTATTATATCATTTTTATTACAGTTTGAAATAAATACCACGTAGGAATAATTTTGAGTCCAAGTTTTTTCTGTGGCGAATAGAAGTAATTATTTCAATTTAAAAAACTATAAAAATTTTTGAATTTTTAAAACTATTCTTTACATGAGTAGATATTGATGTTGACGTATTCGTAAATAAACATCGCTTTCACTTTGAATATTTTTAAAATCTTGAGATAAAATTTCAAATCTTGCTGCAGTAAACCAAAGGAGGGAAGCACACAAACAATCGATTACCATTGTTGATGCAACTTGAAAGGCAACAATACTTTGATGCAGATAAATAATAAATCTTCTGAAGCTCGAATTTATTAAGAAAGGATATTTAGCATCAGTTGGTAGAGGTGTTGATAATAAAAATGGACCAATGACAAAAATTAACGCAGTTAAGAAACCAGTAATAGATAGTGATAAATTTAAAAAAACATGCTTTTTGACATAATAATCAATAACTTTTCTCTCCGGTTTATTGGCTTCTTTTAAAAATTTTATCAATTCTTGAAGCAAGATCTGGAAAAAATTTAATATTAGCATATGTAATACTGTCTTCTGTAATATGAATGCTAATCGCACAAGTATTAAGGTAATACTGAAGCAATGTTTTAACTTACAATAAGACATTTATTGAAAAACAGAAAAGTTGAATTTGCCTAAAAGAGTAAAACCTTAAAACGATGGCGTTGAAATCTGCAAATGAGAATCTTCATGGCAACTAATAGCACGGGACAAGCAAGACAAATTGATTTTGTCATAATTAATCTGTCACTCCAATCTTGGTAAACAGAGTTACATAATGGAATAAGTAAACAGAGAGCCGATAGAAAAGAAAGACAACACAACATATCGTATAGTAACAATTTTAATTTTGAAACTTGATTTAAGGGTGGCCAACATAATGTCAAGCATGTTCCAATTTTTGCAAATTGTAAAAGAAATTCAGGTGAAATTTTCATTTTAAACAAAACTAATTTTTATAGTCGAAACCTAAATTTTTCAAATTTGAACAAATAATTGTCTTTTTTGTTATAAAAGGAAAAGTTCTTTATAAGATTTAACGCAAAAGACTATTTTAAATTCTAAAGAAGTTGAAAATTTTTAATAGGTACTAATAATATTTAAATGCTGTTAAATACCTAAATTATTATACTGTAATCTGAACGAGGAAATAAACACGCTATTCGACTTATAAATTATCCAGTACATTGAGAATTTCAGAAAATAAAAAATAATTTTCCAGGAAGTATTGAAAATTAAACGAGGAAATAGAGAATCTAATTAGTAATAAATTTATAATAAATTGTTACGTTCTACTCCATCTAAAGATAATTATGCCTTAGGTAATAGAGAAATTCACCCTTTCTTTATAAGCTCTTATAAATAAATTACGATACACTTGCACAATTTTCTATCTGTAATACTCTTAAGCCCGCTTTTAAATTAAAGTGAGAATATAATTTCAAAGTTAAGTGATTAAGCGTAATACAGACATGGTCTCAATATGTCCGCAGACTAAATATTAAATAAAATTAGACTACCATATGACTATATAGAATAATAATTATATGAATTTTAACACTTTTTCTCTGAATTTTTCTCTGAATTTTTATCGACTCTGAAATTCTAACATCTGTTAATTGTAATTCAAGAACTGTTGTGACATGAAATTTTTAATAATAAAGAAATAGTTAATTTTTCACAGCTCTTAATTTCAACTACCTCAAAACCTAGTTTCCTTTATCTGTCACATTTGGGCTACGTTTATGATTGTATTTGTAGATGGGCAAATCCACGAAACTTTTAACTTTTATGACACCTGAATCAAACACTTAAAAGTCTATATTATTTTTAATTAAAACTTAATATATAATTTTTTCTTGCTAAATTATAAACAAAGTAACATTTCTGTACAATATTAGAAGAAAATATTAATTTGTCAATTAGTTTTATAGGTTAAAAAGTGAAAAAACACTGAACACAAAAACGCCGCTTAAGTATTTTGAGTGAAACAAATTTTATTAAGTTAAGAATATGCTGAAAACACTTTTTTGGAGTCTTTACCCCCTCTTTTCTCAAAATCCTGACGTGCTAAGCAAATTTGGGTGCCAGAATCGTGTTCAGAGGACGAAAATACTTTGGAAACCACTCCGATATCAAAAATAAAAAAAGTTGAATTTTTCAATTTTATATGTAATTTATTAACATTAAAGAGTTTAAAGAGTTAAACATTGATGGCGTGAGCTAAAAATGAATCACGCATATGAATTTGTAGTGCTAAAATGTACTTAAACGTGTATACAAAGTGACATCAATGTGCCTGCAAATTAAAAAAAGAAATTTTCTTTTCTTGAAAGTTAAAAGTTTCGTGGATTTGCCCAGATATATTTAAATAATGAATTTTTTCCTGACCTGAAGATTTTGCATCTTCCGCTGCCTGTTACGTGGACGGTTTACACTTTCTTATCATATTGCACTTTACACAAGAAACAGCTTGGCCTGGCAATTTTCTGCAAAAAGTGATCATCAATCTTCTTCTGATTGGGCAACAAATACAACTAATCTTTAGATGTCTCAATTTCCCTAGCTTGTTCTCTTCCTCCGGTTCGGTAACTACAATCGCGAGTTTCATCTTTCGACTATTTGGTTCCAAGACCCATCACCTTTTTGCTTCCTGACTTCTCGAGCTCTTTGGGGCTATCCATAAAGCATGTGATGCTTTAGGGGGTAGGGTTAGCAAAATATTACACTACATGTTAATCGTAAATGGAAAAAAGCATTCCAAGGGGTAGGGGGTGTGTGTGTGTTCAAATTTCGAAAAAATGTATCACATGCTTTATGGATGACCCCTTTTGTATACCTTACACCGTTTTTGCAATACCTCTATTGTCTTGTTGTGGTCTCTAACGAAATTAAATAATAGAATTTTTAGGTTAAGAATCTTGTTGACGTCACTGACGCCTCCATTAAAAAAAATAATTTATAATTACAATCACTTTGAAATGTTTCCCTGTTCCCTTATATATTTCTCCCAATTATTCATTATCTAGTATGAAAAAACTTGCTTTTAGCCACTAAATCCAATGCGACGCACTAATCACATTCAACGAATAATTTTATAGTTTTTCTATAATACAGGTTCATTTTGAGTAACGTGAAGTTGTCTGTTAACTCATTTTGATGCAGATCTCATAATGAGATGCAGCAAAAATGAGTTCGGTTTTTTTCTGTGTATTTTGCTCTACTTTTTTTATCTCCCATCTTTGAGACAGTATGTACTGTAGGCAATTTTCTATGAACCTTCGATCGCACTGCCCGTCCATAGTTCGTGCTGAATTGAGGGCACACAAGATTCAAATTCTGTGGTGAATCTAGAATTTATAGTAAACAGAAACAATTTGTTAATAATTATTATTTAAATGTGCAACGCCATCTGAAAAAAGGGACCTAAGAAGCAAATGAATTATAGGTTATGCTTACGACAGTTATACTTAATTGAACTAAAAAGTTTATTTTTGTTTTTGTAAATGTGAAATCAGTTTTTATTGTAATATTTTGGATGTGATGAAGACCTTAATATCATTAGTTTGCATTACGAGTTAAACGTCTTTACGAGTATTTTCACTTTAAAATTTTAAAACGTAACCTTATAATTTTTTGCTTCGTCTCTTTTCTTCAGATCGCGTCACAAATATAAATATAATTCTTTCTTGTAATTGGTGGCCTATTCTTATTTAAACTAACACCTTTATTTCAGCCTGATCAAAAATTATGCTTCAGTACATACTGATATTTTGTACTAGGTCGTCACGTGGTTTTTAACCACGTGACCTGAATCAGTTGAATGATTCATTGATTTCTAGTAAATTCATTCATATATATAATTCAAGATGGCCGCCATTGATGTTTTAAAGGAAATTCTAGGAATTTACGCCATTGTTAGTATGATTACTATATTTTTACACACACACGTCAAATATAAAATTTTAGTGTTTTATTTTATCATAACATCAGGAGCAAGCAATGAATATCTTATACAATGGTAAGTTCTTTATAATTTTAAAATAAAAATAAATTTAAAAATACACATAATGCATATATAATACATTATATGTATATATGTATATACCAACAAAATTCAGCTAGAAACATAACCTAAAAATAGTATTTAAAATCGATATTTATTCATAATTATGCGCATATTCAATATTTTAAAAGTCAAGTTCAAATATATAATTTAGTTTTATATTTTAACCTTTTATTTTTCTTTGTTTTACAAAACTAAACTTTACTATGACATTATCATCAGTAGTGCAAATTCTCTAACAATGTGAGTTACAAGTTTTTAATTAAAAATCTCAGTTTAAAAAGAAATTAAAGACAATATTTTAATCTTAAATTTTAGTTTAGAATCATTTTTATTTTCTTCCTACTTATATGTTTTTATTCGTTTTGATATATTAATCATTGTTCGGTTTGTATTTAGATAAATTTACAAGAAAGAACCAAGCAAAAATGACACTAAAACTATTTAAAAAATCTAACTGGATTTATATAGAGACCAATGTTAATGAAAAAGGTCTTGTGTGAAAATTAATAATTTTTGCAAAACTAATTTTTTAAACGATCAATTAATGTCGTTTATTAATTTGTAAAAGAAATACCAAAGAAGAAACTCAATTTCACGGAATCGTCGAAAGAAGTTTTGCAAGGTAAGAAAAAATATTAAATACTTAAATATTGGAAATCAAATTGTACAATAAAACAGCGGCACATTGAAACAAACATGATTTATCTTACACATTTAAATTGAAAGGTATGATACAAAAGAAAGAACAAATAAATATTTATAAAATTCAATACTCTATGTTGATACAACAAAACGTAATCTATCAATAATAATAATAATTAAAGAACCTAAAAATGACATTTAATAAAAAACCATACAAGAAAAGACACCTTTTAAGCCATTTTGTAACTTAATATTTTGACCTACATATGGGTTCTTTTTAGGACGACAAAAGTAATTTTGAAAGCATATTTACTTAAGAATAAGAAATTTTAATTTATCTTTAGAATATAATACAAAACTTTAGAATTTTAAACATTATCTAATACTAATTTTCTAATAGTGGAAAAATAAGAGCTGTACAAACATACTCGATGTAGATTATTACCCATTATTATAATTTTGTAGAATGTGTTTCAAAATAGTACTAAAAGACTTTCTGATAGAACCCATATTTAATAATTTTTTATTTATTTCTTATTTTAATATTAGCCAGTAAATGTCTTTCCCTCTTACATGAAGCCATTTTTCACCTGCCGAAATGAAAAGTTTTTATATAAAGTGATGATACTTGTACATTTTGGACGCTAAATATTTTGTTAGCAATTAGATTAATATTATCTACTGTTTTATATTTTATTTACATTTTATTATCTAACTTGTTACCTGTCTTTCCGTTTTTTTTAAATGCATAAAGAAATTAGTTTTTAAAAATTTTAATATATTTAAAGTGTTTTTTATAATTTATTTAATTAAAAACGATTTTATCAGAGATTACAGGTTTAACATAAAAATCTAGAATTTCATCTTTTCCGTGGTATAAATTGTTTGTATTATCCAATCATAAAATACAGACTTTATGATAAGTGCATTAAATGATGAAGCACACGTAATGATAACAATATTGTTCGCATGTAAGATCTTTTCAGTGTTATCAGTTGATTAGTTTTTTACAATTTGTGATACAGGACAGACCAGTTTAGTATTTTTTTTTTTTTTTAATTTCTTAAAAATAATATTGGTTTTAGTTAATTTGTGAATGTTATCAAAGAAACGAAAGTAAGTAAAGTAGATTATAATTGTCAAATTTTTGCAAAAACATTCGCGAAATGTTTTTCATTAAAAAATTCATAAGAAATTGATTTCTATTTTTCTGTTTCAAACTTTTTATTGGTGGATTTTATTGACTTTCTGACAATGGAGATGAAAAAATTTATCCTATCGAGGGTAAACTTTCAATTTTGAAACAAATAAATTATTATTTAGTTATATATATTTTTAAATTTCACAATTACATTCAAGATTTTCAATAAATATTCATTATAAATAAAATTAATATATTATTTACAATTTTAGGATTCTAGTATGGCTGCAAAAAAATTTTTTGCCGAACTTTTTGGTAGTAAAAGCCAAGTTCAAGTAACAACTGAAGTGAATGATGAAAAGCGTCGTGTTTCGATTTCGCATTCGGGACGCTTTCGTCAAAGAAATAAGCGACGAAAGGAATTGCAAAAAGACACATTTTCACCACATAATCCAATTTCAATTGATTGTGGTAAAGAAATAGAACGAAACTTTCAACAAAGCGAAAATATTTAGCAAATCAAGTAAGAAATTGTTTTCAAAATTACAATACCGAACAGAATTATCATTCTACAAAAAAATCGTGTAAAAATGATACTATTTTTGTTTTGTAAATTGACAATTCTTACCGATATTGTAAATTAAATAAATATTAATATATAATTTAATAATTATTTTACTATATTCTATTTTATTTATTTCAGTGAAAAGCAGTAAAGGGCGAAAAAAAATTATTTTTTCGAAAATTTGTATAAAAATTTCGTGCATTATATCGACAGTATAAAAGTTATTTATTTTCATTATATTTCACTTATATCAAACAATAAATACTTGACTTAAAATATTTTTACACGCATAAAATTTATAATTTTTACATTTTTGAAAAATGAATTTTTATATTATTTACAGTAAATCACGTATACAATGTTAGTTACTCAAGATATATTTATATATATTTAAGTATTATATTTATTATTAGTGAAACAGTCAACAAAGTATCGTTTTTTTAAACTCTTATTTATATTCTTTAAATTTTCTCTTTTAATTTATTTTATAATTGAAAAGAAAGATTTATAATAAAATAGAATACAATATTTTTTTAACAAAATGTCCTTATTGATTAATTTTTAGAAATCCAAAAATATTTCTTTACAATTCGGCAAATTTAATTTCATACCTACATATTTTAAAAAAAAAAAACATACCTTTTTTTTCTTTACGAATTATTAATTTTAACTAAACACACGTCAAGAAGACAGAATTTCGCTCGACAAACTGGACAAGTACATTTTGAGGATAACCACGTTTCTGTTGCATTTTCATTTTGCCTTGAAGCAAACCTAAGAAAAATTAAAAAATGTAATGTACAAAAATAAATATTCGTATAGTGAAACATTCAATTATATATAGAATATTAAAAAATAATAAATTATATATTAAGTATTTTAATAAATTTTTATAAATTTATATTCACCATTTTGCCATGCATTCTATACACCACATTGGTCGACAGTAACATGTAACACACGCGTCAGGACCAAATTCTTCACTAATATTGTTACATGATTTATTAAGTTTCACGTTTGAAGTCGTTTGCATACAACCAATACATTGTTCCAATTCCTATTGATCGGACCGTTACAAAATTATTTATTGAAAATATTGAGGAAAGTTTACAAATTCGTGAATAAACTTTTGTTTTTTGATTTTGTAAACCCCTTTGATAAAAATATTAATATAACCGACAGATTTTAACAAAATTTTTTACCTGGTTTGTTTCGTATAATGGATTTTTTGCAACTTCTTCTTTAAATGTGTCAATAAACCTGTCCAAAACTGTTCTGTGAAATGTGACATTATCCAAAACAGTAATTGGCCTCAAAATTTTATCTTGTAAATCCTTGAAATCCAAAGCATTTAGTCGTATATTGAAAGACTGAGCACCATTTCTTGTTGGTTTTACCTGTTTAATAATTATTTTTTTTTCTTTAAAATATTTATTTATTTTCCAAAAATTTTCAATTTTTTTTTATTTTAAAGATTTTTTTGTATTATTAATTTCATAAATTTCAATAAGAATCGTGCGATAATTAAGCTAATGAATAGATAAATATTTTAATGTATAAATTTAAAAGTTTTAAAGAAACTGTATAAATTTAAAAAAATATACCTCAATATTAACAAATTGTACTTCGCCTCTAGTCGTTGGTGACATAACATGGGTATCACTTTTATTAACAATTAAAGCCGTATCGCTTTGATGTGCAATTTGCAATTTGTACGGTGAAACTTTAATAATCCAATTGTCAGTTGCAACAATGCGCGTAACACTATTTGTATCAATCACTATTTTGTCTACTCTGAAATTAATATATTTATTTACATAGTAAATATAATAATATGAATATGAAAAATGTGTATAAGAAAATATTTAGGGTCAGTTGGGGTAAATGGGGACAAATTCGCTATTTTTCACAAATTACGTAAGTTTCTTCCTTTAAAAGGTAATATTTGAGGGTTTATTTTTTTTAAGTTGTTATTTACATTTCCAAGATTAATTTTATGCAGCAGAAAAAAATTTAGATATGCTTTAAACGCATGAAACTGACTGTCCCAATTTACCCAAAAATTTAGAAAATTTCATAAAATTTGGGGTAAATGGGGACAGCATATTTTCTAAGAAAGTTTAAAAAAAAAGTTTTCTTAAATATATTACTGTATTAAGGGATGAAAAAACTTGAAAAAAATTTGTAGTAGATATATAATAGTTGAACCAATTGAAATTTTTTTATTTTTTTTTTTTATTTCAGTATTTTGTCTCGCATTTGAAAAAAACAGACTTAAAAATCATACCAAATTTTTTTCTTTTTCTTTATGACTCCCAATTCACTTGAATTTTTGATTTTTATCAATTTGGTTAATAATGATAAGCTGTCCCCATTTACCCTGAGTTTTCAAATTTTTGGGATAAATGGGGACAACTTGTCATTATTAACCAAATTGATAAAAATCAAAAATTCAAGTGAATTTCTATTATAGGAGTCATAAGGAATAAGAAAAAAAATTGGTATGATTTTTAAGTCTATTTTCTTTGAAATGCTCGACAAAATACTGAAACAGTTTGACTTTGATTTTCAAGTTTTTTTTGCATTGAGCGATAACTTTTTTTTATCTTGCTGCCAATTGTCAAGATAAAAGCTTGGATGAGCCAAAAGTTCTCAACGTTCAAATGAACAAAATATTTTTTTCAATCTATAAATTATTAAAAATTATAATGTCAATGTTAAATAAAACAGTAAATTAAACAATTATTAAATTAATAACTTCTTTTTAGATACTTAAAACAATATTTTGTAATAAAATTCGTGCTTAAAGAAGTTGTAAAAAAAATTTTGTTCATTTGAACGTTCAAAACTTTTGACTCATAAGCTTGGCAATACTCAAAACCTCTTGCAGGTGATCTGAGGTTAAAATATTGACGTTGAACTTAATTTTAAAACTGTAAATAAGGCTCCAAAACCTCTTGTCCCCATTTACCCCAACTGGCCCTACAAGTTTATAATACGCTTATAATTATTAATATAATTTTGTACCTTCTATATTCAATGTTAATATCTGATGCAACAGACATCCAATTTGTAGTATTATTATTGCAATAAACTGATAGACATTCGGCAATTGGATGTGTAGACCAATTATTTTTCGACCATGCTATAACTTTGAATAAAGCGTAAATTGGTCCAATTAATGAGCATGCAGCTAATGTTGGCCATAAAGGATTTTCCTTTCCCAGCAAAATTTGTGCTGCTTCTACATTTCCAAATAGAACGATTCCAAGTGTATACCCTTTAAAATTTTTAATTTATTAGTTTTCTAAATCAAAAAGTTCAAATACAAAAAATTACTAAAAAATCTTTTTAAATAATAATAATTAATCTAAATTAAATTAAATTTAAGATTGAATTTATTCGGAATGGGCAAAGTGGGTATGTGAAAGAAACTCCATTACCAGCGCATTTCAAGTGTACTTAATGATGCTGAAGTCCGCAACGTTTTTATAAACAAAAACGAAAAAATAAGTGGATGATATTTATTATTTCGGCTTAAAATTAAAGTTATTCGGGGGTAACTGGCTTCTATAAAAAGATTGATTTCTTGAAAGTTTGTGAAAATAAAAATTAAAAATAAATTGACTTGAAAAAATAATTCTATTTCAAATTTTTCGTTTTTGAAAACATTGCGGACTTCAGGCTCATTGTACTAAATAATTAATAATAAACGTGTGTTTCACAATACCTCAATCTCCTCTTTCTAAATTGTTAAACATGAGATATTACAAATAAAATAAAAACAATGGAAAACATAAAAAAATTAATATCTAACGCAAGTTTATTTGTAAAAATTTATAGATTTATTTTTATTCTAATTCAAAAAAGTTTTTAAAACAAATTATTTAAGGACGTTTATATCTGGGAATGCAGAAATTCAAAAAAAAAATATATTAAATTGATGTTTAAAAAATTCAATTATTATCCGATTTAAATGAATAATTGCTTTTTTTTTAGAAAATAATTTTCAACACGTTCATCGTTGGGATTTTTAAGTAAGTGCACCGTTTTATAAATATGGTTATTTTTTTTATGTGAAAATTATTTTTATAATAATTGTATAAATGTCCTTAATACGAAAAAAAAAAAAAAAATGTGTCACTCTTACCAAATGGAAGCATAGAATGTACAAATAATGTTGCTATACTTCTTTTTATATGATATTGCACAAAAAATTCATTTTCATTGCCTAACCAACTTGAAAAAATATCTTTTATTGTTATTCCAGCTGACACAAATTCAATTGGTGGATAAATAAAACACGCTGAGATTAATAAATAAAATACAGTAAAAACATAAAAAGTCATGATCCAGATATAGGAAAAATAAATTTTAATAATAATTTTTTAAATTGACTGCAAAAAATGAAAATAAACAAATATATATAATATATCAAAATATAAGAACAGCTAGGTTATGTTTGAAGTAAACGTCAAAATTTGTTGACGCGAACAACACTCGATACCTACCGTCCGACTTAGAAAATTCGATTCTTTAAACTCGAAAAAAGAATCGATTTTCGGTTCGATTTCGAGTGTAGTCATCCCCTAGCTAGCAATCAGCTGTTTATCCAAATTTAAAGATAAATAGTATCAATTGTTTGGGTAAAAACAGTTTTATCGTGTTGAAAAATTATCAGTAAATTTATCTCAATAAATCATGAAAAAAATATACTGTGACAACTGATAGTTAATGAATTTAAAATATGTTCTTTGATGTAATTTAAAAATTTGATGAAACTGGAAGAGTCTTAAAAATGTGACATTGTTACAATTTGGACATTGCACAGGTTAGAATAATTATATAATAATTATCTTGTTTTGTTCTGAATACATATTATTTATTTTAAAAATTCTTTACAATTATTTATATATCAATTGCTACATGAGTATATAAATAATCGAATTTATAGTAGAAATTGTAATTAATAATTAATTATTAAATTGCATTTAAATAAAAATTCGTGGTTTAACTTATAAAATATTTAAATAAATAATTTATTTTTTATGATACTGTCAAATAGTTAATTTATATATCGTGTTTTAATGTTTTTAGCATTAAAAAAAAATATATATATATATATTCAATATGGATTGGAAAAGATGTGAAGAGACATGGACTTTTCCAAAAGTTGAAGCAGCTGATAATTTAAAAATTGAGACAGATGATTTACCCCAAAAAGAAGAAATTGAAATTAGTTCAATTCTTAAACCAAATTCAAACGATGTTCGTGAATTTGTTTGTGGATGGGGATCGGCTGTTATTAATATTACAGTTACTTATCCTATAAATAAAATTATTTTTAGACAGGTAAAATATTTTACATTAATGAGATAAATAAAAATTATTATTTAAATTTACATATATATTCTATTTAGTGAGTAATAATTTATTTTAAGATTTTGGATGGTGTACCTGCAAATGCTGCTATACGTCAATTATCACAAGAAGGTTTTAGTCTTTTATATCGAGGGATACTGCCTCCTCTTTGTCAAAAAACTCTTTCATTGAGCATAATGTTTAGTGTTTATGAAGGTACAAAAGAAAGAATTAGTATATTGACAGGAAATAAAGTATTTGCAAAAATTTTAGCAGCCAATATTGCTGGAGCAACTGAAGCAACTTTAATGCCATTAGAAAGAGTACAAACTCTATTGCAAGATTATCGTTATCATAATAAATTTAAAAATACAACTCATGCTTTTAATTATATATTAACAAAATATGGTGTTCGTGAGTGTTATCGTGGACTTGTTCCCATTATTTATAGAAATGGACTTTCAAATCTCACATTTTTTACGCTAAGAGATAAATCAAAAGAATTAATGGGTGATAGACAATCAATTTTAAAAAATTTTATTTCTGGTGCTGTTATTGGTGGTTTCACGAGCACAGTGTTCTATCCCTTTAATGTAATAAAAATTCACATGCAAACAAAAATAGGTGGTAATTTTGATAAATTTACTATAACTGTACGTGAATTGTATATTGCTCGAAATCGTAGTATAACGAGTTTTTATAAAGGTGTTCATTTAAATTACATGAGATCATTCATTAGTTGGGGCGTTATAAATGCAGCTTATGACTTTTTAAAGAAAATAGTCTTTTGACGAAAACAACAACTTTAGATAATTGTTCAGCTATTATTAAAAAATGTTATGTAGAGAAAATTTATTATTGATTAATTTTACAAGTTATGCCCTATTGTTATTAAAAAAAAAATAATTATTTTTGTACCAACACTTTTAATTATGCCATAATTGTTATTAAAAATGTTATGACTCTTTACGAGGTAAATGTGAGATAATTTTATTCTTTTGTTAATAAAATTAATGTTATTAAGCTTGTGCTTGAAATTACATTAGTTTGATCATTTAGAAATTAATTTTTGAAATCTAGTTAAAAAAAAAATATAATATTACTAAAAATAATGTCTGATGAGAGAAATATATGTATAAAAATATAATTTATTTAAAAATGTAGTGTCAAAAGAATATATAAATTTTTTTTCTTTTTAAAACAAATTCCTACTATCTGTTTTTAATCTATATTCAAAAATAAAAGGGTTACTTTAAGTTGTAAATTTTAATAATTTTTTTAAACAAATAAAATTCTTTAAATTATTTTCTTTTATTGAATTTTAGAATTTTTGTTTCTTCAAGTGATGAAAATTTTTTAAAATACCTCACTTTTTGTGAAACCGCTCGTCACGCTATCTAGAGTTCTATTATACAAGTTCAGTTGAGTTCATTTTACGACGATTCTCCGACGTGAACGCAGGGAACGTGGTTTAAAAATCCGGGATTCGTACAAGTTCAACAGAATAGTTGTCAAATGTGAATAAATATTTAAATGTCTCCTAACACTGTGGAAAATCATTGTCTGTCAAAATTTTGATTGACACTAGAATTGTCTCAAGACTTTAGGAATAAATTTTTTTGTCATTCGTGAGTTCAACGTACGATTATAACAAAAAGAAAAAAAAAATGTGGCACCTCCAATGCTCGAGTAATTGGTTACATTTGAGTTTTGACAGCTTGTGCTATTTGTGGCCAATGGATGAATTGTGGAATCAGTAAATTAATTATGAGAATTAACTCAACGAAAATGAGTACTCCGATTGAGGAGAAGATTGATCAGAAGTTAAAGGTGAGAATATACTTGTGAATGAAATGTCCCATCTAATTTTTTATCTTTATCTAACACGATCTTTGCAATCAATACAAGTTGGGGGATAGAATGTGTTCGTGACATGCCTGTTCAAAAATTATTACTACATTACATCGACAGAACAATTATATACCTGATGGAAATTACTAGTTACATATATATGTATGAATGCCAATTTAAAAGTCGATTTTGTGAATTTGATCCCTATAGAACTTGCTTTAAAACGTTTAGGGTTAAATATATTATGACTTTTTAAGTTCTTAATTGATAAATTGATTTTATTTTTTGAATCTTTGCGAAAAAAATGTTTCGTAAACTTAAATAAATCATGTTATTATATGCAAATAAAAGTAAGTGTTAATGCTTTTTTTGAACTGCAATGCCATGCGCGTCAATCTTTTCTCAATCGAACATCGACCTTAATTTATGACCGTTAATTGTCCCTAATTTATATTTCATATTTTCTATTAAATTTCCACTTTTTTTTTTAGAAGAATCAAAATTTTCGATGTTTACTTAAAACAATGTGACTTTTGTTCTTTTCACTCATCACCTTGTTATACACAATGTTTAACGATTTTATAAATCCTTTATTAAACGTGCCTATTTTTAATTCAATGAACAGAAATGAAAGGACGCGATACATTTCTTTTTTTGTTTTTATTTGTTTAGCAAATTTTATGAAATTAGAATAATAATATTATTATTTTTTAAGCAAAATTATTATAATATAATTCGAATTTTAATAAAATTTAATTAATTTACCCTTTGAGAAAGGGCGATCTATATTAAAGTATTTATATACCAGAATTATAATTCTCAAAGGGCTAGTTAAACATTATATAAAGTAAAGTAGAAAATTAATGTCAATAAATTAAATTTAATTTAAATTATAATGTAATTAAATTTTATGTGCTCCAAAATAATTTAGAAATTTTGATAATGGAAAATTGGTTTATAAAATTTTTAAATACCATTTAAAAAATGTGAAATTACAATTAATAGTAATTTTTGATATATATAAAAAAATTTTCATTAAGAAAAAAATAAATAAAATATTAAATTAAAATTTTTTTTTTAATTTACAAGAAAATCGAGATAATGAATTTTTTAAGCGGACACAACAAAAATTTTAAGCAACAACAATGTATAAAATTATTTATTTATTAATTAGAAAATTGTTTTCTTTTTAAATCAAAGGTGCGGACGGGAATGGTGGCAGTTAGCGATGGCAAAAGTAAACCAATTCCAATGCGATTATATCTATCAATGGAAATTCTGAAACTTCAAAGAGAAGATTTAGAGGTAATATGATTTTTCGATATTTTTTTTTTTATATTTTATTTGTATTAATATTAATTGTTTTTATATTTTATGTACATTTATATTTTTTGCTATTATTGTTATATTTTTTTAAAAATATTTTTTCAATATATTACATTTTTTTAACTTTGACTATTTACTACACATTCCGATATTATTTATTCTCGGCGCAAGTAAGTAATCGATATTAAAGTCTGTGCGGATAGATATCATTTTGATGGCATTTGAATAAATTCATATATTACGGAATAAAATGCTTTAATTATAACTCCAAGCTGTCTTGAAATTCAATTATCGACAAATTCACTTAGCTCACTGTCATTTTGAATTAAAATCGTTAGAGATCTAAAATTAAATTCCAACAAATATTGGAAAACTGTGCATTTGTGCACTTCATTTGCCGTCTTCCAATTATAAGTAACATTAACCATATTAAATAATAGCTTGTTAAGATCGTTAAAATTGACGTTATCTTGTTTATAAATATATGTGAATCGTGAGAATTAAACTCATAATGCTATAATTTACTTCTTTCTCACCAAAAAAAAAAAAAAAAAAATTCATAGAAACATTAGATGCAATAACATTTTTTTTATCATACAATAAGTTAATTTTATAATAATTAAACATTATATGATTTGCTCGAATAATTCCCAACCATATGAATATTAATTTTTAATTTTCTTTTTAAGATTCGAGAAGTTTTTAATTTTAATAGAAAATTAAGGGACATATGTGTAAATTTGAAAAATTCGAAATAAATTTACCTAAAAAAAATAATATTAAAATTTAATGGTTTCTAGCAGGCAACGAATCATAATAAACCTCCTGTGGATGCAAAAGAGCGAATGGTTCAGATAACGAGGCAAAAAGTTGGAGGCTTAGGATTGAGTATAAAAGGAGGAGCTGAGCACAAGCTTCCTGTTTTGATATCACGAATTTATAAAGGACAAGCAGCTGATCAATGTGGTCAACTTTTCGTTGGAGACGCTATTATAAAAGGTTTAATCATTATCTTTCATGTTAACAAATGACAAAAGAAATAAAAAAAAAATTTGTTTTAAATATAAAAAGAAAATAAAATTTTTTATTTAATTGAAATTGGATTTCTTTAAATTGAAATTGAATTTCTTAAAATTAAAAATTTGTTTTAATTAATTATTTATTGTTATTTTATTTATTATTATTGCTCGATGGAAAAAAAACTTGCCATTTTAAATATTAATAAACAATAAATTTTTGTTCTTTACATTACATATATGATTATTGAATATTTTAATATTGATTAATTCAATGAGTCGAATTATCAACTAATGCTTTGTCTTTGATTGAACTATAATCTTTTTATTTGCACAATTATCGAACAGTGAATGGAGAATACATCACAGCCTGCAATCATGACGATGCCGTGAATATACTTCGAAATGCTGGCGACTTGGTTGTTTTGACAGTGAAACATTATCGAGCAGCGAAGCCATTTTTACAGAAAAATGGTAATTAATTATTACCTTCTTGTTATTGCAATTTTGCAAATTTTTAATTTCTTGATTTCATTTTCATTTTTCAATTTACAAAATTTATTTTTCTTTTGAAATTTTATCGTAGTTTGTCATAATTTTTTTTTAAAATTATTTTCTTTAATAATTTTTTTAAAATTATTGATAGATTATTTAAATAATTATTTTTCTTAGAAAATAATGAATTCTTATAACAAATTATTAATAAAATTCAAAAAATATATATATATTGAATATCACAATTTGTTCTAAATTGTATTAAAAATATACTAATTTTCCCACATATAGAAAAGGAGGAAAAATTAGATAATGCCACAAATGGTACTGCAGAGGATGGATGGGTTTCACCGAGTAAACAACCAGGAAGCCCTAGATGCAGTCACAGTAGACATGGTTCGAATGCATCTGCAAGTTCCACCCACGCAAAAAAGTGGGTCGATCTAATAACAGGTATGGATCTCCACTTTTAGCAACAAAGCGTTTAAATAAAACAAATATATTCATTTTAACGACTCGCAACAATATCTTTGTATGACACATTTATTCATTGAATATACATATATAGTTTTGCGCTATAAACTTTTAAATGACTAGTGGACATATATTGAAAAGTTAGTGATTGCTCCAGAAACCTATCTACATTTTTTATTAAAGCACATTGAACTATTCTTACAATGGGTTATAAGTAGCAGTATAAGACGTTTAAAGAATACGTAATTATTTTATAGTCCGATATGACACAAAGTTAAGAATTAATTGATTTAATTTAATTTTTTTTTTATATATAAATTTATATTTTAATTTAGAATTTGTCTTTAAAATATTTTCTTAAATTTTTGTTCTTTTTCAACTAGTTTTGACTATAAAATTATAGTGTGTAATTCATTCAAATCCAATATATTTTACTCATGAATAATTTTACATGCTAATTTCAAAATCTCAGTTTATTGATTATTGGTAGGTAGGATAGAGTTATATTGCTCTGACTGAAAATTGTAATTTTTCAAAACAAAAATAAATATCCAACCTATGAGAGAATGTTGAAAAGTTTTGTCTAGAAATGATAATTTTGTTTCAGTTCCATTGATGATGGCATATGTTACTAGATATATATTTGGTACTGATAAATTGAGGCGGAATGCTTTCGAAGTAAGAGGATTAAATGGAGCCAGAACTGGAATAATACATTGCGACGATAGTGCCATTCTTAGTCAATGGTTGAAATTTATTACAGATAATATTACAGGACTGACACATTTTCAAGTGAGTATTTTTTTTTTTTTATTTTCTCACGTCGGTTATTCGTAGGCAATTAAAAATTATACTTTTTTGCTTAATTATTAAAATAATAATTTTTATTGTTTTTTTTAATAATAAGTTTTAATATATATTTTTAATTTTTGTAACAATCATTATTATTAATGTTTTTTAAAATAATTTTTTGAAGAAAAAAATATGTAAAAATACATTTTTTTCTACAATAACGATGAAAAAGTTAATTTAACTATTAACGATAATGATATTAATTTTATTATTAATTTCAAAAATTGAAATAAAAGATAAATTATTGATGTCATTTTTTTTTTTTAATTTTCTAGATGAAGTTATACAATCGAAACTTTGGAGTAGGCGAGCGAATTGAATATATGGGCTGGGTAAATGAGGCCATCAGCAATAGCAATCAACCATGGCAAAGTTACAGGCCAAGGTTTTTAGCTCTTAAAGGACCGGACTTGTTACTTTTCGAAACACCGCCCGTACGTATTAAATTATGATTAGATTGGAATTTATTCTATAATAGTACTTTTTTTTAAGTGAAATTTATTATTTTCAATATGTTTAAAGTTAATATAAAATTTCTAAAATTGCCCTTAATAAATGTTTTTTTTTTAAATTGTAAACAGTGCAACATAGGAGACTGGTCAAGATGTGCATTAACTTTTAAAGTATATCAGACAATGTTTCGTGTGATGCGAGAATCGGAAAATGTTGACGAGCGTCAACATTGTTTTTTAGCGCAGAGTCCTGGAAAGTCTCCAAGGTATCTTAGCGTGGAAACGAGGCAGGAATTATTGCGAGTTGAAGCTGCATGGCATACTGCCGTTTGTTCTGCAGTCACACATCTTAAAGTTAGTTTCTTTATTTATTAATTAAAAAAAGAAAAAAATTTACTACATACTTTTGTTTCCTCATGGAGGAAGCTTTGTAGTCCTTTCGTTTATAAAAATTTTCAAAGTGGCGGAAACAAATTTTTTTTCTATATAGAAACATGTTATATGAGATCCTGATCAATTGTCCGGATGTATGTGTGTGTGTGTGTGTGGATCCCTTTTTTGTTTAGACGATAACTTTAACAGGTTTGAATGAATTTAGATAAAATTTTGTAGGCTCATTTATCATATTAATATCTGAAAACTGACCAAAGGATTTTAAAAAATACCAAAAAAAAAAATTTTATCGTCTTTTTTCCAAAAATCATTTTTAAACGAAAAAATTTTTAAATAGAAAAATTTGAGCTTATATATAATAAAATCGTATTCCTTACGTCAAGACAAATCGATCGGTATATATAAAGTATAGTTTTAATTTAAATTTAAAGAATTATTGAAAGTTAAAAAATCAAAAATTCACATTTTGGGAATAAAATTTTGTGATTTTTAAAATTGAAGTTTATATATGAAATAATTGTATTCCTTGCATGAAAACGAATCGATTATATATATATATATATAAATATACATTTGAGGTAAATTTAATAAATTAATGAAAGTTAAAAAATAGAAAATTCACATTTTAGCTGAAAAATTTTGTATTTATTTAAATTCAAGTTTAAATATAAAATAATTGTGTTCCTTGCATTGAAACGAATCGATATAATTGTAAATAATAATTCATTAATATTTAGAAATTTTGGCTAAAAAGTGAATTTTTTATTTTTTAACTTCCATTAATTTTTTAAATTTAACTCAAATGTATATTTACTCAAATGTTTATATTATTATATTATTTTTGTATGTTTATTTCAATATTAATGCTTTCTCCACGAGAAAGCAAATTTTTTTGCTGATCGTAAAGAGGAAGCAAAATGTTCATGTAATGAACATCTGAATTTACAACTTGTTTTTATTGTATTTGTAAGTTTTAAAATATTTAATTTTAAATAATAAAAAAAACAGTTATTAAGAGCAAAGTTTCTGTTTTAGAGCAAAACATTTCCAGTGAATTTCAATGGAAAATCAGCAGGATTGACGTTGGAGTGGTCTCAAGGTTTTTCGCTCGCTTTTGATGGCATGACGGACAATGTTTGGAGGTATAAATTTTCTCAACTTCGTGGGTCCAGTGATGATGGCAAAAGTAGATTAAAATTACATTTTCAAGAACATGACAGTAACGCTATTGAAACTAAGGTAAATATATATAGAATTTTTTTTTTTTGATTTAACAATAAATTTCATGAGAATTATATTATTATACAACAATACATTGTAACATTGAGTTTAAAGCATTCATTAATTTTTTCAGGAATTGGAATGCTCCCAGTTACAGAATTTATTATTCTGCATGCACGCTTTTCTAACGGCAAAAGTAGCTGCAGTCGATCCAACTTTTTTAACGTCGACAACACCGTAAGGTTTTTATTATTAATGCAGTAAGTACGACTGAACTCAATTGACTCAATTTTTTCGAAAGAAATCGTTAAGTTTTTGCAAAAAAAAGACAAAACTAATGAACCCAAGGAAGTTCTAGTCAATATTCCAAAAAAAATATATTATTTTAATTTCAATTTTTTGACTATATTTTTTATTGAAAAAAATAGTTTTGTTATCTTATTTTCATTTTTTACTACTAATTTACCAAAAAGAAAATAATTCTACTCTACAAGTTTGTACAAACTGGAGTATTTTAAATAATTATTTAAATTTATAGAAATATTTATTTCTAGACTGAGTATAATTTAGGATTCCATATTAAGAAGCATATTTTACTATTATGTTGTAATTTTATAATTATCATTTGTATGTATAAAAATTTCTTTTGAAATTGTGGAATTGCTTAGGAAAAAAATAAACAATTATCTAGTTTAGGAGAGAGAAAATTACATAGATCAATAAAAAAAAAAAAAATCTCACTTTTTAAGTCGTAAATATATTGTAAGAAAGATTAAAAGTGTAAATTAGTTTTTCGTTTTTTTTCAAATTTCTATTTTCCATAGACGTATACATTATTATAATAATTGTTATCGCGCATTTACCTGTTGCACTCGTTCATGGTTTTTAAGTAACGAAAAAAAAAAAATTGTAAGAGGGATACAAAACGAAAAAAAAATGTTAATAAATTTTTTTTTTATTAAACATATCGAGTGCCTTGAAAACCGTGAATACAGCGTAACTGTATTTTAATGAAAATGCAACAAATTTTCAAACGGTTCTTTTTTTAAAAACTATAATTTATAATTGAAAATAATAATTTGTATAATAATTTATAATTGTTATTTGCGCAATTTTTAATGTTAAACTTTTTTTTTAAATCAATGACAAATGATATAACTTTAATGCCAGTATTACTATGTCAATAAAAATTTCAATCATATAGACATAGTTATGTCATGTAATAAGAAATATTGTGTACTTCGACCATGGTGGCTATACCTTCGAGTAATAAAAATTTCTTCTAACGTTTTAAAATAACGTTTTTTGAAATTAAATAGTTATTATAATATAGTGATTTTATCGAGACGGTGGTATTTAGAATATTATAGAATTCCATTTACTCTCGATATATTTAATGAATCTCGATATGCTTTCATAGACATCTAGATATATATAAATTATATAAATTATATATATATACATATATTTTTCAAATATTAAGTTTATATTAAAGAAGAAAACTGTTATGAAATATGTAATTATTTTTTTTACTATATGCAGGATTTAGAATTTGTGCTTTCAATGATCACTCGTTTATATATAGAGAATCTGCAATTTATTTGCCACGATATATTTATATTAATATTATCTTAAATTATATTATATTGAAAAAGAGATAAGCTTCTATGATTAATGTTAGAATTATGATATTATTGTTTAAATTATCCAAGTCTATAATTTTTCAACAAAAAGAGTTCGACAGTATATAAATTTTTATATATATATAAAATAAAAGAAAGAGAAAGGAATAGTTTAGTTTACCTGTTGCAGTCTCTATCAAAAATTCAAAACTTAATACTATAAAATTTAATTTAGTAAAATTATCTGACATTAATGGCAAAATATCTTGATTTATTTATTTATTATTATATGTATATTAATAATAATTATTTATAAATTTATTGATATTAAAATAATAAACGAAAAAATGAATTTCGTAAAAATCTATTGAAACAATTTTTGATAGAGACTGTCGAAAAAAAACTACCTGAAAATGAGTTAATAGTATAATCAGTATAATTGACCAACGATTGAACTTTATATAAAGCATTTTCATAAAATTGTTTTCACATAAATTATATTAATTTTTGTTAGTATCACCTTTTTAACATTATTGTTTTTAATGTAATAGCATTTGAAATAGAAAACAAAAAAATACGATTCTCGGTTTACTCGTAGAAAGTGCCTAAACTTTATCTTAGAGTAATGACCGTTTATTGTATAAATAATTCTTTTATGAAACGATTTATTGCAAATTCAGTGGACGCCAGGATGTTACCATGGTCAGAATAATAATAAAAATAATATAGAATAAAATACAATCTCTAAACGAAAATTCATCCTCAATAAATATAGGTATATATATATATTGCGTCTTTGAATTGTTAAAAAGAAAGAATTAAAATATTTTAATTTTTTTTTAAACATAAATGTTAAAATGTAGTCTACGATTATAATTAATATCCAATGGTGAATTTTTGAAAAAGAGAAACGCTAAAACGAACTTTTAATAGGCGTACAATTTTTGAGATTATTAGTGAATGATGATGAAAAATGTGAAAAGAATGCATGTATTGTAATATCAAATGCTTGAAATTTTGAAAGCGTAGAAAATTAAATAATCTACACGATTGAATTTAATTACAGAAACATTTTTTTTTATTATTATTATGTAATAATTCTAATACCAAAGCCTAGATATATAATATATATATATTAAATGCAGATTGTCACGAAAATCACAATTTTTCTCAATGTGCACACAACTTTATTTTTCGTCAAAGAATAATATGTTAAACCCTGTAATTAAATTTAGATCGCAATTAAGGACTGCACAATTATTATATTGTATAGGTAGCTTATGAAAATTATATAAAAAAAAGCCGAACAAATTTATCGCAACTGAAAATTATATATATAAAATTAACTATAAACATTAGCTAAACGAAAATTCACAAATTATCCACTGCAGAGTGAGTATTTCTTTCTTTTTCAAGTTTTATTTGCAAAATTTCAAATTTTTTTTCAATACAAATATAAAATTCAGTCAAAAAATGAAATGAAAGTACAAATACTTTTCTTTATATATAAATATCTATTTATAATCTTTGCATTATTATCAGTAAAATATGTATAAAATATTTTTATTCCTCATTCTTAATTAAAATACAATTAAAGATTTTGTTTAATTAATTATAATTTTATATTTATAATAATAATAATAATAATAATATTATTTATGAAACTTTTTAAATAAAAATAAAAATTAGTCAATTAATTACACTAAATGGAATTTGAAGATATTGAATTCATTGCTGAAGAAAAAATTCATTTATAAAATGGCAGAGACGATGATAAGTGAAACTTATGACGAGTCAATTATTTAAAAACAGAAAATCTATTCTATAAATTGTTTATTAATAAAACGAATATAATAAAAGATTTCTGTCATTGTTAAAACGATTTTTATATATTAAAATTGTCATTCACTCTCTAGTGGATATAAAAATCATATATATATATATATATATATATATATATATATATATATTATATATATATGAAGAAATTTTATCTTGAACGCTTAATTATGTTGCAAATTACTTTTTGTGAAAATAATTAGTGAAAAACTCAACATAAAATTCTGCTAGTTATTTTCATAAAGAGTTTGATTTTATCCAGAATTAAAATCTACAATACGTTATACTCGTATTTAAACATAAAACAGAAAATTTGTTTCAATAAAAAAAAAAATCGTAATAAGAAATATAATTGTTTACCTTCTATTAATTATTGATTTTAATGTTATTCAAAAACTTAGAAATTTTCTTTTTTTTTTTTTTATTGAAACAAAATATTCTGATTGTGTACATAATGAAAAAAAAATCATTTGTTAATTCTTTGTGGACAAATTTTCTGCGCGATGCTACAAAACGCACCTAATATTGCCAAACTTTCAACGCTCGATATTCCTTGTGATTTGAAAAATTATTGTTTCTATTATTCCATCATTTCTTTTAAATATGAAAATATACTTGAAATTTATTAATATAGTATATAGAAAAGAACGATTAATATTATATCAAATGTTTATTTTAAAAAAAAAAAAATAAAAAAAATAAAAACGCAGGGAATTTTTGGGCTGGCGAAAAGTTTGGAGGATATCTTCGAGATATAGTTTATCTGTTATAATGTCTATCCCCCAATTGACAATATGTTTTAAAATATATAGTCGTTACAGGTTTTTGAAGAGTTCATTTATTTATTTCAAATTTTCCCAAAAACAATTAAACAAAAGGAAATAAATATTAATAATAATAATAGAAAAAAATGAAAAAATGCCAGATATTCTTTTTTATATGAATTGTTTTCTTTTATTAAAAAAAAAAATTAATGATTGTATAATTAAAAAAGAAAACATTACGACTTTTGTTGAAGCTGTGTAAATTGTTTTACTATTTTTAATTTGGAACCAGTCAAAGATATACATCTCGCTAAGACCATTTCCGGTTGTGAGAAGGGAAAACACGATTCTCATTTAATGGGGAGAAAAGCAAGGCTTCCTTCCTGAATTAAAGCACTTTGGAAAAACATCTGTTTATGCAAGAGATATAAATTTGATTTAATTAAAAATTTTTAAAAAGAAAACATTTTTTTTCAAATATGAAAAATTTCATTATACAGAATTGTAAAATTTTATTTTCTTTTATTTTATTTTTACGTTACTCTACAAAAATATTTATGTAACAAAAAAAAATCTATAAATTGCGGATTTCATTACATTTTTAATTAAAAAAAAAAAAAAAATTATTAAAAATATATTTATAATTTATTTATTAATAATATTATATATAATATATTTATTATATAAATATATAAAAAAAAATTTAATTGATATTGAAATAATCGATTACTTGAATATTAGAAAATAAATATTTATTTCTATTAAATAATTGAATGGTAAATTTCGAAAAAAGTTCAATTCTGAAAAGTGTAAGAGTCATTTTCACTGTCCATTGTTATGCGAAAATGACACTTACGCTTTTTCGAAATTTACCATTCAATTATTATTTGAGTTAACAAATTCTTATACTATTTTAGAGTTTTTTTTACAAAATTTTAACCTATTAAATATTTTGCGAAAAATATTTAAATGTGAAATCAATTATCACATAACCTTAAGGCCAGGTCCAAGTCGAGTCAGCTGTTCCTTTGAAGTTTCAATGGAACAGCTGACACGACTTGGACCTGGCCTTAAGAATGAGTATTAAGTAGTAGTGAATATTTTTAGTCAGACAAATATTAAATTTAAAATACCCAATGTCAATCTAAAATAGACTTTTACTCCTTGAAAAGGAGTATTATATATATTTTTTATATTATTATTTATAATAATAAATATTTTTATTATTTTTATATTATTATTATTTAAATTTACATTATATATTACACAGGCACACAAAAAATAAAAAGTGGTTTGGCCGAGACACTACACTAGTCTATTTCCATGTATTTTTTCCCGCTGAATCCGAATCCGAAGTCAGAATTGTCAGATTGTTTTTTATTTTTGAGGTAAACTCAAAAAAAAAAAAAAAAATGCTCAGAAAGAAAAATAAAATCAAAAAGTGAAAAAAAGTTTGAATGACACTGAGCTATAGTGTAATTCCATGTATTTTTTGCCAGTGAATCCGAATCCAAAGTCAGAATTGTTAGATTCGCTCAAAGTTTTGAGATAATTGCAAAAAACCCAAATAACAAAAAACTCAAAAAAAAACTTAAAATCAGTTTTTTTTGGAATTATCGTCAAAAATTTGAGCCAATCTGTGAATTCTGACTTCAAATTCGGATTCAGCAGGAAAAAATACAATGAAATACACTATCGTAGTGTTTCGGCAAAAAGAATTATCTGTGCCCCTAATATGAAACTGAATTTACCAACGTTGATTCAACGAAAAAATAAAATTTAAGGATTCCAATTCCCATCAATGAAATTTGATTATTTTCAGCCCTCTGAAACTTGAAATAAAAAAAAAAACAATATTTATCATTGTTTTGTCCGGGATTTTTCGAAAATTTCGAAATTTCAAGTAATTTTGATATTTCCTCGACTCGGAAGTAACTTTTCTCGTTTGATAATTATTTGTTTCAACGTTACAAGCACTTTAAAAAAAAGAAAAAATTGCTTCCAACTCGGGGAAAACAGTGATTTTGATTTTTTTCTCACCACTTTTCCGAAAAACCTGAAATTTCAAAAACATTTCTATTTCCCCGACTTGAAAGCAAATTTTCTTTTTTTTTAAAAGGCTTCTAGCATTAAAATAAATAATTATTAAACGCGAAAAATTGCTTCCGATGCGAAGAAATAGCAATTTACTTGAAATTTCGAGATTTTCGAAAAATCCGTGACAAAACAATGATGATAAATATTGTTTTTCCCGCCTCGGAAGCAATTTTTCTGTTTTGTTTCTTCATGGAGGAAGCTTTGTAGTCCTTTCGTTTATAAAAATTTTCAAAGTGTCGGAAATAAATTTTTTTTCTATATAGAAACATGTTATATGAGATCCTGATCAATTGTCCGGATGTATGTGTGTGTGTGTGTGTGTGGATCCCTTTTTTGTTTAGACGATAACTTTAACAGGTTTGAATGAATTTAGATAAAATTTTGTAGGCTCATTTATCATATTAATATCTCAAATCTGACCAAAGGATTTTAAAAAATACCAAAAAAAAAAATTTTATCGTCTTTTTTCCAAAATTTTTTTTTAATCGAAAAAAATTTTAAATAGAAAAATTTAAGGTTATATATCATAAAATCGTATTCCTTACGTCAAGACGAATCGATCGATATATATAAAGTATAGTTTCAATTTAAATTTAAAGAAGTAATGAAAGTTAAAAAATCAAAAATACACATTTTGGCAATAAAATTTTGTGATTTTTTAAATTGAAGTTTATATATGAAATAATTGTATTCCTTGCATGAAAACAAATCGTTTGGTATATATATAAAATTTACATTTGAGGTAAATTTAATAAATTATGAACCAAAAGTTTTGAACGTTCAAATGAACGAAATATTTTTTTCAATCTATAAATTATTAAAAATTATGATATTATTGTAAAATAAAAGAGTAAATTAAACAATTATTAAATTAAATAACTTCTTTTTAGATTTTTAAAACAATATTTTGTAAGAAAATTTGTACTTAAAGAAGTTGCAAAAAAATTTCGTTCATTTGAACGTTCAAAACTTTTGGCTCATAATAAATTAATGAAAGTTAAAAAAAAATTCCCATTTCAAATGAAAAATTTTGTATTGCATTGAAACAAACCGACATAATTGTAAATAATTATAAATTATATATTATTTTTCATTAATTATTAGAAATTTCAGCTAAAATGTGAATTTTTGATTTTTTAACTTCCATTAATTCTTTAAATTTAACTCAAATCTGTAGGTACTCAAATGTTTATATTATTATATTATTTTTGTATGTTTATTTCAATGTTAATGCTTTCTCCACGAGGATGCAAAATGTTCATGTAATGAACAACTTGTTTTAAAATGCTTCTAGCATTGAAACAAATAATTATCAAACAAGAAAAATTGCTTCCAAGTCGAGGAAATATCAAAATTACTTGAAATTTCGAAATTTTCGGAAAATCCGGGACAAAACAATGATAAATATAGTTTTTTTTGTTTTTTATTTCAGGTTTCAGAGGGTTGAAAATGAGAAGAGTAATCAAATTTTATTGATGGGAATTAGAATCCTTAAATTCTATTTTTTCGTTGAATCAACGTTGGTAACTTCAGTTTCATTCCTAAATCAGGATTTTTATCAGTTTTTGTCGATTAGCTCAAAGAAATTTTTTTTTTCCGAAACAGTACGATAGTGCATTTTCATGTATTTTTTCACGCTGAATCCGAATTCGAAAAAAATTCGAAAATATATTAACATAAAATAAGAATTCGTTAATTTTGCTTCTAAGTTACTCTAAATACATTGCATACACACTCACACACATATGTAAGTGCTGTGATCAAGAATATTATCAAACAAGAATATCACGCTTCGTGAGAATTCAACAGATTTGAGTATTCAAACCGCAGAGGTAGCTATAGAAATAGAGAAACAGAATCGTGAGAAAATTTGATATAAACAGGAGTAGATTGTATATTACAGAATAGATAGTAAGTTGAGAGGTATAAATTTAATTGTAAATTATACATAATATTCATCAGAAAGTTATTCAAAAAAAATAATTTTGAAAATTTAAACCACATTACAATAAAGAATATAACTAAAAATTTTAATTTCTTTATTGACTAAAAATAATTGCAATTATAATATACTGAAAATAGAATAAATGAAATAAAAGAAGGTGATTAAAATCGTCTATTGAAAACATAAAAATAAAGAAAGTTTTATATTTGTCTGACTCAAATTGTAAACAACTACTTACTGTTATAAAAATGTTCAGAATATAATAAATCTTTCAAAAAATGATTTTCCATTTAAAAATTAGATGATACATTTTCCAAGTGATAATAATAATTAATAATAATAAATGTACATAATTCTATATTTTTATAATAGAAATAACTACGAAAAATTTAATATTCTTAAATCAAAAGAAATTATTAGATACATTTTATTTATTATTTTTTATTTATGATTCGTTGTTGCCAAAAATTAAATTTATTACAACGAATTGAATAATGTTACATTGCATTAATAAATTAGTTGCAGTTATTTAAATTTTAGAAGATATATATTAAAATTTATTTTGTATTAAAAAAATTAAAAGTAATAATAATTTCTTTAAATTTTATAATTTTCAGAATAGAAATTTACATTTTCCTGACTTTAATCATTAAAGAGATAGACCATTTCAATTTCGTTGTGAATGAATAATAAGTAAATTTTATTTTCAACATAAATAATAAAATTAGGTATAAATGAAACATTAGTAGATTTATATTACTTTTTCAAATTCAAAACAAAATACCTATGTATTTTTAAAATTTTAATGATTTATGTTCAAATTATTTTCTAAATTCAATTATTTTAAAAATTCATTTGTTTTTAAATTAATTTAAATTTTATTTAAAACTAAAAATGTCCAGAAACTGGTTTTTATAAATAAAAGTTTTCTATGTAGGAAACTTAAAAAAAAGTAGAGAATGAATAGTTAAAATTTAGAGAAAAAGATAAAATAATCGAAAAGTACGATCCATTTTTA